CTTGAGCTTGACCTCAAGCTGGACGATCTCCTGGAGATGCAGAAGGACAGCCTTGAGGATCTTGATCTGGAATATGTCCAATTCAATGTCACCAAGGTGTTGGCTCTTCTCAACAAACGATTTGCACGCAAGAAGGGATGGTAAACGCGCTCACCCCGATATGGCGTGTTACCTCTCTTATGAAGACTTATGAGACCGAGTGACGGGTAGGAGCCTATAAACTCCGCCCATATGTCTTGGCTGGCTATGAACGCCTCCAGTTTAATATTTTGATGATCTGATGGATGCGGAAGCCCCGTACTCAATGTCTAACTCTCCATCTTCGTCCATCCTCAACCCTGCGATGGACTGAATGAATGCTCAGCGATGATCTCGACCATTCTCCGTGTGGAACCCTATGAAAATTTGCGTCTTGTGTGAATGCCATCGATACACGAATATATGCACCCGCTGGCTCGGGCATGCCATCAGTCTTGATAATATCAGGATATTTTCCTTTATCATTTGCTTTTTTATCATGTTCTTGTTTTTATTTTTATCTGTCATGGATTTTTCCAATTTATACCCAGCGCATAGTTGTTACTCACATGTCTTGTTCAGCCAATCTGCCCAATAATCCTATCTGATCTATGTTTCTTTTTTATGTTTATGTTTATGTTGCCATCACCGCTCGGGCCTTTTGAGTTCCCGATGCGCTGTGTATAATATCATCTTGCTCATGCTTTTTTTGCCACGTGAGGTCTTTTGGATTGAATACCCGTTTTTATTTATTTATCTTGAGTCTTCGGCCTGTACAGCACAATCACTATATCTAGAAGCTTATTCGGGATACCCTGACATTGAACCTCCTCTCGCCGATCAGTATTCCGTAAATGCCGGTCAAATTTTCTTTTCTCCTTAGCTCCAGACTAGGGCGGCTTGTTATGCGGGCTGGGTGATCTTTCGACACCGCCTCGTGCCCCTTTCACCCCGTCGAGCTAGTTACGATGATCGATCAATGCAGAACTCAATGCCAGTGGGCAGATGTAACCCAGCAACCAGGCTGTTTGAAGAGGATTTCAAGAAGTTTGCTTACCCGCAAGCGGCCGTATGGACTGGTTGTTAGAGAAAGACACGATCAAGATATTGAGCAATACTATCAATACCGAGGAGGTAAGGAAATAAAAAGAGATTCATTTCGGGATATCCCAGGATAGTTTAGTCCAATTAATTAATTAAAAAAAATTAAAAAATTCCGATTTGCTTTCTGCTTCTTTTGCCTGTCGACTTTGGCCACCGTGGGAGTCCTTGCAGTCCTTGCAGTTCTTCGAGGCCTCATGTCAATAGCCCAACATACTATTATTGACCCAATCCACCTGTCATTTGATTCTCCATTATTTAGTACCTTCAAATAAATTAAGACCCAACCCTCGTAGCCCACGAGGCCCATCTGGGCCTCTCCGTGCGGTTGTTCACCCAACGGGCGATCCCCCGTTCATATTGAAGTGGCCACTTACGCCAATTCCCGTCCGCCTTGCATTTCCCCCCCCCTCCACTTTTTGACATCGCCCCTCTTCCCTCCTCGTCCTTTCTTTCTCCTTTCATACACTCACACCTTCATCATGGCCGAGCAAAAGTTGGCTACCGACTCTAAGTACGATCAGTACGACTTTCCCACCACCGCGCCGGACGCTGTGCCTGGCCACCCAGGCCACACTACCCCGGAACATGACGCCAAGGTGCACCAGCTGCGGACAATTCTCGAGCAGGAGGGCTACACCGAACGCCTGGACACCCTGACTCTGCTCCGATTCCTGCGCGCTCGCAAGTTCGATGTCAACCTAGCGAAAGAGATGTACGTGGCCGTCAATTCCCGCGAGCGGTGGTTCACTTCTCTGAATAGGAGCTGGATTGCCCGCGACACTTGCATTCGTCGCAGATAAGTCTAATACTGATCATTTGTAGGTTCGTGAACACCGAGAAGTGGCGCAAGGACTTTGGTACCAATGAATTGCCTGCTACTTTCGAATACCCTGAGAAGCCCGAGGTGTTCAAGTACTACCCTCAATACTACCACAAGACTGACAAGGTGAGTACGCGGCGGCTTTGAGCGTGTCTGTATTTTCGTGTGAGACGAGTCATAGAAGTTGAAGCAGGAAGACTAATTACAATTCCGCACTATAGGATGGTCGTCCTCTCTACATTGAGAAGTTGGGCAAGATCGACCTCACGGCTATGTACAAGATCACCACCAGTGAGCGCATGCTGCAGAACCTCGTCACTGAGTACGAGAAGATGGCCGACCCCCGTCTGCCCGCCTGCTCTCGCAAGGCCGGTAAGCTCCTCGAGACCAGCTGTACCGTCATGGACCTGAAGGGTGTCGGTGTCACCAGCATCCCCTCCGTTTACGGATACGTGCGCCAGGCCTCCGAAATCTCCCAGAACTACTACCCCGAGCGTCTGGGCAAGCTGTACATCATCAACGCCCCCTGGGGCTTCAGCTCCGTCTTCAGCGTCGTCAAAGGCTTCCTCGACCCCGTCACCGTCAACAAGATCCACGTTCTCGGCAGCGGATACCAAAAGGAGCTGCTGGCCCAGGTCCCCGCTGAGAACCTGCCCGCCGAGTTCGGCGGCTCCTGCAAGTGTGAGGGTGGCTGCGAGCTGTCCGACGAGGGACCTTGGCAGGAGGCTGAGTGGGCTCGCCCCCCTGCGTGGGCCGCCAAGAAGGAAGCTGCCACCCCTGCTGCTGTCGATGCCACCGTCCAGAACGAGGACAATGGTCCTGAGAAGAAGGACGCCACCGAGGAGGGCATCCAGACCAGCGCATAAAATGCCCGATATAGACTCTTTTCATTCGTTCAACCATTCGCATATACCGGGTGCCTGCATCGCTCCTGTGCCAATCACCCTTCGTGCTAAATTTAAGAAGAGGGACAATGGACCGGGATTTGCAGGAGAAGTTTTTCCTCGGGGCGAGACCCGGCTGTCTTTTACTTTTCCTCGGCCCAACTGTCAATTGTCAATTGCGGAGTGCTACTAAATTGTGTTCCACTTTGGCATCTCAACTTTTTACCTGGCAATCCAACGCCTTCTGAAAGTTTTCAACACATCATCAACGACGACCCAGCCACAGCCTGTGGACTCTTTTGCCTTTTGTTACTTGCTTTTGATCTAGATATCACTGAAAGTTCTTTCCTCTATATTCCTTAAAGTGTTTCAATTACGCGGTTTCACATCCGCTCTCTCAATATAGAAGGGGGAAGACAGGATCCGGTGGGGGTGTTTTCAAGAAGCGAGTTTGAAGTGGAGGTGAAGACTTGGCTTTTTTTATTCAATCCTTGATTTGGAGTGTATACACGGGAGAGCACATAGCAAAAAATGGCTGGTAGCCCTGGAAGTGATCGACCTTGCTTATTGTAGAATGACACCACGGTGTTGTAAAATGTATTGTCATTGTCAACAAAGGAAAATAAGACTTGACTCGGTGTCTGAAGAGTCGTTAAATGAGCCAAGGAGAAGAAGAAACAATGGTATCATGATCCTCGCGAAGCCCTCGTTACCAAACGCCTTCCACATTAAAAGACATAAAAAACTCCCCAATTGAATCCGTTAAAATATCGGCAAAAACGCTTGCAGACAGAGCTCTCACATATTCTCGACCACCTCAGCAGCACGCCCGGCCCTTTCAGCCTTGCCCACCGTGGTAGCTAGAGCATTACCCTCCGTGCCAGGTTCATCGTCAACAGCTCCCTCGCCCTGTAGTCGCTGCAGCGTCCGCAATGCATTCTCGTATACATCGGCCATATCACCACTCGCCCATCGTTCCGTCTCTTCTTCCGTGCCGAGCGGTATCTGCAAATCCCATTCCGGACGTGGCCTCTTTCGATCACCACGGCGTCGAGAGCGCGTTTGTGTCTGACTCTGTGTTTTCGCAGCCGAGCCCTCATCCACATCCACATCCATTGCCTCGGCCTTTTCAGTCGAAGATCCGTTCTGTTGGCCCGTTCCTGCCTTGTCTCCAGCTTCGTCAGTCTCTTCTTCTTCCTCTTCCTCGTCTGCGGCTTCTTCCTCCGCCCTCGTGACTTGCGCTAAATGTTGCGCATATTCCTTTGCTGCCTTCCGGGGCGCGTCTCGTCGTAGTTGGGCAACGCCTGTGGTGAGGGATTCGAGTTGCGCGTAGAGCGCTGTGACCCGCGAGGCCAGCTCTGAATCGTAGGGTTCATACTCGACTGTTTCCGGTGCGGTGAATGAGGCTGGAAAGGGGAATTGCGGCGAGGATGAATCGATTCCGTTGATGCTGATTGAGGAAGATGCCGTTGTGAAGGTTTGGTTTATATACTAGACAGTTTATTAGTTCCTGGTCCCGGACTATTTGATGTATACCCGACTGCGTGATGTTTCGACTGGAGAATTAAAGCTTGACTTACTTCATTCACTAATTCCTGGACGCGTTCGCGCATCGGATCCGGGGTGTCATCATCTGTAGCTAAAGGGGGGAAATTGAGGTCGAGTTTTTGCCGCGAGAGAGCGACTGCGTTTGTGTAGAGGTATGTGAAGTCTGCTGGAGACTGTAGCTCGATCTTGCGATAGCCTTGCGCGCCCATTCTGGAGGTTGTTGTTTGGGCGGGTTGGATTTGGATTTGCACGCGTTGAGGGAAAGGCAAAGGCTTGGCGGTGGCCCCCGCAAACCGCAAACCGCAAACGATGTCATCGTTCAAGGTCAACCTTCATTTCACTTTTTCCAACATCCAACTTCCCCCTTTTTCTTAACCTCTTCATTCTTTTAACGGTTCTCTTACAACACGCTTCATAATTCTTTGCTTTCCCTTACTTTCCTTTGTATCTGCCTCTCCTCTTACGTCTTCCTTGCTGCGGGTCGGCAAGGTAATGATACGATCGCCGTGAAGATAATGCCTACGATATTGGCGCTTCCACCTCTACGTTAAAACGAAGGTCTCTCAGAGATACCGGAGCTTTTCATAGCCAACACCATTTCGATCATACTTCAGAAACGACCTACCATGGAGGACCCTGGCAGCATTTCTCTTGTGGACAATACTGCCCCTTCGCAGCACCCTAGCAGTGGGGATTCGGAATCTCTACGACGAACCTCGACCGTTGCTCGCCAGAATAGTCGAACCTCACGCCTGAACCGTGTATCGGTCTCCGGACAGCTTGCGAAAAGGAAATATGCCAAATGGCAGCCCGATCGGCTAGGGGTTACTTCCGACACCGATACCCCCCCCGAGCAGAGAATCGTCGCGGGCACGAGGGTCGATCTCCGCGGGGAGCACTGGTGGCCCTCCCACCCGCCAGCCTTCAAATCAAGATAGTGGACTAGGATTAAGGGAGAGCGAAACTCTCGACTTTGCACCGACGCGCACCCAGAGCCATACTAATGCTACGACACATACCACGACGACAAATGGACAACCCCCTCCTTCCGACGAGAAAAAGCCGGTTTCGGAACTGGATATTCTATACGAGAACCAGCGTGGCTCATTTGTCTTTGGAATACCTTTTTACTCTCAAGGCTCGCTGCTTAACTTAGATCCCAGTCCCTGGATGACCCAAGACCGGCGAGAAAGCCCCGTCAATATCACCAATGCCCAATTGCCAGACCCGAGCTGGGAGTGGTCCTGGCGAACATGGTACGTGGATATGTCTGGCGATGTAGATGAGCAAGGATGGCAATATTCCTTCTCCTTCAGCTCATCCCAATGGCATGGCACACATCCGTGGTTTCACTCCTGGGTCCGCCGTCGACGTTGGGTGAGGCTTCGACATAAGGTGCCCGAGAAGCGTGTTCGTGGTCGGTCGGGATTTGAACAGGCGCATATGCTGACCGAGGACTATTTCACCATCCATTCTCACAAAGTTCGCAGTCGTGATCAGAGTACGACTGGCCTTTCGAGGGTGGAGTCCGGATTCTTGAATCGCGTTGACACGAAGGTGGATGAGGAGACGCATTTGGAGGAGATAGGGGACATTCCCACTTTGATGCATGCCTTGAAGCTTTGCTCTATTGATCGGGAGAAGATTGACGTCCTTCGCAAGTTTATCGAGGAGGGCGGCGAGGAGATATATTATTTGAACGACAAGGTTAGTCAGATCATCACGATTGCTCTCTTTTTACCTATCCAATAGTAATACTAATCCCTCGGCGGCAGATCACAGAGATCATGTCTATGTTTGTGTTTCAAGCGTCCCGCTGGCAATTCGTCACATATCTCGTTGGAGCGATCCAACAAATATCTCAATTAACGACAGACTCAGATGACAAGGAGTCCGATAGAATGCAACGAAAGAAAGATAATCTTATTCGGGCAGTGGAGTCTGCCAAACAGCATGTCACGGGGCCCGATTTCTTTGCAGACTCCCATGGGGAGTCGGGAGGGGAACTACTTGGTTTGACGCCAATGTCGCAGCATAAATATCTGCTATCGAAGCGAGCACAGGCTACTGGCGAGCCATTGATTGTCACCAAGGGGAAGGAGATCAAGGGCATCCCCAAGGCTGCAGAGGTCGGCCGCGAAGATCATATCTATTGATGATGGCCTTGTATATAAAATTTTAGCCGTGCATACACGCAGTAATCGGCTCAGTCTCGGAATAAGCCTCAAATACGATTAATTGGCATAAACTTGAAACTTTGACTCAATTTTCAAGGTTGTTGTATAGTATTATACTAGTAGTACTAGTAGTGCTCGTAGTATTATCAGATCGGAGGCAGTCCGTCACCGCCTGCCCGTCCCGCGGCGACAATTTTCGGAGTTTGGCTGCTCCGTCCTCTTCAACTGCTAGTGCCGACACCATTCCTCTCCATGCCACGGGTGCTACAGGAGCATTTCTCCCTATGTTCTCGAGTGGCCGCCCGTGTCTAAGAAGACGCCTGTCTGTTGTCTTGGACAATGTCGCGGCTGGCTCCGATGAACCTCTCCTCTTCCTCTACCCCCGATGGGCCGCGTCGGCTCTGCAAGGCCACCAGATCGCGTCTTTAACGACCATCCCAGCTTCAACAAATAGATCTCGCACATCCAATCGTCCATTGCCATCGGTGACCCCTCCCTGCCCCTCTTCGTTCTCGCTCCACCGACAATCGAGCCGATGGTTTTCCTCAGATGCTGTGGTTAAAGATGGCGATGGGAGCAACACGGAGGTGCCACTTGCTGGCAATGAGACAATCAATTTGAGAGAGCAGCACGTTAGAAGTGAAAATAGCGTGTCAAGCTCTGCCAACCAGGCAGGTTCTGCCATAAAGCCGAAGCGCCCTGTCGACATATTTGCCGATATCGAACTCACCACACCAGCGCGAGGCCCTGCGACGTGGAAAAGCAGAAGACGAAATCAACACCGCTCATCCTCAAGGCCCTTGGCTGGCCCCGTGCGTGATTTGAGTACTCGGAAGACCGATTTGATATCTAGGCTGTCCGTCCGAGATCGGAAAAAGCTACGTTACGGAGCATTTATCAAAAGACGCTCGTCGAACGGCGAAAAACTGTCATACTACCCTGTCGGAGGTTGGGATTCAATAAAGGACATATTGGAGCGACAAGAACAAGATCCACGAGTGGCGACTCGGAGGAATGCCAAACACAAGGAGTTGCAGGTACCCGAAGAGACCATTGCGATGATGTCTGGCATGACCGATACGGCAACCGCGGAGAACATATATTATATCCAAGTTCGCAACGGATGCCGTGTACAGATTTTACGCCCAAGAGATGGTGATGGCATCCACCGTAAGGTTATACTATCGGGCTCAGAGCGCGTGATGGAGCTAGTTGAAGACCGCATCAAGCGCGTCCAAGCTCAGCAGGAAATCGGAGACCCTCTCGTCGAGATTTCGAAGCCTCTTTTCCCTATTTTCAGCTCAATAGAGACCATGCGGCGCAACAAACTTCCAGTGCCTATGATTCGTGGAGTGTGGATTGAGTCAAAATCGGACCACGTGAACTATCGGGAACTCATCGAGCTTGGTTCATCTACCAGCTCTGTGAAAGAATTTGCGGAGCGCATTCAAGATCTAGTACGTGCATGGGACCGAAACCCAGGGAAGCGCTCAAGTAGCGAAGCCCGACCCGCCCAACGCGACCAGATTGTGCGACGCATTTCAAAGCTCTTCCGACAAGACTCGAACAGAAATTTCTTTTCTTCCGCAGCTTTGAACCAGGCATTGGGGTTCTTATGCGATCAAGAACTCTTGAGTACTGCGAGGGCTATCTTCCTTCGAGCAGAACATGTCGCAACTGCGGACACATACAATATCTTTCTTCGGACCGCAGCTCGACGACAAGATTTGAAGACATTCCGGCGGTTCCTAGTCTCTATGGACCGAGCGCACATTCGCCCAACTCCGGAGACCTGGCTTGTACTGCTTGGAGCAGTGGTCAGTCCCAAGGCCAAGGCGTCTCTCATCGCGCACTTGGTGCAGAAGGGCTATATGGCCGAGACGAGCGTGACTCGGACTGCGCTCCAGCTGACAATTCAGGACTCCCTTTTGGTGCATTTGGAGAATGGCCAGAGTATGGAGTCGTTCCTCAACCTGGTCGTCAAAACACCCGAAGCCAATTGGTTCAGCCGATCGATTCTCTCTCAGATGTTCAGTGTAGTTGCCCGTCGGGGAGACTTCACTGCTGCGAACAGCCTCCTCAAGTTCTGTCTTACGAATCAGCTTGCGCTCGATAGTGGCACTCTCACCTTCCTGTTGACCATGTGTCGCAAGGACGCCTTCTCCGCCGTCGACTACGTGCTTCCATTACTCCGGCAGCCCAACTTCCGGCTTTCGCGGGAGAATATGGATTTTTTCTTTCGAATCGCCTACAAGAACCAGAAATATAACATCTGCCGGGTCCTATGGCGATACGCTTGCATGGATGGACTAGTGACTCACCGAATGAAAGAGATCGTCCTAGACTCTCTCCACCGCAATGTTCCATTCAAGAGATATGCCAATGGTTTCAGCCAAGACTGGCAGTTGTATGCAGGCAAGGTTATCGTTGGACTCGAGCTACACTTCTCTCGCGGGCCGGTGTGGCCAACAGATATCATCGACTCGATTCCTTCGAGCTTCCGCGACAAGCCCCTCGGTTTCCTATCATCTGGTTTCAAAGCCCAGGGCAAAGAACGCGACCTCCAGCACCGCGTGGCCTGGATGCTCATCAATCGTGACCTCGGGCTATTAGGGAAATCCCGCTATTCCCCGAAATTATCATTTTCCGTCATGCTCGAGTCGGCCGCCAATCTTGACGCTGATTGGGCGCGTCACCCGAGAAGTCTGGATTGGTTTCTGCAAAATGCCATCAGGGTGCCAATAAGGCGGCTACCTTCGAAAAAGAAACGACTTATCTCCTCAACTCCTCTCTCCTCAACTCGTGGCCTTGCGTCTCTCGATTTATACTCTGCTAAGAGTGCACTACGGGCTTAATTCAATCGAGCAACCTGGTCTTGTATCTATCATCTTTTTACTGGTTTCATTTTATTGCTGTCACTGTATATATACCTCTGTACATTATTGAAAATAGAGAGCATCATAGACCCGAACATGATTGATATTATATCAGACTGCATCCACACTTCAGCGTGGATGAATAGGCTCATCACCAATCTCCTCCATCTTCTCCTCCAACAACCTAGTCATATGCACAACAACATCCGCATATTTACTCTCATTATAACAATTAAACAGCTCCAGCGGATCCTCATCCAAATCAAAAAGCTCCCACTCCTTCTCCTCCCCACCAGGCCTCGTCCCCTCAATCCCAAAATCCTCATTATACCAATAAATCAACTTATACCGCTGATCCCGCACCGCATAATGCGCATACGCCTCATGGATCACATCCCGATGCATCCAGTACCGATGATACGCAACCTGCTGCCAGTCCACGGGCGTATTCTGCCTCAACAGGGCGCGAAAACTGACACCCTGCATATACGACGGTTTCCGACAAGCAGCGAAATCCAACCAAGTCGGAGCAAAGTCCACGTTGCTGATGATATCATTGCAGACAGACCCCGGCGCGATTTCAGCGGGATACCGGATCAGGAAGGGCATATTGAAACTCTCTTCGTAGACGAGCCGCTTGTCGAACCAGCCGTGTTCGCCGAGGAAGAAGCCCTGGTCCGAGGTATAGATGACGATCGTGTTGTGGGCCAGATCCTCGCTCTCGAGGAAATCCAGCATGCGGCCGACGTTGTCGTCGATGGACTGGATCGTGCGCAGGTAGCGCTGCATGTAGCGCTGGAATTTGAATTCGGCGAGCTCGTCGGGGGTGGAGAAGGTGAAGACCGTGCCGTCGTCTTTGTCGATTAGTTTGAGCGCGGAGACGTCTGCTGGCGCGGGGATTTTGCGGTCGTGAAACCACCATTTTTCTAGCATTTTGGGGCCGACGGTTGAGGATCCGCCATCTGGTTGGGCGAGGCCGAGGTCTGTGTAGGTTAGGTCTTCGGCGACGCGCATCTTTGCGACGGAGGCTGCTTTCGCTCGGTTCTTGTAGTCGTCTGTGAATGTATCTGGGAGGCGGACCGGGTCTTTGTATAGGTGTTTGTGTTTTGGGTCGCATTCCCAGCTGCGGTGGGGTGCTTTGTGGTGGCACATGAGGAAGAATGGTTTCTTTTCGTCTCTGGATTTGATCCAGTTAAGACTCTTGTCTGTGATGATATCGGTGGCATACCCCGGTTCTCGATGGGTGCCATTTGGAGAGATGAATTCCGGGTCGAAGTATTCGCCTTGTCCGGGGACGACTTCCCAATGGTCGAATCCGGTTGGTTCATGGTCTTTCCCTTCGCCGAGGTGCCATTTGCCCACCATTGCTGTTTGGTAACCGCCTGTGCGGAGATGCTTGGCGACGTTAGGAATGTGCTTGTTGATTTTGGAGTCGAGGGTCATGACGCCGTTGACGTGGTTGTGGGTTCCCGTGAGGATTGTTGCCCGCGATGGCGTACAGATGCTGTTGGTCACGTAGCAGTGATTGAATTTCATGCCTTCGGTAGCCAGGCGATCGAGGTTGGGGGTGTGGTTGATTCCTGCGCCGTAGCAGGATATCGATTTGGCGGCATGGTCATCGGCCATGATGAAGATGATATTGGGGCGTGGGTCGGTCGCCATCCTGAAAGTACAGCTTTGGTAGCAGCAAATCTTTTGGAGAAGCACTTAAGTAGAAGAATAATGAGGATTGGGGTGAAAGTCTGCTTTTAAATGTTCACGGAGTGGCATCGTGGCACCCCATTACTCCGCATACTTGTGAGGGGTTCCTGTGTCGCGCCATATTTACAGGTTATGTCTCTTTCTGGTGGGATGGATTTGGTTAGTACATCCATTGATGCTCATTTATCTGCGAATGAGAGTACAATTGAAGAGTGAGCGTGTGAGCTGAGGATATATCTGCCCCGCAGATCCACAACGTTGCGGCTGTCGGCGGGTGTCGGTTTTTGAGATCGCGAATTGGTGAGATTTGGGGCCGGCATGGTTTAAAGCCCCTGCACATTAATAAGTGGATCTTGATGAAGATCTGCTTTAATCAATTTAGTTGTAATCTTGCTAGTGGATCACCTGTGCTGTGATCAAGATACCAACTTGAACTTGAATGATGAGGCTCTCCACCGGGCACGGGCACCACCTGACAGCTGATAGTTATATATAGCCACGTGCCTACCAGGTACTAGTACCAACATCATGGACTTACTAATAACTTCAACCTTCAAGTTAGAAGTTGAAATCGACTCGGAACTTGAATTAACCTACCTAGGTACCTAGTTAGTAATAGCATCAAACAATGCTCGTACGATATAAATACTAGATTGTTCAAAACCTTGGGAAATGGTCGGGATACCGTAGCCTGACCGTAGCACGACAGTATTTTTGAGACTCTCTTTCGAATCCAATCATGACATGTTACTGGGTATTAAGGCTCAAATTGCTAGATTACCGCCTGAAAGTACCATTGGGAGCCCTACAAGAAGAATTAACGGGCATTAGGAAAGTTCAATAACTTTGATAGATCCAAAACAGGCTCATTTACATTGATTTCTTCGGATTGGAAGACCATGACAACTCTATTCCAAGGTTAGTATGGTGATACTGATTGCATAAATACACACGACTGTAAGTGCTTAGCCACTTCTATGATCAGCAGGGTCTGATGCCATAGGTAGACCGACGTTAGCCTAATGCCGCTCGTGGCTACGGACCCAGTGTCCACTGTGGCATGCATCGAGATCGGCGTACCTGCATACATCCAGATCATTACTAGCTAATTATAATACTAGGTACTCTGTACTAGTAGTGGTGTAGCTAAGAAGGCCAAAGATTGAAAGATGTGGAAGAGAAAGAGAAGAGAAAGAAATCGAAAGATCCCAGTAGGCCTAGCCCATAATGATAGAATCATGCCTACATTAAGAGGTACTCGGAGTGCCGACGTCTAATTGGAATACACCGAGACTAACAAGGCAGGCGCATCTTGGCGAGAGAAACGTGGAACTCTACTGCATCGCGTGGCTTGACACTTTTTAGTTAGGAAACCGAGACACGCGACAGATGAAAAGTCTCCAAAGTCTATAAACTCGTGGTTAACCACGAGTTGAAGGGGCGTGGGGGAATGGTCAGTGGTGATTGGTCGAAGCGGAGGTAAACTACGGCCCCAGACGGCCAACCCGACCAGCACGGGGGCGGGTCACGGATGGTGATTGGCCACAAGTGGGGGTACTCTGGATGGAGGAACCGAAAGTGGAACTAGAGTGAATACGGATTAAACGGGGTGAAACGGGGTGAAAGTGACTTTGATGGCAGGAACGTATCCCAAGCGACCCCCAAGGCAGGTACTCCGTACCAAGCAATGGCGACATATCGACAAGCATCGCCAAGATGCTGGGCATCGTCTTGGTCTTCCCTTGGCTATACGCCATCAATATCAGATCCATTCTTTTACGATATACTATATAAACATTTCATTTCACTTATTCCGGAATGTGCATCTCCATTGGAAGTCATACGGTTGTCATTAAAGGTATGTATATCACTTCCTCGGTGGAGCAACGCGCTAATACTGATACATGCTTTGACCCTCCTGTTCCAGAAGCTCTCGCCCCTCCCATCCATTGCATTATCCTCCCTCCATCAGCGAATGGCAGCATCCAAAACTCATTCAATTAGCTCGTGATCCATTACGGACAATGCCCATCCCGAGCTGGTGCGTCCGAAGGTCTCTTTCGCCCCATGGACTGCCTTGCCCCGAACTAGCGTGGATATCAGAGATTACTCGTCCCCACCCGGCATCTAGTGCAGTCGTCCCACGCGTGCCATTGCCAGATCCTCATTCGCCCTGTGCGCTGACGGGACGCTACGACGGTGGTTCGTCGTCTTCGAGCATGGCTGCCATGGTCTGCCTCTCGCGGTTCCAAAGCCCGGTCTAAAAAAGGATAAATATGCTTCGTATCCCTCCCGACTGTCAATCTTTTCTGAATTGTTGCAAGTCTCTCATTCCTCCCCTTATCTGACCCAAGGCTTAGGCCTATTTCATCCATTGTTCCGGTTGTCATCGACCTGTCCGCTACAATGGTTCACATGGAGACTCCGAAGGAGGCTCTCACTCACTTCGAGGAGATGGAGATCCACGAGAAGGCCGCCTTCGACGAGATCATCCGCCCCGCTGATGCTTATGCCCCTAACGGCACTTACTGGGCTGATCTACCTATCGGCCAGCGCGTCAAGTTCTGTGTCGCCCAGGATGGCGCCGAGGCTAAGAAGGAGTTTGCTTGGTTGTGGGATATGTTCAAGACCGATCCTCTGTCTCCCGTCAGCTACTACTTCAAGAATGCCGTTCTTCCTGGTGCTGGTCTAGGTCTCGAGGGGTATGTTTCCCCTAAATAATGATGCTTTCGTGCAGCATGGTATCAGTGTCTCGATACTGACTCTCTTTCTGCCTCTAGTTACGTCCTGTTCTCCATCAGCAACGTCAGTTCCCTGTTCAGTGAATCCTTCGCCTCTTGCTGGAAGACCTACGAGGTTTGCGACAAGAACTGGATTGCCGCCATCAACTACCTCGAGGTTGTGGGTATCATTGTCGGTCAGATTCTCGTCGGTTTCTTGGGTGACTGGTTCGTATACCCCCGCCAATTCCATACTCTACCAAGGAAATACTGACAAGTATGAATAGGATCGGTCGTCGCTGGGGTCTCATCCAAGATGCCACTATCATGTTCATCGGTCTTCTCATGCTGACTGCCGCCTGGGGTGTCACTCAGAACGGTTGGATTATCTGCTACGCCTGGTCTCTCTTCTTCTACTCCATCGGTGTCGGTGGTGAATATCCCATGACTGCCACTATTGGAATGGAGAATGGATACGGTTCCGGTAAGGTGACCACCTCCCAGGATCGTCTGCACCGTGGTCGCTCCGTTGTTGGAGCTTTCCTGATGCAGGGTTGGGGTCAGTTTGCCAACCAGGTTCTCCTCATCCTGCTGCTCCTGATCTTCCACCACGGTAGCGGTAGCCCTCCCTACTCTGCTGTGGCTACTCAGTGGACCTACCGTGTCTCATTCGCTATCCCCGCTGTTGGTACTGCTTGGCTTGTTTACTACCGTGCCTACCACATGAAGGCGGCTAGTAAGCAGCTCGAGGCCCAGAAGAAGAAGGCCGCCGTTACTGGATACGATATGGAGTCTCTGCGCCTGACCTTCAAGCACTTCGGTCCCCGTGTCTTTGCTACCGCCAGTGGCTGGTTCGCTAACGATGTTTTCTTCTACGGTAACAAGCTGTTCCAGAAGAAGTTTATCGGTGTTATTAGCCCTGGCAGTGACGTTACCACTACCTGGACCTGGAACTTGGTCAACATTGTTGTCTCCCTCGCTGGTTACTACTGTGCTGCCTGGTTTGTTGACACCAAGCTTTATGGCCGTAAGTGGATGCAGATTGTCGGCTTTATGCTGTGCTTTATCCTCTTCGTCATCCCAGCTTTCAAGTACGACTACTACGTCAAGGCGGAGAACATCCACTCTTTCCAGACTATGTACTTCCTGTCTTCCTTCTTCAACCAATTCGGCCCCAACTGCATTACCTTCCTTGTCGCCGCCGAAGTCTTCCCCACCCCCATCCGTGGAACAGCTCACGGTATCTCTGCCGCCGCAGGAAAGCTCGGAGCTTTGATCATCGCCGTCGTCGGTTCCTACACCACAGTCCAACAGCAATTCCTGATCGTCCCCTGGTTCGGTCTCGCCGGTGCCCTCATCACCTACATCTGGCTCCCCGATACCACTGGTCTGGATCTGCGTGAGCAAGAGCGCCGCTGGCAATTCATCCGCGAGGGCCGCGAGAACGAGTACCACGGCCCCGCCATCCACAGCAAGCATCTCTCTGCGTGGGAGCGCTGGATGGGCAAGGGCAAGCTCTACGACGCCGAACTCGACTACAAGATGAAGGTGTCCGAGTTCCGTGCCGAGTGGGAGGCTGCCATGGCCCTCCGTGCCGAGGAGTCCTCGACTGATCTTGGCATCGATGATATCGATGAAAGCCTCCTCCAGGGCTCGATGCACAAGTACTTCGAGCGTACCAGCCCTGTCATTCGCAGCATGAACAAAGATGGCCCCGAGCCCCTGTCTCTGGGTGCCGCTGCCAATGAGAAGCAGGAGCCTATGTCTCACGAGTAGAGAGATGTGTTGATGCTGTGAACGATGTTGTTGGTATAGACTACTTTCTTTTATTTGTTGAACATTCTTTTAGAATAACCATTTATGGTGGTATATTCATGACTTTTTTGTATAAAACATACCCTTGGTGATGAGACCTGCTGAGGTCTTAGAGTTTAATTTACTGGTATCAGATTGGAAATAATAGCGAGGCTCATTCAGCTTTTGAAATAGCCATTAGAATTCCTCTATCATTCAAGTGCAAGACGACTCTTTGGCAACAAGGATAAATTACTTATAGACCTGGAATAAAGTAGTATTGGAAGAATTGGTAATATTAATGGGACGCTAGCAGGTAGTTATAATTATTCCATAGACATGGCTGACATCATTTCAATGAAAATCGTATTTGCAGATGTGCCTCCATACTGATTCATGTTGTGCCATAGTCCTATCACGCCATCGGACGATTAACTGAGTACATCGATGGTATAGTTCCAAGGTTCTACTCACGCTATCCGATATTATTCTGGCGCAATTAATCGTCGAGTTTTCCCCGCATTATTGAATACATAAGATCCGAGGTTCTGCTACAAAGCCGTTTTGTATCTGTCTTATTAAAGTATCGTTTCGATTGATCTAGCTTACAGCAACATGGCTCACTTGGAGGCACGAAAGCATATCTCGCCAGATTCGGGATTTCCCATCACTCTTCACCCCCATTTCAACCCTAAGATAAAGGACTATGTTCCTCCTGAGCCTATCCGCCAACTGATTGATCCGCCCCAGGATCGAGCTCATTTCGCTGATCCGGATAAAAAAGCCTTATTCTCGGTCGCCAAGAGGGTTGATTTGACGGAATCTATTGGATCTGTCCTGCAGGGCGTTCAGCTTTCTCAATTATCAGAGCAGCAGCTGGATGAGCTGGCTCTGTTGGTCAACGAGAGGGGTGTTGTTTTCTTTCGCGAACAAGACCTCACGACTGAACAACAGGTTAAGCTTTTCGAGCATTATGGTAAAAGCATGGCTACATTTGCATCCTAGGTTTGGACTGTTAACAGTTAAGCTAGGTATTCTCGACAGACACCCAGCCCAGAAGGTGAGAACCATGCTAGAAAATCAATAGCAATGCAGCGCTAACTTCCCTCGAGGATCAAAAAGTAGTACTTTCCAAGCATTTCTCGTACACAATTACTAAATTTGCTGATTGTTGCAGTTTGTGGTTATCAAAGGTAGCAAGGAAGACCATCGTGATGCTCTGAGTTATACTCCATGGGTAAGTATCCCTTTTGAGACTCGTGGCTATTTGAAACTCATTCGAGAAGCCATCTGGCGATTTTCATGCAGATACATCCTTTGAGTTGAACCGTATGTATTATCGAGAATACCATTACTTCACAAATCTCACCACCATTTACAGCTCCGTCTTACTCACTTTTGAGAATGGAGGAACATCCTGAAGTCGGGGGAGATACCGCATGGGTGGGTGATATGCAATAAGTACTAGTAGCCTTGGTGACGTTCAAGTTTACTCACAGTGGTTTTGGACAAAGGTTTCACAATATGGTCTCTATGATGCCCTGAGCGAGACGTTTAAGAAATTTATCGATGGTCTCCATGCAGTTCATACTTCGCGCTTCCAATGTTTGTCTTATATTTGCATTTTACTCCATTCTATTTCAATGAGCTAATCCTGCTGTACCCAGACGACACAATTCTTGATCTCTGGCAGGCCCCAGTGAATCGCCCACCGATCGATACCCATCATCCTGCAGTGCGAACTCACCCCGTCACTGGGCTAAAAGCCCTTAATGTGAACCCAGGTTTCGTTTCGGGATTCGCCGAATTAAAGAAAGTGGAGTCGGACAGGATTCTTGACTTCGTTAACTACCACATCCACTCAGGAGATGACCATGCCGTCCGGTGGAAGTGGGAAGTGGGAAGCGTTGCCATGTGGGACAATCGGTATTCAAAAATCATGATCCTATTCTGAGCATCGGCTGATGTGTAACTTATAGATGCACTCTTCACCGAGTCATTCCTGGCACGTATGAAAGCCCTCGGCGAGGAATTCGAACCACCGTCTTTGGTGAAAAACGTGAGTGCTGATGATCTTTTTCCTCGAGCGTGAAATGATGGCGAGATTCAATCTGACAAATATCTTTGTAGCATTTTTTGATTCTACGAGCAAATCCCGAAGTGAAAAGGCGCGGCTCGGCCATACTCAAGGAAATGGCATAAATTCTTAGATCCCGCGAGGAAGGTTTCATTAAACCATAGAAACTGACCCACGAGATGGGGACTATGAGGAGATTCTTGTTGGACAATTTTGATTTCTCTGATATTCAAATGATATCTTGTATAGCAGACCAGATACTGTACATGATCTGTTTCGGTCTGAGCCTCTCCATATCAACTCACTGAGTCATTGTAAGACTCATCATACCCATCGTCCACGAAGTTTGCCTGCCGTACTAAGCTATGCACAGCCAAATGACTATGCCGGTGACGGCCTTGATCAAATGGCGGGGACGGGGAGCATAATTCTTTGTATATTGCCCCGGGTCGATCATGACATAGTCGCACCAGGTCTTGCATATCCTGAATGATCCTTTCAGTGAAAGGTACATTGGAAAAGAACTTTTGTAAGACACTCAAAGAAATTTCGGCATTTTTGATGGCCGTCACCGTATCTGTTTGCACCTTCCAATCAGGAGAGGTTGCAAGGAAGAGACTCAGCCTCGTTGCATGGTAGGCGCAGACTGCGATGTATCGTGGTAAGATTTGATCCTCGGGTAAGTGTAATAGTTCTTGCATAATGTGGTTGATATGTTGGACGTGTTCCTCGCACTGCATCAGGGCGTGATCTTTTAGACTCGGTTCAATCGTGTCCATGATGACCTGAGGGGCAACTGCTTGATAGTTTGGAAGAAAAAGTCGATATAGATCGCAATGCGCCTGATGCCAGGTAGCCGTCACCTGAAGGATGCGGGGGAACCACCTAGAATGCGCCATATCATTGGCATTGGCAAGTGTCGCGACTTTATGACCAACAGAGAGTTCCACATCCGATTGGAATCGCAGCAAATCATTTTGTATTTCTTGTATGAGGCCCCCTAGTTGCATCAACGGTTGCTCAGATAAGGCGAGTTGCCGCGTAAGCCGCATTATGTCTTTTGAGATCCTGGAAAGCTGAATACAATCCGCGAGTAGACCCCCGTATTCAGCTGGAGCAGCGATCAAGGATGATCGGCGAACTGTTGGCTGGGCTGGGGAATTTCCATCCCTAAAAGCTTCTTCGGAGCTAGGGAGTCGTTGGTATATTATCGAATGCGGAATAGTTTCGTATTCTGGGAGTCCGACGGAGAAGAAGCCATCGATTGATGTCAGCGCCCATAATACCCTCCTCCGTGTTTCCTGAGCAATGAAGCTGAGTTCTGGTCGTTCGTAGTTCAGTCTTAACGCAGTGACTGCTCGACCGGCAAGTCCTGCAAGCATATAGGCTCGAGAGAAGCGTCCGAGATGGATATGACAGTGAACTAAAAGCATCAAGCACTGCAGGTCACGAATACAGGGTCTATCAAGTTGGCTCCAAATGCTTTGTTCCACAGATTCGATGCGACGACTGATTTTATCCAATGAATTTTCACCTCTTGGAAGCCATAAACCCACTGTGGTGGTGATTGACGTGGCAAGATTGTGGTCCAAAGTGCCACTCTCGTATTGCTGACGGATTGTAGGCTCATGGAGAAAAGCAAACGACGGAATCGGGTAGAGATGTTGAAAAAAGACATTGATACTTTCTAGAAGTTTATAACTTGTCGTAGTTGAAGTATCATTTGGAACTTGTTCTGGTTGTGTGACTTCCACAAGGTTGTCAGCCATGTTGTTCGACTGGTTGACTGGGTATTGACACGACCGCTGGCGTCGACGGCAATTTGCGCACTCAGGAAATTCACCGGAACAGCGTGCCTTTTGTCGACGGCATTCAATACAGGCTTGCGTTCCCCGTCGCCGCTCAGGGCGATTTTGAACCGTCTCTTTGGGGCTAGGTCGACGGTTTGTGAGAGTGGAAGTGTTCTTTTTGAATGAGCAAGCGAAGTCCAAACGCTCGCAGTTATCGCAACATCCAGGTCGACGATCACAGCGGACCTAGTTTCATTGAGTTAGTGTCTCACACACTATTCTGTAGGTAATTTTCTTCCTGAAGGTTCTGGCCTACCTTGCGACATCGGCACTGGAAACATGGAGGACGTTGGGCACGCCCCATAAGGAATGATTTATTACCAAGTACGAATAGAGAGTCCTCTACCTTTGTCCGACTATAAGACCATACCAAGTGGATCTAGCGGGAGGGGAAGATCAGCGATTCAGGTTGAATCTCCAAGTTCAGGGGGTCATACTCCGGCAAAACTGCGGCAATTTGATTTTGCGGGGTCGCTGTGATGCCATCCGTCGCCGAATCACATCATGAGGCATGGTGTACTTAATGTGTAGCGTGCCTACACTAGGCATAGCGAGACCTGTCATCAAATTGTGACCCGTGTGGTAGTTAAAAAAGAGTAAATAGACAGAGCAATTAGATGGATTTAGCCTACGGTTACTATCGGTAGTTTCTTCAGGATTAGTGCAGGCAGTGATTCACCTTGGAATCGTGAAATCACCGATGCACGATGGGCTGAATCGTCAAGACTGAGCATGCATTCTGAATCATGACTTAGACTATAAGCCCGTCAGATACATATAGAAACAAGAAAAAACACAAAAACATGCAGATACGACTCCCCTCGAGTGATCGCATGATCACATCACCATTAGACATCGGGCCGCGTTGATAGGCGGGGGAGCATGTGACATCTCCGAAAACACGTGACTTGGTCTCCACTGCGAAGCTTCTCGCCGCAAAAAGTCCCCCCAACAGCATCAGACGACTCTCTTCCCCCCCTAATGTATCCATCATCACCGACACAATGAAGTTCTTCGAGAATAAATTCACCTATGACTATTCCTTTCCCGCGGTATCCCTCGCTTATTTCCTTCGCTATCCGAATCCCTACTCCCGCCATGTCCTCACAACCGACGTGATCGATCGGTACGTCGATCCGAACACTCGCCGCCTCCACACCATTCGACTGCACTTAAAGAAGTCCAAGGTCCCCTCGGGTATTCTAAAGTTGTTACCCAAGGGAATGGGGGGGTTCCGACAACTCCGGTCAAAGCTATATCCTCGAAACCACCATAGTCGACCCGACAGAGGGCTGGATGGAGACCGAGTCGCGCAACATGGAATGGACTGGTATCCTTAGTGTTGTAGAGAAACAACACTACCAGCGTATCCTCACAGAGGATAGCACCCAAGCCCTGGATGGACTCTCGATCGATCAGAAGAGCGAACAAACCACCGTGCGTACCACCGTGACCTTTCGATCTAGACTCGGCCAGGGCAAATTCCTGAGCCGAAAGAAGGCTGGCTTTGACAACGCCGATGCGGAAGAAGAGGAGCCCAAGAGAGGATTTTTCTCCTCCTTGTCTACCGCCGGTATTCAACGCACTATTGAATTGATCGGTGTCAAGCGTACGCGAGATGCCGTCTTGAAGAGCAAGCAGGGCATGAATGTCGTCCTCGAACGTCTGCGCAACGGTGGAATCGTCGGTGTTCTGGAAGGAATGCGAGAAGATCGCGAGGCTGCATTCGGAACTGAGGGTCCCTGGAAGCGTGTCTGGCTACAGGGTAATGGCCATGCCATCGAGGACGACGACAAATAGATCATGTGCTGCGAAGGTTCTACATCTCTGTGACTATTTCCTCACATGTTCGCGCAATGGTCTACACATTTGCATTTTCTTTTCAGCGCGGAGTTTTTGGGATTTTTAATTTTCACAAGCTTACGGACACTCTCCCACGACTGTTGTTGTTTTATTTCTGTTGCCTTTCAACTGCCGCCTTTTGCATGATAAGTCGAAATCACTGTACATGGCCAACTCGGTCTGCATCGAAGCAATTGCTTCGCAAGCGTTTGTATCATACTGGAATTCGGGGTGATGGAACTCTTCCTGAGAAATTTATTTGTACAATATTCAATCAACTCAAGCATACCTATCGACATCTACGTTCCACAGTTCACTCACGTTGAGTTGATTTCCACCGTCACCTGATCATTGTATTGGCCTTAGGCAACAGGTATTGCTTCTTTGGGCCTGCCAGACAAGAAGGCACCTGGGTATCATCAACGTCAAACACCCTGCGCGTTTCCGTCGCTTGTACAGCACTTGTTCATAGAACGCTCCATTTATAGTTCCTCTTTTGATTTGACTACCAGTCCACTATTAGGGGATCTAGCCGTGTGGAGGTTGGGAATTTGTCGACGCGGAGACCTCAGCAACTTCATCGCGGTAGATCTATATCACCCTCTGCTAGACCTATTGTCTTAGTGCATCTCTCACCCAATGGAACCCACTGCTAGTAACACTGGCTATCCAAATGCGCAGGGTGGGGAGCCTGGACATTCGTTTGACCACCTTGCTCAGCTAAGCTGGAACGAGCTCCCTATCTTCATGGCTATCCCTACGGCAGAGGACGGTCTTGATGACACTGCGAGGAAACTTTACACCCTGGCCGATGCTGTCGCGAATGGTCGCAGCCTAGCACTTTCGGCCAACGACTCGGAGTCTCCTCTACCCACTAGACAGACTGCCGAAAGCTTCGCCAAGGAGCGTATGCTTCCCCGAGAGAAAGAAGACTACGAGATGTGGAAGGCGGGTATAATCGTTCTCCCCCATTTTGACTGGGACTCCAATCAAAGTCCACTTCCACCCAATAGTGAGAAGACTTTCGATCAGCGGGCTGTGGCTATGAACATAATTTGGGGACGTCAAGACGCCACGCCTGAAAATGCGGTCTGGCTAACCAACAACCTGTCAACCCTGCTTCCGCTGGTCAAGGCTATCAACAAACTCCAAAGTGCCGAGACACACTTGCAGAAGTTCGATCCACTCGCGAAACATAGCGAAGCTGAAATCACCGAGATTCAGACCCTGCAACTCATCTCTGCGACCGTCGATGCGAACGTGGCACGAGAGAAGGAACGCCTGCACCGGTTGTTTGACTCCATCAACCAGTCACAGGTGACATTGAGGGAACGGCTGAGATCTCTTGGCAAGTAACGAAGGGATTTCCTTGTTTGGCCTTCCCTTGGGGGCGGGGAAAAGCGATGGATACGAGCCCACGACTTTTTTTGTAATTGTAATCGTCAGCGTGGGCAGGGTCTGACTTGATGATATCTGCTTCCATAGCTTGGCGTGCCTTTTTTCTATACGAAGTACCTTTCCTCGCTCATTTTTGATCTATTCCTGATCTCCACCGAGCAGCCGCCTGTTGAACCAATCGCTCAGCAAATCTCTTGCAGAGTACGGAGTACGGAGTACTTTACATAGCACATGCACATATGAGGTCACATCGTCAAGAGGGTCTTCACATCAGCAACAAACCGCCCCGCCAAGAAAATTGCAGGCTATATACCGGTCGTATTCAGCCGACGGATCTCTGTGGTGATGCTCGTTATTGTTGGTATCTCCACTAGGGACAATCCCGAAGAATCCACGGGCTCTGCACCAATGAGGAGGCCGTGGCCTAATCTCCAGTACCTATGACGCAGCGAGTGCGAGGAGGCTCCTGGCGGAATGCTCCGATTCGATTCAAGCAAGTCTTACGTCAGAGGATTTGCGAACCCAAGGGGCCGAATTGAATGATTGACAGGAATCTAAGAGACTGATCATCATGTCCGATCTGATACTTCGATGGCATCCACTACGCAGCAGGGGGGCACCGATCCGAGAGAAACAAAAGAAGTCAGAAAGGAAGTGGAAAAAAGAAAGAAAAAAACATTCCAAGACATACAGAAAGGGTACGGAGTACATTGTGGCCAAGAAGGTATTGATCCATGCAAAGTCACGGAACTGTAGACAAACCTGGTGTAACCGGTCTGGCAACATTTGGGAAACCCAACAAAAATGGGATTTATCCAAGTCGAAAGTCGAGAGGCACCAGCGCAGCGCTAGCAACCGATTGAGCGAGGCCCGCCAATGTTGCTCATGGCTTTTGCATGATTGGGGGAGGCTGGAAATTTGGTGGCCATAGCGGACGCAAAAATCTTCCTCCGAGCGAAATGGACGGGAGTCATGCGAGATACCCGACATACGATCGCGCGGTTGTACCAGCTGTGCATCATATTGTACCAATTCGACAGCAGCAAAATACCTTTGATACGATAGATTGGAACATTTGACCACCCGAGATTTCCACGCCACCAGAAGGGGGACAACAAGGGTCCGACAGAGAATGGGCGCACTAGCAGACCCACGGACGTCCACCAAAATTGGACCCTCCTTCACGCTCCAAGGCCGAAGATGAACTCACGGAGGATTGTGAGTGGCTGGTCCCTGTACAGCTGCAACCCTGACTCTAGGATCACCGCCTGCATTTTCCCATTTTGGGTGCGGTAATGCGGGGACTCGGTTGTTAGCGTTCGCAGCCAAGAAAAGCAGCCCAAAAAAGAAAAGAAAAAGAAAAAAAAGAGAGGAGAAAGGATTCCGCAAGTTATGCAGGGCGACCTACGGACGACCTGCCGGTTGGAGGTGTCAGTCATGATAGACCAGGTACCTCCGAGGTACACCTGCGGGCGGCCACACTCTCCTTATTTCTTGTTTCACCGGCATCTCACGGTCAATTGAGGGAATTGCCTGGGAATGCTCGGAGAAACACCTTGATCGCTTATGCCATTTCAATCCCAGCATTCGACAGAGACGCCTGACGGTGGTTCTGGTTCCTATCTCCCCCCCCCTCCCCCCTTGGCGTTTGACCTTTGAACCCTTGGGTACACCCTTTGGGATCCGAGCAGCTCCATTCTTTTGCTTCCGGACTGACTCCGTCCCTATTATTGCTTCCCATTTATTTTTATTTTTTTCTCTGACATCCACTTCCAAGACCCTTTTTCTTTTTTCTGCTTTCCTATCCTAGCTTTGGTTCCGTCGGCCCCCGGTTTCCATTGGTCTACATTCAAGGAGGAGCCGGTCGGTCGATAGCCACAAGGCTAAAAAGAAGACCGAGTCCCTAGCGCTGCGGGGACCGTTACCCTGGGACCCTCGTGAAGCGGATGGCTGTTTGACCCTTGATCAACTTTGCCTGTTGGTTACTTTACTATTACCATTCCCTCCTCCCTACGTGCTTTTATCCGCTCCCCCGCCCATCCTCGATTCATCTCCCCGGTCTGCTGCGAGAACTGGTTGTTGAGGGATAATGCGTGGTATCGATCTGGTCTATTAACCAACATCATCGTGCCTTTCGAGGGCCCGTCGGTGGTCGCTCTTGTGGAGGAATCGCTCAGTACACCTCGTTGAATTCGAATAGAATCGAACCGATCGCGAATGATGGCTTCCATCTCGATATCAGGGTACTTGACACGGACCTGGGTATGGCTCACCGTCCTGGCCTTGCTGCAGGGCAGCTCGGCCCAGTTCTGCTCCTTCTGGACTTCGGACTGTATTGAGCCCCTTGCCCAAGTCGCCGTTCCTTTCAGCTTCCAACCACTATTTCCCGACCCTATCACCCTATTTTACAGTTTCGATGCACTCTCGTCGGGTAAAGGTCAGGGTCCGATGACCAAGACCGCGTTCTGGTTGGGATATCAAGATCGGAACATCAACCAAAACGCTATCGATACAAACCGAACAACTGAGATCGGCTTCCGCATTGGGAATCTGACAGGCTCACCGTCTGGCGGTAACAATGGATGTGACGGTATTTGGGGCGAAAAGTGTACTCGGGATCTCAAGAACAGCATCCAGAAAAGCATCTTTCATCTTCCTCCGGCCATCGATCATCATCGTCGACCGTTGGCAGCTGCTCTCGACCATATGATGTGGGATCCTCCGAAACTGGATTCGTGTCCACCACAACTATTTGTTGATATTGCTTCGATTCCAGTACAGGGTAGGTCACAGCTCACCCTTGAAACTCCATTGTCCACAATCTGTTTCATACTCACACAGTCTAGACTTCATTCGAGAGAGTGTGCCCCTGCAAAATGTCACAGTCATGACTCCTGGATCAGGATATAATCCTTGGCAAGTATGGTACATTGATGATATGACCTCACGCCAACAGGCTTCGCAAGTGGCGGTTGGAATAATCACTCGCTCTCCAACCTACGACAGTGAACCACCGCACAGTCCCGACGATATTCAGGTGGAGCTTGTCTGCGTGCAGGCACCGCGGGCTCCACCTTCGGGCTCATCAAGTAGCGATGATTAGTGAGTATGAGTAGGGACAACTTGGCAGTTATCCCTCGGTTTATATCTCATTTTATCCCACCCACGGGATATTCCCGACCTGGTGAACACAACACGTGCACGGCTATTTCTGCCGTTCCGCTTCATCCTGTCACCACGCTACACTTGATGCTTACGAGAGATGCGACAGTCTTGCTGAATTGATTCAAACTACATTCAGCGGGCTCGATCAAGGGATATGTCCTAGACGAAACATGATTCCCCGTCCGCCATACTCGCTCCTAATCGACCTGCCTTACGCAGAAACTCATCCGGATGATAGATTTCGCAATTTTCCGGATCCTGAGACAGGCCGTGGACACTCACAATGTGGGCCAACTGTTGTCTGCAGGTTTCAGATCTCCTGGTCCCCGGAAATCCTCCAGAATATCCGCTTGCTCGCTCAACATCACACGATCTGTCTGGATACCGATGCGAGCCAGTCCACGCCATCTGGTAAAGTCCTCCGGGTTTCTCTTATCGCCATGTGCATCCTGTGCCTTCTCCCAGTGACCCTTGGAGAACCCAAGCATGGTCGTTATCCTTTTGTTTGGGATATCGTATACCAGAGAGCACATGGTCCCCGTCTCCTCCAACCAGTTGCATTGCCATAATTCTCCCGGGCGAATGCATTGATACTCCGCTGCCTGGAAGTTGATGCGGCCTGCCATTGGCCCGCCGTGGATGGCATAGTTGATGCGGTCCTCATTCTGGAACCACATTTCATACCGCCACTTTTCCGGGTTTCCGTCTTCATCTTGTGCCGCATAATCATAAATCAGATGTCGGTCTCGCAGGTCTGCATCGAAGGTTGATCCTTCGAGAGAGGGTCGGACAGGCATGGTTGTGGCTATGTGGTTTCGCAAGAAAGCTTAGATATGAAAGTTCTTTTCTTTTTTCACGTCTCGAAGAGACTTGCTCTGCATATAGATTTCAACGAGAACTCGCTTATGAGATGTCGTTTTTGTTCGAGTTTACATCAATCCAGCGTTCAGCACCCGGAGTTGGGGCCACCTTTTTATCTTTCGAGACTGTTCCACAACAATACCTCACCTGTCCTAAACCAGTTGTTTCTCTAGTGGATCTGTTAGCCTCTGCATCATTGAAATTCCCGTAGTCCTTCCGTTCCTGGCCTTCAATTTTCCTGCTCAATCCGCTGGGCTAGGACGGGTTCGTCGTAGGCGGAGTATATGACATCATGACTGACATTGGACAGACAAGCAGTATTTGAGGACCAGAAAATGTTGAACAGAACCCAGTATCTTCTATGCGATCGATGATCCGCTTTGACCACCGAGATTAAACACCACATACCCAGGTGGTAACCATGGTCTAAATGGGAATTAAAGAAGTATGCCATCACTGGATCCCGGAGGTGCAGTGAATATTGACAACGTAATTCGGCGTCACATCCTTGCCTCCAGCATTCAACAAGCAGTTGTGTAGGCTTGTGCGCGACCTCTTACCCATCTGACTCACCTCTGGAGTAAGACGTACTGATTGAGGTGAGACCTGGGGTGTCGATCATGAAGTCTAATGACGATCTCACGGGTCGCTCTGCCGCGGTGTGGAGCGTGATTATCCTTACTCGATTTATAACGTGGAGCTCTCCGGCCAATCCGGTGTTATTCGGACTAGGATCACAACTTAAATATCTAAATATTGTAATGGGGATTCTGCTCTCAACATCAGATACATGTGATCAAAGCCTCAGCAATAAGGTGTCTGCTTACAGAGAGATATTTAGTTCGCGCGATAGCATTCTAGGAACACACACATCTGTCAAGTGTCACAATACGGTCTTTTTCTTTCCTGCGGCGGTAGCGGTATCGGTGTACTACTCATGGAGGATCGGATGCTTTAAGAGATTATATCTCAGTGGTTTTGTCTCTCTGCGATCGACCTGTCTGCTTGACAGACTGCCAGCGAGCATTTCCATCTTTCAATATTTACAATAACAAAGTAAGACAGGATGTAGTTTTTTATAGTGGATCTTGGACTTGATGTGAGGCTAAAATAGTCGCTGGATCCTCGCGCAACGGAGATTGCGACTTGTGCGCCACTTTGAGTGTACAGTTGACAAGAGTAGTGCAACTTGAAACCAAGGGATTCTCTGATAATATAATAGATAATATCAAACACGTTTCTACTATGTATATTACTATGTTTATGTCATGTTTAGCACTAAACCCTAAGAGTATTGTGCATCGCGCCTGCTTTTGCAGACCATTTGCAGTTCCTTCCCAAACGGGAATGATCAACAGCGACTATCGACTATCGACTCACCGCGACTGCATCTCGGAAACTCCTGCATGGTGGCATCACATGCAGAGATTCTTTCTTTTCATTCGTCCTCATTTTCTTTCATCTGCCTCTCGTCATGGAATTCAAATTATTGGTTTCCCCTCGGCTCTGGTTTCTGGGGTTGTACCAGCTAACCATCATGCAAGCCGTCCTGGGACACGACTTATCTGCGAGCAGTACGTTCTCACTCCCAGGGGCTACATCATATGTTGCCGCTGCGGGATTCCCAACCTCGGCATTCGTGTAAGGAACAGTCAACTTCATACCTACTTTTTCTTGAGTATCGCGAAATTGACTAATCAGTGCACAGCTCTTACTACGAATCACCGGCTCTTCCTACCAGAGAGCCCCAGCCCATCATTTATGACCCTGTGCTAGATATTGTTTTTCCCTACGAGCTGACCAGCCCGGATGTCATCCTCGAAAACTCCGATGAGGTCTACTTCCCCGTTCCGAAAGCCAGCTTGCTTGCTCCGGAGAAGCGTGCTCTTATCGACGATGTCGTGGCCAATGTGTCTGCAATAATCAACTCAAAAAATGAAGATAGAGAAAGCAGTTGCGATAAGTGCAAGCTAGCATTGGCTGCTGCCAAACCCGCGGGTTTATTTGCTCCCCAGATGGTTCCGGGAGCTATAATCGACATGTGCAAACGCTTTGCCTTCCAAACAAACGAAACCTGTGAAGAGAAGTATGCCTGGAACACGCTTGGTCCAATTTGGACTCAGGTACTAGCGTACGCTGATGTAGATGGTCTCGATGGTGAATTTATTTGCAACAATATTGATGCCAACTTTTGTCCTTCGCCCCATGCTCAACCATTGGATACCCGTCGCTTATTCCCGAAGCCCAAACCAACAAACCTCTCCATTCCAAAGCCCAGCGGAAACCGAGTGAAGGTACTACACATGTCCGATTTGCACCTCGATGCTCGCTTCGGGGTCAACTCTGAGGCTAATTGTACGTCTGGCCTGTGCTGTCGAACGGACAACCACAACCAGCACTCCGTGGATAAGATTCTGCTACCTGCCTCTCCTTATGGTTCTTTCCACTGTGATTCCCCATATGATCTGGCCCTTGCCGCATTGCAAGCTGTCGGCCCTTTGACTGGCACTGGCAAAGATGGCGATGCACGTGGAATCAAGGAATCTCTTGCCTTCACGATATACACGGGTGATCTTGAGTCGCATGATCCGCTCCCGCAGAATTCACGGCGATACCTCGAGTACATCGAAACGGCTATATTTGACATGTTCAAGCGCTTTCTCACAGGCCCCGTTTTCATCACATTGGGGAATCATGACTCTGCGCCCTCGGACATTGCTGCAATGCACAGTCTTCCGGGACGCCTTGGACAACAGATGAGCTGGAACTACAAACATGTGTCTAGTTTATGGGAGCATGAGGGGTGGATAAGCCATCGGGCTGCGAAAGAGGCGCCAACCCACTATGGCGGATATTCCATAATGACACATTATGGATTGAGAATCATTTCGCTGAATACAAGTATGAGTGTTATACATACGGCACACCCTATCATTTTTGACACCCGGACTAATTGATAAACATGCAGATCTCTGGTACAAGCGCAACTTTCTCAACTTCATCAATACAACCGACCCCGATGCCTCTAAGATGCTTTCCTGGCTCATCGAGGAGCTTCAAAGGGCAGAAGATAAGAGTGAACGTGTCTGGATCATAGGTCATATTCTCGCTGGTTGGGATGGCTACAATGCGATGCCCAATCCAACAAACCTCTTTTACCAGATCGTCGAGCGATACTCGCCGCATGTGATAGCCAACATATTTTTCGGTCATACACACGAAGATCAGTTCAACATCTATTATGCGAATAACGGGACGGTTCAAACCGCAGAAACTGCTCTTAACACCGCGTGGATAGGGCCGAGCGTGACACCTCTAACAAACATAAACAGCGGGTTCCGGATGTACGAAATTGACACAGGCGACTTCAACATCTATGAAGCGTACACCTTCTACAGCAATGTGTCCGAGTATCCGAGTCTTCAAAAAAAGGGTCCAACCTACAAACTCGAATACTCCACTCGCGACACATACAGTCCGGCTGCTGAATGGCCGCAAGACGCACCTCTAAACGCAACCTTCTGGCACCGAGTGACCGAGGGGATGGAAAAGAATCTAAGCTTGGCCAGCTGGCAAAACACTTTGCAAGGAAAGATGAGCGTGAAAAGCCCCAATTGCACGATGGAGGCTTGCCAGAGGGCCAAAATATGCTATATGCGGAGTGGAAGTACGCCGCTGGGCTATTTATGCAAGCAAGGGTAGGCTTTTGATTTTCCTAGCTTTGATCCCACTCCTACTCATCAATCTTTGAAAACTTTATATTAACTTGAGGTCGCAGCTATGGTTCCGTTCAAAGTCCATTCACTGCAAAGTAGGATGATGCTATCGACATATTTTACCTCATCTTCAACCAGGTGTATGATCTCGATTCTGTGGTGAGGAATTTGAACTTTCTAAAGCGGTATGCGATGGGTTTTGATTTTAGGTTCTTTTCAAGTTGTCATGTCAATCGTCAACGGCGTCATTTTGACTATTACTTCTTGTATACTTAGGTACCGAGTATCAAAATATTTTCAAATTGCTTAACGCCGCTCCTATCTTATTAATTGGCAGATTTGGTTGGTTAGAGCTCTGAGTCTGCCAGTGCCCAGGTGGCTTAGCATGTCAAGAATGAAATAGACAATTTCTCTCAGTAGCGTCAAAATCAACTTGGAGTTCGTAGCGGCCGCTGCATCAAATTAACCTTGAGTTTCTTTTACCCCGAAGATTTATAAATTCTTCCGTCCATGAATGCACTCGAATTGTCAAACATGAGGCCCAAACTCACCGACAGCATGACAAGTCGGCACAAAGACTTCCACAAAAAAGCTGACACTTAATTTTATGGGCTTCAACATTATTACCATCTTCATTGCCGGGTTGGCCAACTGTCACCCTGACCGTGCCATTCGACAAGGTCTCAGATGCAGGACTTCTTCCGCTCTCTACCAACTCTGGCTGAAGTGTGACTGAGTGAACCCCATATGCATGAAAGCATTCATTGATAGTTTTGGCCAGGAGCTTGAAGTCAATATAATCCTTATCAGACAAAACAATATGTGCTGAAGCGAGGGATTTCTTCTGATCTAAACGCCAGATATGTAGCTCGTGAACGGCGAGGACGCCGGGGATCTATTAGAAAGTCAGTTAAGTAATCTATTCAACTGGAAATATAATGATACCTGCTCAATGTCGTGGGTAACATCGTCTATCTCAACTCCTTCGGGTGCGCTTTGTAGGAGAATAGTACCAGCACGCTTGACTGTGAAACTGTCAGCCACCAAAATCCAAATTAGAAGGATGAATCGAGTTGCATTACTAAGTGGGATTGAAGATGCAAATATAATCAGCGAGATACCCATACTCACGGCAGGATCAGCATAATACCGTCCGCCGTAATGAGTAAGCCAGATGACCAGGGCCGCAATAATGACACCAATATTGTTACCGGCATCTCCCATGACGTGGATGAGAACACCCATCATAGCAAGGTCACGACCGGAAACTTTAGAGCCGGCCGAAGCATTCGCATTATGTTTGTGGGAAACGTGCTGTAATGGTCAGTGGATTTCAATTTCACAGAGTCGAAAGCTCATACCTTCTCATCCTTCATATGGATCGAACTAATATGTCCGTCTTCATGCTCTCCATTTTGGTGGGTTCCATGGTCATGGTGATGACCATGTTCATCATCACCTCCATGTCCGTGATCATGATCGTGGTCTAAGTCATTACGGTCAGCCCAGCCAAGATCAACACACACCATTAGCGAAAGAGCGAAATTAACCATGTAAGAACAGAATATTTATGATATTCAAGCCCAATCCAATGCAGCCCATTATCAACACTAGCTTCGGCTTTTCAATTACTATGTATGTCAGTATGCTTGGTTATCTCGGTTTTTGAGGGAGCGACCTACACTCCAACGTAGCAAATCGCTCAATAGACTGGAGGAAAATGCTAATTCCCAGGCCAAATAACAAGACGCCATTGAAGAAGGCACCAAGAAGCTGCGCTCTTTGCCATCCAAAAGTGAGCGATTTCGGAGGAGTGCGTTTCTCAGCAACCTAGCTAGCATCAGCAACCCCACAGAAGGTCCAACAGGAATAGCACGAGCGGGAAACTTACGAGGGCAGCAACTAGCGCGATTATGAAACCAATAAGGTCATTGAGCTATTTCCAATCAATTGGTGTCAAATTCCCCAGACTCGCTTCTGTGGTTACTCGCTCAGCTTACATAGTGAAAGGCATCAGCAATGAGAGCTAGTGAATGTGTGTAAAGTCCAACTGGCAAGATGTTATCCGACTTGTTCTATCAATCGAATATCCAATTCAATATTTCCACAGTCATGTTGAACCCACCTGATATCTCTGCTGTAAAGAAGCACATCGAAATTGCAATCACAGCGCTTAAACGCTGAACGCGAGTAATTTTAAATGTCATTTTGCGTTTTCCTTCTTTGAACAATTTCACCAGTCGTGTCTATAGTGCTGAAATCTCAATCGCTGCGGGCGAACGAACGTTAAAAAAAGGCTCGGATTGATCATTGATCACGGGCTGCGGGCCGAGGTGGCGATCATTCTTCATGTTGTCGCATTCAGAAGAAGCCGGACATATTGATTACCGAATTAGGATGGCCGTGTCGAAGTTTACATTGACGGGTCTCGGAGATCTCGGGGATAGCCACAGCCTGATAATTAGAGTTCGGAGATATAACTTTCCGCTTTCAGAAAGAACATCGCCCGGCATCATGGACTTTGCTAGATCCATGGACGTTGCTTGGAAATGTAGGTAATATTGGAATTGGTTTTCCCCTTCCAAGGTTTGATCATGGATCCAAAAACGCGAAAACAACGCAGGGTGATGGTATATATCAAGGGGTAAATCAGATTCCAAACTTGAACTTGAGGCACTCAGATTCACACTCGCAATTGCATCCTGGAACTTCAAGTTCGTACTATCTGCACCACCCACCTGGGGAATTGACTCAAAAGTAACTTGAAATGTCAATGGCCGATTTGATTCGAGATACCCCTATTGGGCAAATTGCCCGTTACCTTACGGGCGATCGAGTCCTTTTATATCCTGAAGAATTGCCTGGTTTTGTCTGCCCATTGTCTTTCAACGACAGAAACTCCCATCAGCAAAGTGAATCATCCTCAACCAACACCGCAACTCCATCTACCAATGATATTGAGCCGGGTGCATCCAACCAAGTGAAAGAAAAGACAGCATCCTCGCCATACCTCGTCGATTGGTACAGCGATAATGATCCCGAGAACCCCCAGAATTGGTCTGGCTGGCGAAAGGCATTTGTCACTTTCCAAATTTGCATGTATACCCTTGCGGTATATCTGGGATCTGCGATTTACACCCCATCCGAGACCGGCATCAAAGAGTATTTTGGCGTATCGCAAACTGTTGCAGCACTAGGTCTTTCACTTTATGTTCTCGCCTACGGGATAGGGCCTTTGATATTTTCGCCTCTCAGCGAAATCCCTTCAGTTGGCCGGAACTGGCCATATATCACTACCATGATCATATTTGTTATCATTTGTGTACCCACCGCTCTTGTCGACAATATCGGCGGTCTTCTTGTCTTGCGATTCTTGCAGGGCTTTTTCGGCTCTCCGGCCCTTGCCACAGGCGCTGCGTCACTAGCGGACATCTTTCCCATGATCCTCCTCCCCTACACCCTCTGCCTGTGGGCGATGGCCGCCACTTCTGGTCCAGCACTTGGTCCTGTCATTTCAGGATTTTCCGTACCAGCCGAGACCTGGCGGTGGAGCATGTGGGAGATTCTATGGCTATCCGGACCTGTTCTTATCTTGATGATTCTTTTCCTTCCCGAGACCTCTTCACATAACATTCTTCTCCGACGAGCACAGCGCCTCCGCAAAGTCACTGGAGATTTGCAGCTACAGTCACACTCCGAGGTTGTTCAGTCAGGACTGACCGCTCGGGATGTGGCATTTGAAGCTCTGGTGAGGCCGATGCAAATGATAATTTTGGATCCTGCAATTGCATATACTGCAGGTTATGCTGCACTGTGCTATGCCATTTACTACAGCTTCTTTGAGGTATTCCCCATGGTCTACATAGAGCTCTATGGCTTCAACGTTGGTGAGATGGGGTTGACTTTCTTATCCATCACTGTCGGTACTGTGGTTGCCATTGCGATGTACTATGTGTATCTCCACTTCGTTGTCGGCCCGGCAATTAGATCCGGTGCACCTGATATCCCCGAATACCGTCTCATTCCAGCTCTTTTCGCCTCATTTCTCCTACCCACCGGCCTATTTATATTTGCGTGGACCGGGAATGGGCACACGCACTGGATTGTCAGCGTCATCGGAATCTTCTTCTTCACCGTCGGCATGTTCCTGGTCATGCAATCAATATTCGCCTACCTCCCAGCCGTGTACCCACAGTTCACTGCTTCGACGTTCGCTGGTAATGATTTTGCTCGCTCGTCACTCGCATTTGCAGCGGTGATGTTCTCTCGTCCAATGTATGAAGCGATGGGTATTGGACCCGGAACAAGCTTACTCGGTGCTCTCACTGCTGCTTGTATCGCGGGAATTTTTCTTCTTTTCTTCTACGGTAAGAAGCTTCGTGCCAGAAGCAGATTCTCAACGAAATATTGAGCGGAGTGTGAGAAGTGACAGAGAAGAAGAAATAAAAAAGACGGAGGATGGAGGTTAGACTCTGGATGTACCACTGTTGTTACCTCTGTTCTACGCATGGAGCTTCGCATTGATTTCGGTGAATATCGGAGCTTCTAGTCTGGATAACAAAGGAGTTTAATGTTCAGGTCCTTACTAGATTTTCTTATTATTAAATTTCCCGATTCGAGTTGAATTGAATATTTCTCGACGCAATAAATCAGGCTTTCCAACCCATACTAGTATGAAAAATTGAGCTCCATTATGTTTCAAGACAGCGTCCTATCTTCAATGTTGGAGTCAGTACTACTAGTATCAACTTAGATCTCGGCACCAAAGACTAATGGCCGCTCGGTATTAGATCTCTTGTGTCCAGCGACTCCCATCAGCTCTTTCTCCGTTATAAGATCTTGTTGTCTAGAAAGGGGTATATTTACTATATAGAGGCCGCGAAAATGTTTCTATCGGTGCCAAAATAATTCAAGTTTTGGCAGACTTTACTAGTACCTGGAATTCTGGAATTGCTTATTTCTCGACCTATCCTGCCGGCGTCATGACTATGTCGCAATAAAGCTGGACTTGTCCTTCTACTAGCAAATTCTAGCAGAGGATAAATGCCCATAGTATCTTGTGTGGAAAATTCAAGTTCTCCCGAAATTATTATTGCATGAGCTAACGTGCACCCATAGTACATAATATGTAGGATTAGGCCGTGGAATTTGGTTGGTACTTAGTTACATAATGTATGCATATTTCCTGCATTCAAACACTCAATGGCAAGCCTTGCCGTACCTCTTTAATCGTGCATAATTATAGGGAAGAGGGGCTAAGAAGCCTGCGCCGATGGATAACATGGCCGCAGCCCAGAACTGCGGATTCTCGAAGGCAATCACGCCACCAGTGAGGTGATAGTCAACTGCGTTTTCTGCCAGTTCCATAGCCACCATGGAAACCATACCCATCCCCATTGCAGTCTGACCAGCCTTATTCCAAGATAGGTTGTCAGGCCCAAGCTTGAGTAATACAGTCTCAAGAATAACAGAAGTTGTAATACCGGAGGCCACTGTCGAGATGTAAGCAGGTGATAGAGTAGGGCAATAACTGGCATCGTATTCTGGAGACTTACTTGCAGCAAGCATGATTGTATTCATTCCAAGCTCGGGGCAGTATGACTGTAATGTCCAAAGAGCAGAAAAGTCACCGACCGTACAGCCTACGAGGCAGCGCGAGGTATTTAGCCCAGATCTTCGCCATGTAGAGTGACACGACCAAAAGGCCGCGCTCAGCATGGATTTGGTGTTTTGCGAAGGGGTTTCAGCGGAAGCGGACTTGGAAGGTTCATTCTGTTGACAAGAGCCAGAGCCTGATTTGGTCTGCATTTTCTGATTGGAGTGGCATGCAAGATATGGGATGGTACCGGAAAAAAAGCGTGCTTGAAGCAAGGTCGAGTGCAGGTGCGCAGCACGGCTCAGCAGCCGTGGGTGGAGATTACGCAAATGGTTCATGATAAACAAGCACGATAACTGGGATGAACGAAAGCTCCTCGGCTTGCGGAAATCCGTGAAACATATACTAGTGATGTGGGTAGGTAATCCAAAAAGCGCAATAAAGACGCATTGCCACTGGTAGGCACCCCTAATCAGTATTCGGACATCCCCAGGCCAAATGAGGTTTAGTCTCGTAAGTTTAATACCACAATCTTACCTCGCAGACGTTCGATATCAGTTTTTGTTGCTATTAGGTATATAACAGAGCTTAATAGAACACGAATATTATTAGTAATATACCAAGGTAGCTTTCTCTGAGATACTATACAAATTTTCATTATAGACAGAAGAAATCTTAGAAAGATGATTAGTAAATCTAAGTGTTCAAGTTTCTTTCATAAAGCTATTTACAAAACATCACTATGACCACATACTGCAATCACCTCAGTATCCTCTAAATTCTCCACAATCTAATTGAAATAAAGAAACAACTATTTTAACTGTAGGCTATATATAATAAGAGGAACTTTTGGTTTTTCTTTCTCTTACCACTCATACAAATTTGTATAGTACACCAGAGAAAGTTGTGCCTGATAGCAATAAAAACCGACGTTAGATACCTGGTATTACACTTACTAAACTAAACCTAATTGGGCATAGGGATGTCCACCCACCACAGCTCGGCACCGGCATTCGGAGCTGCCTAAAGCGGTGTCGAGTGGATCCCAGCGTCTTATAGCACAAAGACCTCGTTGTAATAGAGGTTTGTAAGGGGATGTAGATGAGACCATTGAAATTCATTGGATTATTATAAATGAACGGCAAAATCCGGGAGTACAGTTCCAGCGATCACTTGGCTTCATCGCTCAAATTGTTTTCAAATACCTTCCTCTCATCTCATCCCTCATCATAAATCCCATCAACAACTTTGATCCTTTTTTTCTTCGCAATGGCTCCCAATCAATACAAATTCAATGTGCAGATGGGCTGCGGTGGCTGCTGCAGCGTCTTAGAAGATGCGCTCAAGGGTGTCGATGGTGAGTTCAATTGATAGCGACCGTGTGTTGCTGTGGCTATTGCGGCTAACAAATATCGGGATGAAGGAATCGAGTCCTTCGATGTCAGCCTGGAGCACAAGATTGTCCTTGTCAATGCACAGTCTACAGTCTCATACGAACATATCCTTGCCATTCTAAAGGAGACAGGCAAGACTGTCCACAGCGGCGAAGCGAATGGCCAAGCCCGTGAGGTCTAAAAAGCGATGTACCCATCCTAAAAATTTTTTTTTTTTGATTTTGGAGAGACTTGATAGTTTAGTTAGCTTCAGCACCCGCTTCATAGATCATTTGAGTTTTCAATGAATTTATCCCTTCGAGTGCTTCAGCTCATACGTTAGTTGACATTGAAATCATAGTCTCGGTCAATTACCAAGAGTGGAACGAAAAGAGCTTATTTTTGATGATTTATCGATCTATTTTCGGTGAAACTGTCAATTTAATAAACTCAGAACTTATTAGTCTTTTATCTAGCAAAGAAGATCCCAGGGTGCCCATAAGACCTTAAGAACGCGGAATAGTATGGCCAAGATACCCCCGATCCATCATCGATGGAGCATTACCTAGAGCGACATTTTTGAATTTTATTTTAATTAAATCAGATGCACGAAAGAAATTAGAATTTATATTTTAGACCCTAATATTTTCGTACAAATTGAATGTTTCAGCTCGAAATCGCGCTCACTTGCAGCAGGAAGGCGGCACGCAGATATCCGGGACATCTGATGTATTTAATCTACAGAAGCACGAAGACTTGACTGGAACATCTGCCACAGCGAGCGCAATCTTGAGCTGTGGCTCAACAAAACTTGCCTCTTGATCTTTTCCCATTCTGGTCAGGCATTCATAGTACCCCTGAAGAGCCCAGACGTTGTTGGGGTGGTGGTGAGCCCGGTACAACTTTGCGCTCAACCCGAGGTCTGCCTTGTATGCCTCCGCGGCTTCTTCAATATTTCCCCTTTCTAACGAAAGAGCAGCATAAGCATGGCGAACAGGCTGCATCCACCCCCAGGGCTCACTGAACACGAGGTTGTCCTCGAGATGTATCGCATGGCGTAAAGCAGCAAAGCCCTCGGTATGATCCCCGCGGCGATATTTGATCTCCCCATCCAGCATAGATACTCCCACACGAAGAATATCGACAGATCGGTTAGGATGCGTTCGACGAGTGCCCGGGACGCTTTTAATGGCGGCCAAGTATTGTGTTTGCTCCCATTCAGCCTCTTTCACATGACCCAAGGAGGCATATGCAACACCCCGCGCATAATGGAGTGTCGCGGTCGTCACACAATAGAGGTTTTGATCAAGCGGAGGCTGTAGCTTGATTATTTCCTCCCACATTCCAAACCGCACCATCACGTGGAAACGAACACCGACAAATCCCTCAAGCCAATCAGCAAGATTGGGAGATTTCGCACGCAATATATCTTCGGGGATAGTTGCCTCCATACGGTCCACAGTTTCCAATGCGATCTTTTTCTTACCAGCAAACATTGCTGCGTAGATCAAAGAGTGGTAATTGTGAAGACGGTACAGACTGTAGAAGTTCTTGCCGCCAGCATAATTGTAGTATTTTTCATCGGCGAGAGTAGCATGCATATTGGATGAAATCGCCCGGCGGTAGTCTCCAATTAAGTTATCCAAGTGGATTGGCATATGATGCGCATGTCCGGCATCAGGGACAAGATCTCTCAGGTTATCAGCGGCAGAAATCCCACGCTCGGGGTTGGGCGACATCTCCGATAGGTGGATGTACATATGAAGTAGACCAGGGTGCTGCAGTGCATCTTGACGCCCCAGAGCACGTTCTAGAACTTCTCTGATCTTCAAGGTACAGGCGCCCTCTGCAGCTTCACCGGTATTCAGATCGTAAAGCTTCCACGGAGTCAAAGTCATCATGGAGTCGGCATACAGACAGGCAACATCCAGATCAGCACCGAATCTCTCGTACGCTGATTTCATGGCATTTGAATATTGGACACCTTCCAACATGAGTTGCTGTACTGGAACAAGAGACTCATGCTGGAATCGAATACTGATGGCATCGATGAGAGCTTGTTCAATTGGCGTGACGGACGCAGACAGGGATTTGGCGGTTTTGGACGCTTGGTAAGTCTCTTTCAACACAGACTTGAGGTGCTCTTCATCGAATAACTCGTAAGGATGGTTGTAATTGGGTCCGTAGGCGAATGCAATACCCCAGTACGCCATTGCACATGAAGAGTCAAATGAAATTGCCTTTTTGAAACAGTGTACTGCTTCCATGTGGTTGAAGGTGTAGAGCCATGTAAAGCCTCGGTCGAACCATATTTGGGCAGATAGGCTGGTAGTCGAGATTTTGCGTCCGAAGTATCCAAGGTCAAACCTATATTCGGTGCCTTCGGTAACTGACGCGCTGTCTTGCTTCGACGAAGACATTTTGTAACTCGGCTGGGTGAAATAAGTCGGTCAAAATGAGACCCGTAGATTGAAGGGGACTTTGCGATAGGTTAAATCTTTTTTTTTTCATACACTACTGTCAAGGTTCTAGCGTCCTTAGAATTCACCGATAAGTCTTGAATTTCGGGCCGCCCAGAGTTGACTCGGAGACAAAAATGACCTAAAGAAGTAACTTTGATCTCCGAAGTACAGGCGGCCGGCATGTTGGCAGATCCCGGAGACCCGTGGCCGTGACTCTACGTGATGTCCGTGCACTAGTCTCCAGTCTGCAGAATTGCATGGGTATGATAATAGCGGATATAAGCCTTAGAATGACCTCGGGACTTTCTTATCATTAACTGCTGGGATGTAACTTTAATGACAATTCGGCAAATACTGGGAACAACTTAAAATAATGCTTTGTTTTATGAAATCTTCTAGTATTATGAATATCACTATAGTTTAGATTGTATTAAAGGGGAAACAATGTGTCCTTAAGCATTGGAGACAAAAATCAAGGGATAAAATGACAATTATATTCTTGCACATAGTTCGAAAATGCATAGTAAACACAGCCGCCGGCGAAGATCTGTGGTAATAATTTTATTTAGTAGAGCCGATGCTCCTCGTTCCTACCAGAGGAAGTCGAGTCTTCATCAGAAGACTACTGCAGATGACACTGAGACTGCTGAGAGCCATCGCAAGACTAGACCAAACAGGGTCCAGTCGTACGTGGTTTCCATTGCTGACAATGGGGTAAAAGACACCGGCTGCAACTGGTACAGCAACACAGTTGTAAACTAAGGCCCAGCCGAAGTTAAATCGGATACGACGGAAAACCACTCGGCTCAAATCAACCAGGGTGAGGAGCGAGGTCAAGCTGGAGGATACAAGAACAAATTCCGCAGCGGATATCGCAATGTCCGAGCCGGAACCAATGGCAATACCAACATCGGCAGTAGTCAATGCAGGAGAATCATTGATGCCGTCACCGACCATAGCCACCAATGCCCTACCTGAAGCGGCCTTCTTGCCAGAGCCGAACCATCCTCTTTGGGGGGGCTCGCGGAAGGGTCTTCTGGAGGTATTTCACCCTTTCTGCTTTCTGTTCTGGCAAAACACCAGCAATGATGTTTTCTGTAGGGATTCCGACCATCTTTCCCACAGCCTGAGCAGTGGTGGGGTTATCTCCGGAGATCATCCAGACAGCAACGTTGCGGTCTTGCAGGGATTTGATGGTGGCCACAGCCTCGGGCCGGACGGGATCGGCTACTGCAAGTATCAAAGAGAGTCTCCAAGGAATTAACTCGTCTGCTCTTCCGCTTTCACGAAATTTGGCACCAACAAGCACAACAGACTTCGCCTGCATCTTCCAGTCGCTCAAAGCTCGATTTTGGGTAGACGAAATTGCAATACCATGATCGACCATGAGTGCCTCGTTTCCAACCACAATATCAAGCGTCGAATCTGGGTTGTCGAGAAGAGTGAACAGACCCTTCATTCCTTTTCCAGCGATCTCGTTGACAGAGACAGCTGATACTTTGCTTGGCTGATTCTTGGTAGCGAAATTGACCATTGCTTTGGCAATCGGATGACTGCTGTTCTCTTCAAGCTCTGAAACTGCGCCCCAAATCTCATCAACATGATCAGTGGCAGTGACTTCATAATCGGTGATAGAAGGCTCACCACCCTCGGTGATAGTTCCGGTCTTGTCAAACACGATACAATCCAATTGGCTGGCTTCCTGGAATGCCTCACCACCGCCCTTGACAAGAATTCCATGCTGAGCTGCAAGGCCACCACCCACGAAGAGAGCTGTTGGGGCTGCAAGACCAATTCCACAGGGGCAAGCGACCACAAATACGGAGATAGCAAACTGCAATGACCAGAATTCCCACCCACCAGCGGTGTCCGCTTTCCAGCTTTCGGGAAGCCGGCCGCTAGCGCCCAGGGCTAGCCAAACGACCCAGTCAAGGATCGCAATCAGAGTTATCAGTGGAACAAAAAAGCCCGTAATCAGATCGGCCGTACGCTCAATGGGCGCTCTGCGAATTTGGCCTTCCCGGATCGCTCCGATCACCTGGTCCAGCATCGAGTCGCCGGAAAGGCGTGCTACTCGGACCGAAACTGGATTTGCCTGGTTGATTGTTCCAGAGAATACCTCATCACCGACCGACTTGGTCACAGATTTCGACTCTCCCGTCAAACTGGACTCATCGAATTGCGATCGGCCTTCGATCAAAGTTCCGTCGTAAGGAGGCGAAGCACCGTTACGCACGCGAACTATATCGCCAAACTCCAAATGGTCGATAGGAGTTGTGATAACCTTCCCAAATCCAGTCAGGTTTGATTCGTCTTGTTCGACCAGCAGAGCCTCTGTGGGGCGCAACTTGCTGAGAAGGTTAACTGCATCTCCGGCCTTGGCTTTGCTGTAGGCTTCGAGAAGTCTGCCAACAAGTAAGAACATGGTGAGGAAGACGACAGAGTCGAAGAAGCTGTCGGTGTGCGTTGCCATGCCGTCACGTGGCTGCGTCGCATTGATAGCAAGGATGGCGATGGAGGAGATATAGGAGATGGTAGTTCCAAGGGACATAAGCATATTCATGCTTCCGAAGCGGTAAAATCGTCGCAAAATTGGCGTTGTGCTTCCAGGTCGCCAAAGAGCCTTGATTTCGGCAAACATACGTCGATGGAAAATATCTGCGGAAAAGAAATAAACCGGGGTCGCCATGATAAACAAAGCCCATTCGATGCGAGAGGTTTGACCAGCCCACATTGGTTGCTCAAGGTAAACCCGCTCGGGGTTATCAGAGGAAACCAAGGACATGTAAACGATGCCAATGATGAATGTCGGAATTGCTGCTACGACGGCTATAGCCAGACGACGGGTGATCTGCCATTGCTGTCGACGGTGCATTGCCTGAGACCGTTCCTCCAGGCTAGGGGGGTGATATACCGATACTTTGAATGCTTTGTCAACTTCGGCGATGGAGTTGATGATATGTCGAATGGTGAAGTCTGGCGCGTTGGGAGTGTAAGTCACCGTCAACAGAGACTTGTTTGAAGTAGGAGGATCCGTCACCTCCAGTCGGTCTGAGAAGAGCGCAAGGGCATTGAGAACTCGTTGAGGGCAATTCGAACAATGCATTCCATCAATTTGAATGCTCAGTGTGCGCTGAGAGCTTTGCTCATGTGTCGGATTCTGACTCTCAACATTGCTGAGATCAGCTTTGTAGCCAAGCCCATTGATCACCGTGAGAATTTCATCGAGATGGCTCTTGCCTTGAAATTCGACCGTTGCGCTTCCGGAGACAAGGTTCACATCAACCTTGGTGATCCATGTTTTCTTCTTGAGTGTGTCTGTCACTTTTCCAACGCAGGAACTGCAAGTCATACCCCCAATAATGTACGAAGCGCGCCACGAGTCGACTTGCGCGACTGGCTTGGATGGCTTCTTGGTTTGGATATTCTCGGTTTCAATGAGGTCAACAGCATAACCTGCTCCTTTAATTGTAGCCAAGACTTCATCCACATGTGCTTTGTCAAGAAGAACCACTACAGCGCTTGCGGTTAGGAGATTGACATCAACCGATTGAATCCACTGTTTTGGCTGTAAAGCAGCTGTGATATTACTCACACATGAGCTGCAAGACATTCCATTGATGGATAAAGTAATGCGGACCTGGGATCCGTCCAGGCGATCGGTCATAATGTTCATCAACTCATCGTCTCCGGAGGGGCTGATGAAGCTAGCGGAAGTAGCCTGCTTCGCAATTTCCCCATCACTCTGAATTGCTGTTGACGCAAAAGAAAGCTTTGCTAGTTCTACAGAGCAAGAATCACATTGACTAACGTGTTTTGCAGACTGCTCATGCAAATTATGCTTGGGTTTGCCACGATGAGTGGTCTCGTATTGTTCATCGTTGATCTCGAAGCCGTCTTCATCAGTCCGCACACTATCAATTTCAAATGCGGCATCTTCTAACGCCTGGATAATGCGGGCTGTAGTCAAAGTGCTTGGGCGGAGAATCTTGATAGTTTGCAAGATTATTGAGGTTGTGACGGAAAACGGAGACGGTTGGAGCGCGTTGAGCGTTTCCTCGATATTGGAAACACATGATGGACAGTGGAGGTTGTTCACCAAAATGGTGGTGAATTTGGAGGGAGGTGTAGCCATCGATCTTCGAAGGAAAGACAGTTCAGAATAGCAGTGACTCAAGATAAGAGGCTGGTTGATCGGGGTAGGAAGATTGGAGATATAGAATTTGTGGGGGGGGGGGGTCTATTCGTATTTAAAAAAGTGCTGGCACAAGCTACCGCACAAATAACGCACTTGGCTTATTGATCTTCATATCATTCTCGCTCAGGAAGTAGCTAGAATCCCACGAAGACCAATAATCCTGTGGGTTACCAAGGTTCTATGATAAATTGACCTTCGGAGTGGCAGAGATGGTTCGGATATAATACTTTCCTGAAAAGGGTAAGTTTATGTGGATCGTATCCACTTCACGATCCGGGTTCCGGACTTCGGATTTTCGTCCTCCTACGAACTGCGTCCTTACTAGTTCAACGCATAGGAGCTTGAGGGGATTTCGCGTCGTCGCAAGTAGCGGGATGATCAGTCTCTCTTTGTGAAGTAGAATTTGTAGGTATGTTCGGCATTGCTAGTTTCGGAGTTGCGAGCCACTCAGCATTCTTTTAATATTGCCTGAGTGTTTTCTTCATTTTCGTGATGCTTTTAACGTGCATCGCACCAGTATGGAATATTATCAAACTTCAAGTTGACCAAGGACGTGTAAACCCCGCCTCCATTTGGTAGATTCCCTCGCGGTCAATACACCGGTCGGTGGTCCTGTACCGGAAATCAAGTATTCTGAAAATGTCAGTCATTTGACATCTCTCTCTCAAGGCGCCTGAAACCTCACAATGTGGGTTCTCACGTTGTGTCTGTCTTCGCATTACCGTTCATGTGCGCAGTAATCTGATTCAGGTACAAGCACCAGGCGCCGATGCAGGCCCGGTGTCAAGTCATTCCATTCCTGACTCCGCACTAGGCTACGGCAAAAACCGCGGTTGCCAAAGTCTGCACCGAAAACTGAACAAACGGTTCAGCAAACGGTTTTTGCCGCAGCCTACTCCGCCTGAAGTCCAAGTCTCCGAGGATTGGTATTCAAGCGGGGAAGTGTTCAGTGACCGTACCTACTTGGCCCTGGTTTCCCATAAGCGTATAAAACTTAGAGCTTGCTAATGTTTGAGTAAGGCTATAGAGAATGTCTCCGTCAAAAAATCCGAAACACCAGTCTTGTAATTGGTCAGTCTTATATAATAAATAGTTCATTTTGGATGAGGATGGGCAGACCGGTGCTATATATGAAAATGCTACTCATTTTGTGTATAATTTTAACCGTTTACAGAGATTTTATTTGAAAACGAAGGATTATTGCGAAAGAAATGGATTTGTGATGAAAAATATCAGTTTGGATTGAATGTGTCACTGATTCATGAAGATCAGGGCCAAATTCACGTAATCGTCAAGAGCTGCCTTTTTAAAATATCAAGGCAAATACTGATGACATAATTGTTTTTTGTGACTGATAAGCTGATAGATCGAGAAAGTGACTCCGGTTATCACGAATATGGAAATTTATCGCGGTCAATCTTAAAATGTTCATAGCTGACATGGAGAGTTAAGAACCGAGGGACCTTCATATAAAAAAGCTGCTTAAATCTATATTCATGTCTATTTTTTTCAATTATCTCTTTTCATCCTAGACAAGTCATTCAAAGTTTTTCAACTCTTCTGACTATTCAGTCGACACAAAATGCCTACCAACAACTTCACCACTTCCCCTTCCAGCCAGCATTATGATGTCGTAATCATTGGAGGTGCTACTAGCGGCTCCTCCACTGCCTGGCATCTCAGCCAAGATCCTGATTTCAAGGGGTCAGTCTTGGTAGTCGAAAGAGACCCGTCTCTTCAATATTCGGCTTCAAAGGCAAGCAACAATTGCATGCGACAGCAATTTGCAACCGAGATTAACGTCAAAATTGCTCAATACGCTGCGGATTTTGTGAGGAAATTTGGCGCCGAATTTGGCCCGGATCCTTGTGTTCCAAACCCTCCTATCCGCAATTTCGGCTACCTGTATCTGTCCGACTCTCCTACCTTCACGGAAATACTGCGGGAGGACCAGCAGCTACAAGAGAGCTGCGGTGCAAGTACGGCTATGATATCTGCTGCTGAGATTAAGAACAAGTATCCATGGTTCAATATCAATGACCTTGACTCTGGGAGCTTGAACACCAAGGACGAAGGCTGTTTTAATGCTCTTGGCATGACCCAATGGATGCGCAAGATTGCATGTGAGAGTGGTGTTGAATATATCGACAACGAAGTCGTCGATATAGGAGTTGATGCAAGTCGTGTCAGCACTATTACCTTACGCAGTGGCGAGACAATCATAGCCAACAATGTGGTCAACGCTGCTGGCACCCGTGCTGCACCAGTAGCCTCGATGGCTGGTATACGAGTCCCCATTGAGGCTCGTCGTCGGTATACCTACATCTTCGAGGTGGATGATCCGCTGCCCGAAGATTTGCCACTCACAATTGATCCTTCCGGCGTGCATTTCCGATCCTATGCTGCAAAGGATTATCTTGTAGGCTGTCCGCCAATTGGTACCGACAATGCAGTTGATGTTGATGACTTCAGCTTTGCTGAAGATGCCTGGGAAAAGAAGATCTTGCCTGTAATTTCTCACAGGGTCCCTCACTTCAAATCTGCTCGTATCACTGATTCATGGATGGGACACTACGAGTTCAACACCTTTGATTGCAATGCCATTGTCGGTCCACACAAAACCATTTCCAATTTCTTCTTCTGTGTTGGATTCTCCGGACACGGTAGTCAGCAAGCACCCGCTTGTGGACGGGCCATTTCTGAACTCATCGTGCATGGTCGGTTCAAAACTTTGGATTTGGGTGTTTTGTCGTTCTCTCGTATCCCCGAGGGTCGCCCATTGACAGAGCGCGCAGTCATCTAGTGATACAATCGTTCGATCTCACCATACTTCAATCAAAACCTCGTCACTTGAACGAATGAATTTATTAAATGAAGATTATATTGATTTTCTCAGATACAAAGTTTATGCTTCTTTTCAAAACCAATCACCGCTATCTCATCACTGCATAGTAGAAACTCTTCTCTTTCATTCTGTATCTTCACTAGTCAACCTGGCACACTCTCCTCGCGATGTCCTCGAACCAATACAAACCCTAAACCCTTGACGTGTGTAACTATTGAAGATAATTAAGAATGTATGATGCGATCACCTCTAACCTTGAGGTCTTTGAGGTCTTTTTTGTTTCTGTTAATACCCCGGGGGAATGCATAGTTAACAAATTGTCTTGTAATGGAATTTATGGCTTTAATAGAAATCTTGCCAAGCTCTGTCGATCCACGGACTTGGACTAAGAAGCATTTCTTTATATCTTGACCTACATCAAGGGGTCATCCACTGGCCAGAAATCTCCACTTTCAAAGAAATTGAATGGATCAGCAATTGAGTCCCAGTCCATACCCATATCCTGTTAAATATTTGGTTAGCCCTTGGATCTACCGATGGGTGTTCCGGGGGTTAAAAACTTACATAGAACTCCGGACCCAGTTCCTCCGGTGGGAAAGACGTCATGCCTTGATTGGAAGGAGTAGGGGTCAGATGAGGCTGTGGTTGTTGTTGCATAGACACGAAAGATCCTGCAGTTTGGGAGGCCTATGAGTATTTGTTAGTGATATTATTACCGATGCGGACGAGCAAGTCTGGCTAAAGGTTTCCCTCACATTGTTCGCGAGTGTTGAACTGGACTGTCTGACTCCGCCTGTGCTTGTAGAAAAAAATGGTTCCAGGACGCCGTCGAGTAGCAACTCCCGGCAGCGTTTTGAAGCTCGCGGGCAAGCCATTTCCAGTGTGTAGTACTCATGATCAATTTCGCCACCGCGTCGGGATCGATGTGTTGGGTGTAACGACGCATGTTTTGCATGCGCATAGAACATATGAAGAAGCATGAATGACTTGGATGCCTGTTTCTCCGTTCTTACTTTTAATTCAAAATATTTCATGCAATTTTCGACCGTTTCAAAAAGGCCGTCTGTGTTATTTTGTCCAGAGAAAGCGTTCATTCCAAGACCGGAGCCCAAATATGGAATCAGCAAGTTGTCTTTTGATTGTAGTCGAATTTCAAAACATAAGGTCGCAGCTGCATGAAATAGCTCGTCGCGGAACATGCCTCCCTTTAATTGCAGGTAACAATTGCCACCCATAGGTTGCTCCTTGGCCTGAGAACTTTGGAGGAAAATTGCAAGTGGGGACATCATGGCAAGACTTGCTTGTACACAAATCTTCTGCGAGTAGTTGAAAGTCTTGCTGCCACTTTCACCAATGCTGAGAAAATAGGGTCGATGCAGCGCAAGAAGGAATCGGTATATCAAAAAAAGAAGGACATTTTTGCAAAAGCGTGAATCGTCGGCTGTACCTTCAGCCATAGTTTCGGTAATTGCTTGAGGGAGGTTTGAAATATGATCAGTGAGAGTATCACTCAGTTTCAAAATCTCTTCATAGCTGGCCATCAGGCGAACGCTATTAATTAATCGAGAAATATGCAAGCGAACATTAAATGTCTCGGAGAGAATGGCCAGAAAAGAAGTTCTTGTCAGGTTGTCGCGTGGCTGCGGTGGCGGCAAAGTTGTGGCATCGAATTTGAGATCCTCGTCCTCTAGATTGGATGGCGGTTGGCAGTCATATTCGTTCTGAGATATTGAGACAGGAGCGCCTAAACTGAGCGCTGCTTGCAAATCTAGTTCCACGATTGTTGCCCAAAGTCTGCGGCGCATTTCTTTCCAGTAAGGGGAAATCGTCCTGTAATGAGATGGGTCTCGATGAAGCCCGATCAAGATAGCATTTCGGACAACAGAACCCGCGGCAGGCCAACTGAAATCACCTTCGTGTCCAATAGCCTGTTGAGCAAGTAGCAGTAAACATTCGATTTGCAGAATGTCCCAACTTAGCCTTGCGCGATTAGTTAACAGTTTCAGCCAGGATACCACAGCTTGAATCCACTCTTTGGCTGTCCGAAGTGGTACATAAGAATCACCAGTCTTGTCTCCAGATTCCCTACTGGCAAAGCAGCTGGCACATGCCATCAAAGCCAATAGCTTTGCTGAAAATATCTCATTCAACCAATCGGTCAACGTGTCCTCTTCTCCATGGCAGGAAAAGAATGTGTCGTATTCCGCGCGAAACTGGACAAAATGCAGAATGCGAAAGGTAGTTTCAAACGACGAGAAATATAAACTGACAAGGTGGTCTGCCAATTGACGATTTGGAATGAGGGTCTTCAAATGCGGTGGATGTAGGCTTGGTTGGATCTGGATGCGGTACCCAGGATCCTGTCTCATCAACTGCTTTGATTGGCGCATCGACATGTAATCAGAAAATTCAGACTGAGCAGTACTGCGCTTGGCCTCATGATACTTGCGAAGATGCTCTCTCAAGTCGGGAAACTTTTCAAGGAGTCAATAAAGGTTCAATTTGTTAAGTAGAGCGGGAAGCTGAATATACCATGTCGACGGTCAACGCCCAATGACTTCGTCCAAAAAACCGAGTTGCCGCCCCCGAGCCGGGGAATGATGACTGGCCTAATGTTTGAACGGCGGGATCTATACCTAGTTGGCTAGCAAAGTGGCTGTGCGGGCTGCATGGCGCGTTGTCAGCACGTCCGCCATGGTCTGAGGCACAGATTTCTTCAACGCCAGAGCCCATAAACTGAGGTGAAGAGGCCCTGTGAGGTTGCAGGGGTGGGCTCTGATCCGGGCGCGAAGAGGATTTACCAGAGGCGGTTCGTGCTGTTCGCTTGCGGGCCCCGGTGGTATAGTGACACAATTCCTGTGTTTTCTGACGGATACATTGGCTACATGGGGAAGACCGATCACACTTCACTTTCCTCTGCCGGCAGGGGTCACATGAAAGAGCCTTCCTGCTTTTACGCTCTATCGTGGCCCGCTGGGGGTTCACTCGCATAACACTGTGTCTGGAGCGGTCGAGTGCATCGGGTGGAGGCGTCATATCGGTGTTAGATCAGTTGGTCATTTGACTGAAGTCTCCGAGTCTGTTCGAGCGAAGACCTCTCACAAAAATCCTGGAGATGCTAAAGACGGTCCCATGGAGTGCACGATATCTGGGCAGAACAATGGCGGTGAATGTTGAATGGATGGGTGAGCTACGCCGACGCGTAAAACACCCTCAGAGTAGTAGTTTCTAAAGGAGATCTTCAGTTTCATCTCCTGTTTATGCGAGAACGATCTGTATTCCTTTATGATCGCGGTCCGTCTAAAAAAGCCTAAGTGTGAGTTGCATATCATCTAACGAGGACGAAAATCTGACGTCGGAGCGCGTAAGTTTTATAGATAGGTAAGAAGATGACTAGAGCGTGGGCTAATATCTTCCATCTTGTAGGCAAATTCTCCAACTTGAGGGCGGAAGAGTCTTGGAATCCAGCAGATGCTACCTGGCAACCAAAATTCAAGTCCTCTAGAAGGTTCGCAGTCGTTTGTTAGTCAACTTCTCTATCCCATTTTTTTTGGCTAAGTTATTCGGAGAAAATTACGTATATAGACCTCAAGGGCCAATCAGTCAAGACACTTAACTCTATATCGCTATAATTGGACATCGGTCGTGCCCAAGAACATCGAACCAACTAAGGGTAAAATCCCCTCTCTCTTGTCGGGCCCTCCACACACATTGAATGACATCAGCAGCGACAGCAAAGGATTGAACAGCTGTCCTATCTAACATGTCTCGCAACCAGTGCAGAAGACGATCTTGAACCGTTCTGTCTAGAGCCTCACTTGCTGCTATGAAACAAGGCCAAAGTAGTGAGGCATTGTGTTCCTCTCTCTCGTTAGAGCCGCATGCTTGCTCTATAAACCGCATCGCTTTTTTCACTGTTTCCTGTAGGATAATGGCGTTTATGTTGTGGACTCGGCGATAGTAGAACAATATCAGACTTTGATGCATGGCCAAAGCATTGTAGGAAGGTAGCGGTGCAGGCTCATGCTGATTTTTTGTGCCGGCCCCCCGAGAAAGTGGCGAGAAAGGAATACATGAGTCTTTCCCCATCCGCGTCTCCCAGGAAAGAATATGGTGTTCCAGAGTCTTCGTTCGCTTATTGAGGTTGGTGACAACGTCTGCGTCAACAATTGTGTCGCGAGTGAGGAGCTCTTGCTCATTGGCAAGACGAATAGTTTGTGATAAGAGACCCATGAGGGATTCCGGTACTCCATACATATTCGGGAATAAGGTATTGGTCCAGGCGCCCATCAGCTCAAGATGGATATCGTAATGCCCAACTGTATCATCTTTCTGGATGTTCATGTCCAGATCAATCAAAGAGGCGGCATCGGACAACCGGAAACTTCGTAGAGACTGCTTGGTCCCCTCATCGGCCACAAGGCTCGAATTCGGTCTTGCGGGACAGACACGAACGAGGGCACAGCCACAAGTACTCTCCGCCATTATGCGTAGCCAAGTATAGACATGATGAATAGCACGGACTTTGGAGGACTTGCAAGACTTTGGAAGCCCACGTCGTCGTATCAAACATTCTGCTTCGACTAGAAGTTCTTGAGCTTCGTTGTATGACTTGGCAGAAATCTACAAGCCACGTCAGTACGAGGGTAAAAAGACGGGAAAGCGTGGAAAAACCTCAAGGACGACCATAGATAGTATTGACATGAGCAGCTCCTTATACTTCACTGGTCTTTTGCCTGTCATCTCTTCTTCCAAACCAAGCTGAAGGTGCTGTTTAGCAAGATGATGGTTTGAAATGCGTAAGCTCTCGTATTCCTGTGCATTCCGTAATCTGGTTGCACGATGAAGACAGCTGGCTGAAAGAATGGAATGAAGGAGAGACAAGCTCGTATGACTTGCTTTATTGCCAACAAGTATATCTGCGTAGGCTGCCATGGCGGTAGGAAGATGTACAGTTTTCCAGGGACAATTTGGATTTCCTCTTAAAGGGAAAGAGAATGAAATGACGTGGTCTTTAAAATGGCGAAGTAACTCCGGAGCTCGCGGCGGAATGGGGGTAGAAATCGGCAGAGGGCATGGTGTCGATGAGTTCGTGGATAGAGCTGTTTGATCGAAACCATCTGGACGACTACCAAGATTGCCATCGTAGAGAATCTCAGCAGGAGATGGCGTGGGACCCACATGCAGTTCATTGGCATTAGTGTGTGTCTCGTCGGCGATGGTATTCGTATAATCTGTGAAGCTCTCGGTTTCAAGGCTGTGACAGGATGACTGACTTGGCCCGGACCGTGTAGGCTGCGGCGTGTCGTGGATTTTTCTGTAATCGTTGAGCCTGTCACCTTGGAAATCCATGACGCCAAAGGGCCCTTGAAAAAAGTTCGGACCGGAGGGGCTGTCAAGCCAACGATCAATACTGCCTAGTGCCGTATTTGCTGAATTCCGCCCCAAGCTATCGACCAATAATTGTACCATTGATTGTTGCTCGACACCTAGACTGTCATTAGAAATAGGATCGCTGAAGCAATAAAGGTGGCTGAGATACCTTGATAGAGTGGCCGACGAAAGACACGTTTCTCAGGACTATCGGGTTCAACCCTTGGAAGTTTAGCTCCATCGACCGGCCACTTGATTTGACCGTTATACCCTGGGCACTCAATGCCAGTGATCTGACACATTTGGCAATTCGGTCGGGTTTCATCACATTTGAGGTGACGGGCGCGACAGGCGGCGCAACCCGTCAGGGAGCGACTGTGGCTGACCATTCGGCTGCCACTTCCTGTATTCTTTTATTAAAATTCCAAAATGCCAGCAAAATAAGGTTTGGTGAGATGTCTAGTCATGGGCGCACAAATGCAGTCATAGGTGTGGTGAGAAGAGGCGGGGGTGAGAAGGTGCACAAGCTCCGAAGAAAAGCCCTGACTTTGTAATCAGTGGCAATCAACTCTTCCCCGTACCTTAAATTCCAACCAACCCACCACAGAAAATAAATAAAGAGCAATTTGAACTTGAAAGGACTTCAAAATGTTTCAGCTTTGCTCCGTGAGGTAAGATATCTACTCTAGCATAATGCTCGGGAAATTGCGCGCTTTTGGCATTGGTAAAATTTGTAGCTGATTCTTTTCGACTAACTTGAACTACACATCCAAGAGTAATGGGTGCGATGGCAGTCTGGTGTAGCAAATAGTAGGTCCAGGACTAGTGGGGAAAAAAAGCATATTTAAGAGGTTCAACAGATACTAGTACTAGTATCGAGTTTTTACTTTTGGGTCTATTGTCCATCCTTCACCTGGGGCTATCTGATATTGCTATTTCTTGCACAGCTGCACTCAGGGGGCCTCGCCTGCCAGGTGTATCCACAACCCTGTCATCACGCAATTTCCGAAGTACAAAATTGTAATTATATTACCCCTTATAGAACCAATATTTATATTATTTGGTATGTTCAGGATGGCCTCAAATCACAACTAGACCAGCTTTTCAGCGAGTCGAGGGTTTAACATAACTGCCTCGGACAGAACCGCTCGTTGAATCTCATCCTCGATTCCATGTGCCTTGGGAAGCCACCCAAGAACTTCACGGGCCCGAATTGCTTGGTATTGGGCATTGGTTCCCCAAATCACAGATCCGTGCGGGGTGAGTCTGTCTGCAGTAGCTGCGTCGATCTCAATTACTTCAGGTGATTTGATATAACCTTGTGAGTGGGCGTAGGCTGAAATCTTCTTGGAGATATCCCCAAAACACTGTGTTTCAAAAGTAATGTTTAGTAAGGGGTAAAGATGATATTCCTGGTTGAACTTACTATCTTTCCAGCTTCAGCAAAGAAGACACCATTCTCATTCCATAGCTGCATATTCGAAGTTCGTGAGGCCTCGATAACTAGCCTGACGAAGAGATTCGTCAAATCAGCGATGTGGATAGTGCTCCAGGTATTGAAGCCTCGGCCCACATGAACACCTCGCCCATGCTGTAGAGCCACCTTGGCAAGATCTGGGATTTGAATACTCCTTTGGTTCACGGGCCCTCTGCCTTTGCCATAGATGAGTGGGCCATAGACAATTGCCGTCCGAACGTGGGGGTTTCTGGAAGGCAGTCCACGGACGAGATGATCCACGGCGCGCTTAGGGGATGCGGCAAGAATGTCATGGATTTCTGAAATGCCTTGAAAGTCATTGTAGATCTTCGAACCAGGCTGGCCGAATGTTTTGGACTCTATCTCCGAAATGGATAACATACTCCCACCAGCAATTTGAATCCATGCTAGATAAATGGCGTGTCAGTTCTGGCATCATATCGCGAGGGCTATCAATCAGCACGACAAGTTGGAGTCCTTACTTGGATTTTTCCTTTGACTTTGCGACAATCCTTCGGCAATGGCTTTGGCGCTTGACACATGGCTCGAGCTTGCGAGATCTATGGTTTCAAATATTAGTTACTGACATGTTTAGGAGGGTCCGTCTGGCTCGTGATTTTAAGCTAGATGATGATACATACTCAAAATGACATCAGCATCGGAAGCCGCTCGTTGGATCTCAGCGCTGGAATCCAGGTCCCCGATCAGCGGTGTCACCGTAGGAAACCGTCCAGCAACTGCAGTTGCCTGGCTCTGATTACGCACAAGTGCGACTATGCTAGAAGATGCCAGCGCTTGAGTCAGGCCATGGAGTACGTCTCCACCGATAAAACCAGTAACACCCGTGCTGTTGTCGTAAGTCAGTTTCAAATGAACGAATTGCTCACTTTCTCAAGAAGTCGGGGGTCGTACATGAAGATACGACTCATTTTGAGCAAAAATGGAAAGTGGAGCAGATAGAAAGTTGAAAATGAGTTCTTGGATGGATCTTTCTGTAGACGGCCTAAAAGATCTTCGACTTAGTACTTAACTATCCTAATGTTGCCGTCTCAGCTATTCATATACTTACAAGCGGACAGTCACGTTACCGGCAACACATGCCTTCTCTTGGCTGATTAACTCAGACGGAAAAAGTCATCCTTTCCCTGTGGGGTTGAGGCCTCCAATTCGGCAAGTCGATCCCATTTCAACCAACTTGCGAAACCTAGACAGTTATCGCGAGACTGTCTACCCGGCGATGTGTGTGGAGTTGATACGTGTGTTACGACGTATATGCAACATCCGTACATGATTTGAGCCGCTTCTTCCTCCTAGAACCGCCTCGCAAGAGTCAGTTGCTTGCCTCCGATGATAGCTCGTCATCTTACGCAGTCAAGACTCAATTTTGTCCAATGAGCAAAGCTCCCACGCTATCTTCGGACCGGTGTATGGGCGGTGCATGCTTCCATGGCAACTCCGAGAAATTGCATGATTGTGTTGGTAGATAATTCAAGTCGGTTCGACAACGCGATTATGTAATCGCCTTCACTTGCCATTCAAAATCAAATGGGGAAGTCACACAGTTGCCCCACCCAGTCAGGACCGGGGTATGAATTATTCAGCCTCCACGATTGTAATCGAGAGTTGATATGACTATTCAAGATTAGGTCAAGATAAACTCCGTGGAAGAAGGCTTCGGCGAAATGGACGTGCGGGTTTGTTTAAAGTATAAGAGAAACTCCGACAGCATTCAACTCTCTTCTTCAAGTTCGAATCTGAGATTCAAAACCTTGGATATGCGATATAGTTCCATTTACAAACCCGCACAAACTAGATAAACACTCCATTTTAAGATCTGCTGTCTTCATCCTCGCAAAAATCGAACTTAGAGCATAACCTTGGAATGTCTATCAAGATTCTCTCCAGTCCTGCGGCCATACACCCAGGGAAGGCAAATTGCTCTTCTCGAATACGCCGCTGAGTTTCATGATGGGCGTTGATCCCGAGACTGGCAGGATCATTGATTTCCATCACCCGCTTCACAGTTCAGTCATCACTGATCAATTCCTTGCCATTCCAGGCTGTCTAGGCTCTTGTGTAGCAAGCGGTGTCATGATTGAGCTGTTGACCAATGGACATGGTCCCGCGGGAATGATCTTTCAAAGACTGGATGCTATCTTGATTTTAGGGATTTTGATTTCAAAAGTCATGCTCGGAAAGTCAATCCCAGTCATTGTGATTCCAGATAAAGATGATTTCATGTCTTTGCAGTCTGCAGACGAAATTCATATTAGCCATGATGGAGTTATAAGAAGTCACCCTGCTGGTAGAGAGTTACAAGCATTATCTCGGTTACAAAACGAGATGACGCTGTCTACTAAGGAAAATGAGTTCCTCAAGGTCCAGCATAGGCCAGCAGCTCAGATCGCAATGGAAGTGCTTGTTTCTTATGCCGCTTTGGAGGGGGCGCCTTATCTCATCGATATTTCTCAGGCTCACATCGATGCCTGTTGCTACCTAGGGCCGAGAAGTCTCTTGTTCGCTGAAACTTTATTGAAACTCGGCGCGAACCTTGGAAAGTGCCGGTTCCAACCACACTCAATGGGATTTCAGTTGACCAGCTTCGGTGGAGAGAACTAGAGACTGAGTCTGGCATGTCTACGAGCGCATCGCTCCTTGCAGATGTGTATGCTGCGATGGACGCGCAGAAAAGCTTCACACATGCACCTTATTTGCTCGATACCGCACCACAAGCTGACGAACAAATTGGTTGGGCCGAGTCTAACACTGTGATCTTTGCGAATACTGTCCTCGGAGCACGAACACAGAAGTACCCCGGCTTGCTAGATGTGTTCATTTCTCTGACAGGCCGGGCCCCATATGTTGGCTGCCACACCACAGCGGGTCGGTTGCCCAAGCTCTGCATCGACATCCCGCCTCTGTTCCAGCCCAATGATTCCGTCTTCCCCCTATTAGGCTATTACATTGGGCAAATAGCAGGATCTGAAATACCTCTTGTCCGGGGAATGGAGGCCCTGCAGCCCATAAGATCCGACATGAAAGCCTTTTGTGCCGGGTTTGCCACGACCTCGTCTGCTGCGATGGTCCATATAAAAGGACTGACACCAGAGGCTACTGGTATTATTGCTGGAGAAGAACACTTGCCAGTCCATGATACGTCTCACTGCATGCTCGCGGCTTGCTATAGCGTTCTTAACTCAGCGACAGATGCCTCTATAGATCTTGTTTCTCTTGGAAACCCGCATTTCTCTCTTGAAGAGTTCGCCTTGTTAACCATTTTATGCCAGGGTCGACGCAAGAACTCGAGTGTGGAGCTGGTAATCACGACAAATCGCACTGTGTATCAGCATGCCTTGAATAAGGGATACATCCAAGAGCTAGAGGATCTTGGAGGCAAGATTCATAACAGACACATGTTGGTGCATGCTTGGGGAGCCAGTTGCACCAAAGCATGCGCGTAATGTGATGACGAATTCTTCCAAGTTCGCTCATTATGGACCGGGAATTATTGGCAGGCAGTTTCATTTTGGAGCCCTGTTAGACTGTATTGAAGCAGCGCGCTTTGGAAAGAATATGTCCAAGACCCCTCGCTGGCTTTTAAATTGAGCTTTCAAAGTTTGCTGCGAATCATCGTGAAACCTCATACTACAATATTTTTAGGCCTGGGCTGTGAATGGAATCGTTTCTTTCAAGTTGTTATATTCCTACAGACTGAGCGCAAATGTACTAAGCAATGTACCTACTAGTACTAGGTAGGCTAGCGGCCTCACAAAAGCACCAAGGCCTGGTCGTTTCGAGCCAGCAGGTACAATTTGCGGAGGGAATTCTTCGCGTATATAAAGTGTAATTATTTTCTAAAGTTGTTACACTTAGTTGGGCTCTTTCAAGATGTCTTCATCTTTTAACTATTTTGTCGCCTATTTGTCTGGACTTATCCCGAGGTCTGATATTTCAAGTTCTCTTTTCAAAAGGAACATTTGTGGTAATGAAGGACATATGCGCGTTATAAAGCATGATCTGGTACAAAGAATGTACCTGTATCGAGTTTACAAACATGTAGAATGTGCGTTCTCATACTTTCTGTTCGAGATCACTTTCCATTTCAAGAAAATCACTATGAGAAATAGGAAATGATTCACGGACGATCCCCCCTCCCTTCCCCGTGGCGGAAAAATCAGCAGGGAGTGGAGACTGCTGTATACATAGTTAACTATACTCCGCCCGTACCAGCGACTCGAACTGAGCTGGCTCGGTCGCAACGCCAACTCATTTGATCATTGACAAGGTCTACCAGTTCTTCAGAGTCGTAGTCGACCTGCAGCTTTAATGCTTAATTTGACGATTTCCGGATCGACAGGCTGCCGGCGGCTCCCGGGCTCGTCGATGTATGACGTAGCAAAGGAATCTGGTAGGTTTTCTATATCGTCACCACATCAGGGGGCCCCTCCGGCCCATCCGCGAATTTATAACCACGCCGGTCCCAGACGCACCTGCAGAATTTCTCGTCACAATCAAAATCAAGTTCACCTCTGTCGCCTTCAATTTCCCCAGGTACTTTAACCTGCGCCGACGCGATCCCCTCCCGCCTCCACACGATCTACCCGCGATCTAAGCAAAAAACCACCGCATATCTATTACAATGGGCCTACGGGGTGTTCAGTTGGGCCTTAGAGCTTGGGAGGTACGTGATTCTACAGGTCAAGCTCGATATGGCTTTTTTAGGCGCACGATCTCGAGCTAACCCTGTCTATAGTTCCTTTGGACTTTGCTCATCATGTCTCTCATCGGTAACATCATCAACGAAGCGTTCGCTGGAAACCCAAGCTCCATCAACTACACCATGTTCCTTGCGGCATTTTCAATGCTATCGCTCTTATACCTGGTCCCAGCCACGTATAACCCGGACTGGGCTATTCACCCGATCTTTGTGATCGTGTTGGACGCGCTCAACTGCGTCTTCTTCTTTTGCGCCGCGATCGCGCTGGCTGCTAAGTTGGGCGCCCACTCGTGCAGCAACCAGGTTAGTCATGGATAGCTATATACAAATGGCTCTGCGCATCGAAAGAGAGAACCAAACAAAGCTGATTTTGCTAGTCGTATGTTCTCAACAACGAGATCACCAACGGCTCTTCCAACCCCTCGAAGCGCTGCCGCGAAGCCCAGGCCTCGACAGCTTTCCTCTGGTTTGGCTGGGCGGGCTATATGGCCTCCGTTTTCATCTCCATCTTCTTGGCTCGCTCTGCTACAGTGAACCTTCGTGGCCGCAGCGCCAGCGGCCGTCGGCCCAACATGGCCCAGGTCTAAATGAATCAGAACAATGGAGGTGGGGGAAGGAGTAGTAAAGCTGGTCGGTATCTCTTGGAAGATTAGTGGGTTGAAAGAGATGAAAGTCCGCCGTTGGTCCAGCCTCTTTCCCTTTATTGTATCACGTCGGCTTTGATCCCGAGGTGAAACATGGATGATTGGTTATTGGCGCTCACGGGCCCTGCATTGGGCTTGGGTGAATGATTTGTACGACATGATGCGGCCGATGCCTGTTCTGAGTTGAACGGAAAATGGAAACACGGGAAGATTTTTTGGATGAGATTTCTGTTATGTTCTTTTATAATTATAATGTGCAACGGGCGTCACCTCGGGATATTGTGTTACTATGATGTCATTAATAATTATTGGTTAAACATTGGACTTATACCTGTATGAGCATTGGATCTTATTTTATAATGTCTGAAGAGATGTAACAGTTTCTTCAGAGAGTAACAGTTATTTAGTAGTAGCTAACTAACCTTGGAACTAGTGTTGAGTTGAGTATTACTACCTCCAGAGTAAGAGTCAATTTAAACCTTGACTCATCTAGTGAACACCGTGACCATGTCAGCATCACAAATTGCCCGATGCTATTGAAGTACCTGGGAAATTATGCTGTAGTCACTGTTCATCTCTTCATCTTTATCTACTCTATCCTTTGCGATAGGGAGTCCCATCCCAAAATTTCTAGGGCGGGGCACTCCGCTCTCCACTTCCACTCTGAAGCAGAAATTGTCCAGAGCTTTGGTGTTCCGCGGCCTTGACACGCCTCCCGTTCTCCATCCCTTTTCCCTCCACACAACCCCAACATGCCCATCAGGTGAGATGCTCGGATTACCGCAATCGCATGCAATATACTGATACTAGTCCTTAGTTATTTGATTCTCCTCTCCCGCCAGGGCAAAGTGGTGTGTTCCCCTCGTCGCCCACCCCAATTCCCGTCTTGAAGTCAAGTCCCCTCAATCCGAAGCCCAATCTGACCCTTTCTTTCTCCTTTCCAGCGCCTCGCCAAGTGGTTCACCACTCTCTCCCCCAAGGAGAAGGCCAAGATCATCAAGGATGTGACCCAGCTGGTGCTGTCCCGCCGGACGCGGATGTGCAACTTTCTGGAATACAAAGGTGGCATCCTTTCTCCCCTATACCTATCTATGCCTATATACCCTTAGGAGTTTCGCCCCAACTAACCCCGGATATCTGGACCAGACTCGAAAGTCGTCTACCGTCGCTATGCATCGCTCTTCTTCATCGCGGGATGTTCATCGACCGACAATGAATTGATCACCCTGGAGGTGGTGCACCGCTATGTGGAGCAGATGGACAAATACTACGGGAATGTGTGTGAGCTGGACATCATCTTCAATTTCCAAAAGGCATATTTCATCCTGGATGAGTTATTATTGGCGGGGGAATTGCAAGAAAGCAGCAAGAAGAATGTACTACGATGTATCAGCCAGCAGGACAGCCTGGAGGATATGGAGGTAAGCATCTGTTTCCATATACCCATGCCCATGCCCATACCCTACCCCATACACTATACACTATACCCTGTCATCCACTGCGAATCCCGCACTGGGCTAATACTCCCCAGGTCGAGGAAGATGTGGTCACCAAGATCATGTAGCGGGATTCTTTGTTTGTCATTTGTAGCGTCTATACTAATCAATACCACCATTGTTCTCATGTCAGGATACAGAAGAAGTGTCACGCAACCTGGAGCGAGTGGGCTTATAGTCTTCCCTTCACCATTCTCCTCTCTCTCACCACTCTCATCCTATTATCATCTGATATCGCAGCATCAACTCAGCAACTTCCTCTCGTTCCATGGATCGACCACCCGTGAGGTCACCACGCCCGCTCACTGGCCAGCCAAACACGTGACATCCCCCCTCTCCGGTCGCAGTCGCCGCGCAGGGAGTTCCTAAGGTTGGCCATATGCCTATCTCTCTCTATCTCTCTCGCCCTCTTTTCCCCTTCTATCCCCTCTTTTCTCATCTATACTTCCCCCCCCTGGTCGTGGTTGAGTATAATCCTTCCTAATTCCACCCTTTCTGCCTGCTTGCGGCTATCGCCGATCGGCGACCCCATCTCCGTCCTCGGCGCGACCACCTCGCGTCATCTTCTCATCACTCTCATCTATCCTCTGAGGATCAGCGCAATTACTCGTACCTTGAGATCCCAAGGCGATCCCTTCATTGGACCCGACAACAATCTATCATCAATATGAAGGTAAGTGGAGAGTACTATCCCCTTGATCTCTCTCCCCGGTCGCTATGGGGATCGCCCCATCCCCCCCCCGGATCGCTCCCCGGATGTTACTCATATCGCAACTTCACTCGATCCGCGATGCTCACCATCACTCTATTTAGTTCGTTCCATTGCCCGAGTTCGAGGATGTCACGAGTTCCATGAATTTCGACACGGCCGACTGTCATATCGCCGGTGGTTGTGATCTGTACACTACCAAGGCTGCCCGTTCCGACCGGAAGCTGTACAACCATATCGAACAATCGCTTGAGGCCCAATATGAATCAATCCTCCGCCTATCAGCTTCTCTCTCCCCTCCCAACGCCCACGATGCTGCCGAGACGCTGAATCTATCGCGATCCAGCCCGTTCGGCCCCCTGAGTGATCACTCCAGTCGTCGTACCTTCGCCTATTTGATCGCAACACTCAACGCTAGTCATCCGGACTACGACTTCTCACACGTCCTGCGACCGACTGATTTCCGCCGCGAGCGATACCTTAAGCGGGTGATGAACACGGTCAATTCCACCTTGTTCAACTTGCGGCCCCGCGAGTCACTCGATCTCTCCCCTTCATCCCCTGCCACCCTGTCCGGATCATATAACACGAGCACATCCTCATGGGGCCCCCGCATGTGGAGAACTGTAGATGAACACATGTCTCTCAAGGAGTGCTCGGTATACTCGTACTCTCCGGAGGAGGACCCGTCCGACGCCGACGACGGTGCCATTTGGAGTCTGCACTACTTCTTCTTCAACCCGATTCGCAAGCGTGTCTGTTATATCTATCTCAGAGCGATCCCCATCCTCAGCCACACACCGGATGAGATGGCGTCCACGCCGACCGGTAAACGGACCTTCAATGACGGATACCTCACACCTGACCTCAGCTCGAGTAAGCGGGCCCGGTACTGGCTTGGGAGCCGGGCCGAATCCTCGCTCCGTCCAAGTGAGGATGAGAGTGATGATGAGATGATACATCATCAATCCAAGTCCTCTCTTCTGGTCGGAGATGACGATGACCACTATATGCTCAGTGATGAGGAGATTCGCTCGCGCTCTGGTAGCAGAGGGATGGTCCGCGCGATGAGTGAGGAGATTGCAGACTCCATGGAGGTTTGATGACCCATTGATACGCCTTACGCCTTGTTTTCTTGGTTGTCTTTAACAGTCTGACCGTTGATCGGTGTTTTGTTACTTCACTTTCGATTCTATTTTACTTTTCCTTTTTTGTATGGTGCTCGGGGCGTTGGTTTGATTCAATGGACTTGTGGCGCACTTCAACCTGCAGACCTGGCTACAAGCGGCGCTGGCTGAGACTGATACCGACTGCGCCTTGATTTACACTTCTATTCGGCCTCTGTGTATACAATTTAATGATATTTTTACCCTTCCGGTGTGGTATTGGTTGTATACCTACACATACATTTGGCCACTCAATACACTCATGATTCTGCATTTTTATTTCGCCTATTAACTGTATGCAATTTTTCGACCACTATTTATCACTTTGTCTCCAAGTGTATGTGGAATGTTGGAAACCTTGAAAGTAACTTGAACTCCCCCCCGAACTCTCCAGGCTATCTATAGATTCGGGTCCGTGCACAGAATGGGGAAAGCTGTCCCTTCTCCGTCCTCCCTCTACTTCACCCCCACCACCCATTGATACCCCTCGAGTAATCTACCATGGCCGATGATGAAGAGCGCGCCAAGGCTGAGAAGCTGGCTGCTGCCAGGAAAAGGGTACGCCGTCGCTGAACTCTACAGGTCCGGATTTCACTAACAAGCCCCGGTGTTTTGCAGGTAGCCCAGCTTCAGAAGCAAAAGAAGAAGGCCAACAAGAAGGCTTCAACTGCTACAGACACCCCCAAAGATACCGAGGTATCTCAAGACGCCGAGTCCACCGAAGACACAGCGACAGCGACAGAACCCCCCGCTTCAGTAGACGCCTCCGCCGAGGAGAAGCCAGAAGAGGACACATCCGCGGAACCCGCTGCTCCTTCTTCCCCGCCGCAGAGAATGTATCGGAAGCAAAGCAAGATGCAGCTGTTGAATCGCCTGTCGAGCCAATGCCCCCGGCCCCGACATCTCCTGGTCCAGAGGCGGAGGCGCAACCCGCCAAACTCGACGCCCCTCGCGCCGGGCACACCCGCCAGCCGTCTCTGTCGATACAGTCGAAGATGCGCTCATCTTCGTTCCGCAAGACATCCGTCTCCCAAGGCAGCGTTTCCCCTTCACCATCATCAGCGCTCAAGTCCCCGCCACAGTCTCTGCCTCCCTTAACTGGGGACGGAGAATCTGTACACGAGGTGTTCCGGAAACAGTCGACGAAGATCGAGGAGCTGGAGAAGGAGAATAAGCGGCTGGAGAGTGAAATAGCCGATGCGACGGCTCGCTGGCGCAAAACTGAAGAACAGGTGGAAGATCTACGTGAAGCTAGTGTTGATAGTGTGGAGCTACGGGAGAAATTGAAGCAAGCAGAGGAGAAGGTGGCGGGCGTTGAATCACTGGTATGCTCAATCCATAATCCCTTGGAAGTTCGGGGCTATAGACCAAGAGGACAGCATCACTGACAATATAACAGAAGGAGGAGATTGAATCTCTACAACGACAAAATTCTCAACTCCAATCTCGATCACACCGGAACAATGCTGGGCCTTCCGAATCACCACCCGCAGATCTGGTACGCCAGCTTGAATCCAAGTCGGAGACCATCGAGGCGATGGAATTGGAGATCTCCAATCTACGCGCTCAGGTTACCGATCAAAGCTCCTCCAACAGCGCGAACGAGACACAAGTAGCAGCACTGGAAGACAAGGCAGCACAGAGCCAAGCCGCACTGGAGAAATCTGAACGTGAATTAGCCGATACGAAGCAAGCCCTGACGCGCGCTTCAGAGAAAGCAGTGAAAGAAGGCGTGGACAAGACATCCACCGAGACCCTGATCAAATCCCTGCAGCGCGAAGTCGAAGACATCAAAAGCGAAAAGAGCGAAGCAGACAAGAAGATCGAAACGCTGGAAAAGAAACTCCAGGCAATCGGCAACCTGCACAAAGAAACCGAAACCCGGCACCAGACCCGCCTCCGCGAGAGCGAAAAGGCCGAGAAAGAAACAGCCGTACTCCGCAAGAAACTCTCCAGCATCGAGAATGAGAACCTCCGCCTTCGAGAAGAGCGTGATCGCATCAAGAAGCGCGAAGCAGGCGGCGGCGCCGATGACGAGGCCCTCGACGAACTCGAGGATGAAGAGCGTCAGCGGCTGGAGCGCCGCATTCGCGAGCTGGAAGGCGAGAACTTCGATCTACGCCGCGGAGTCTGGCAAGAAAAGCGCCAGGAACTAGCTGGACAAGGTTTCCCCGAGGAAGGTGCCGAATCGGCCGTCGATGCTGGCGCGAATGCCTTTGACGACGTTGATCTTGTTGGCGGTCGTCCTGACCACGCCCGTCGTCGCAGCATGGCTTTGCAGCAGCAACAGCAGCACTCATCTTTCTCCACCGTCTTATCAAGTGGCTTTGCCGCTTTTACGGGCGCCAACCAGAACCGCTCCCGAGCTGGCTCGTCAAACCCGACGCACCCTCATGCGCCTGCGACGCGAGGCAGTCTCGAGTTACTTTCCGAGGAGAACCTAGACGATGAGTTTGAATTCGATGAGGCGGAGTTCGCGCGCGCACAGGCCGAGGAAGAAGCTCGCAAGCGTGTGGAGTGGGTCAGGGAGATCAAGCGCAAACTGCGCGACTGGAATGGGTGGCGGTTGGATCTTGTTGATAGTCGGGCTGGGGCTGAGGGTGCGGGCGTGGGGATGGGAGAGATCTTTGAGGTTTAGTTTCATCTTGTGGTTCTACTCTACTATGGGACGGTGGGATGGGATATGATGGAAATTCGTCTTTCTGGGTTGGATGGTAACTTCACAAGCAGTGTTCTAGGCTGGTGGAACTGTGGCATGGACAGGCGCTTTCGTTGTTACTAGTATATATACCATGATCTGTCAACAGTACTACTCTTTGCAATTGAATTGAATTGGAATTTGAATCTTCTGGCCTTCCAAGCTGGAGCCCTGGATGTCAGTTGAGTTGAATGCGTTGCTAGTGATGCCTCGTAGTAGTATGGATGGCTGCGCAACCCCAATGTCCACGGGTGTCGAAGTCGAGAATGAGGAACTTGAACCTTCAAGTTGGAACCTTGTCAGTTCCACTATGACTCTATTTACAGTAGTTCTCTTTCCTTCATTTCACAGTTCAAACAGTGACAAAAAGAAAAGACTCGGAGCATCCCGAGGTCGAAACCCGTAAAGCTGTTCAGGTGTTCCAAAAGTTCCAAGGGTTTATCTACGAGAAACGGCCCATCGACCATGGCCACGATAAAATACCTGACACGTTGAGTGATTTATTGAGATAGCAGTGCCGTAGCCCTAGGAAATAGCAAATCTAGCAAGTTGACCACTCTATAAAGTAATACCAAGGACACTAGACATGCAATTAGCTTTGATCCAGCATGTTTACCAGTTTACAAGCCAGCCGAAGGTACTACTAGTACAGAGTAAAAGGGAATGAATAACAAGCCGCGAACAATAAAAATGCTAGATGAAATAACCTATGACTTCTATGAAATACCGAACCAAACAAACTCAATCCGAAAAATGCTTGCCAGTCAGGACACCCTCAGATTGACGTCTCCTCTTCCCAACAACCTCCACAACCCACCCAGAGATCTGATAAAGCCAACCACCAGTAACCAGGACACCGGAGATGGTATTAATGACCCGAAGAAGGAGGGCCAAGAATCCCGTCCGCTCCTCGCTGACCAGCAACAGAATCGGCTCGATGTTGTACTTGAAGAAGATGCCAGGGATCAAGGCAGGCGTTTCGGGAATGGCTCCGCTTTGGCTCGTGGCTGCGTACTGGTTTGTGAAAATTGTGTTGCGGCCGTAGCGGGCGGTGTTGTCCTTGTTTGTCGTCACTAGGTCCAGCGCATTGCGACCTTTGGAGTACAGGGTGGGCACGACGGAGAGGAAGTATTGGAACTTGTGGTAGTGGCTGTCACTCTCGGCGATTGTTTTGTCGAGGGGATTCAGCAGAGATGGGTAATGCGGGCCGAAGGAGAGTTCCGTGATCATATGTGAGAAGTTGAAGACTGTTAAAAATATTAGTTATGACCGAAACAGCAGCAGCGGTTCCTCCGCTGAAAGAAACGCACCTGAGTGATCCAAATGTGGTGCCAATTCCATATAACCATGTCCACGCGCGGTGATATGGAAATCGCCCTGGACCTTATTTCCCTCCAGACTACCATAAATGCGACAAGAATCCTTATCGTCACCCCAGCGCAGACGGGGCCCCTTGGCGAACTTCTTGCGCGGATTGCGCCGCACTTCGCCCAGGACGTGGTGAACATGCGCGTCCTCTTCCTGAGCGCTCAAACGGTCCGCAGCCTCATGGCTGAGCGTCTGGTACTCATGTTCGCCGTGGGATTCGTAGTTGCGTTTCTTCATCCATAGGTCCCAGTTTGTTTCTTCGCGGGTGAGGAGCTCGCCTGCTAGGATGCGGTCACCGGAGGCATCTTGGATGTTTAGACGGAGGGTGTCGCAAGGCATGTTGACGACTATGTCGAGGTTTAGCTGGAGGTCGTGTGACACGCCCTTCTCCACGCTGAAGTGGTGGGCTTCGGTGCCGCGCCACCAGGTTCGGAGCTCGTGGAAGCTGAATAGTGTGCACACGGCGAGGATCAGGACGGTCCATTGTCCGCCGCGTCGGGTCGGGGTTGTGTAGGTGGTTTTGGTTTTGGCTGGAGAAGGAATTGTTAGTAAGTTTGTTTCCTTTTGATCTTTCATTGAGCGTGTTATGTAGGGCATTCGTGGACGCGGCCTGTTCGAGCTGTATCCCAAGATAGGAGGGATAGGAAATCAATGAATGGAAGACTCACGGAAAGCATCAAATGTCTTCAACCCTGATAGAGTAGTCTTCTCCCCAAAGGCATCCTCATCGAGGCCCTTTTCATTGAAGCCATTCATTGTGGATGTGCGACATGAAGAGCGCGAAAGGGTGCGGAGTAAATCAACGGGTGATAAGGCGATGAGGCCAAGTAAGCATTGCCGGACCCCACACGTTAACAATGGGCCAGGTACCACAACCACTCTAGCTACATACTATTCATCTGCATCTTTTTACTACGACATTTCTACTCTCAAAGCAATGTTATAAATCCGAAGCTCACAGGAGCGCTATCATAATGCCCTCATAGAGAGATGCAAGGAATAAAAATGTACAGGAGACTGGCAGCACCAGTCGTGGAGTCATGAGTATAGAAACGAAAGACAAATGAAAGACATGTACCCCGTCACGAATCATCTCAAAGGCCCAGATGCAAATGCTATCCACGAACATAACGGGTATAGAAATGAATGCCGTTCTTTTCATCTCCATGTATTCAACCACAAAACGCAACACATGCCGACATGACACCCACCTGATGCAGGAAAACAAAGTAACAATTATGATTACAGGTGACAACATAAATCTGATAACAGAAATGAAAAAAAAAAACTTGGGGAATAAGGAAGAATATGAAAACGGGGATGGGGGAATGTGAGGATAAAGGATTATTTCCTCTGTCCGCTGTCAGCCTCGATTCTCTTTGCTGTGCTGTTCTGCGTGATCACATTAACTCACAAGGCTGGTCGCCGCCGCCGCCGTCGCGAGGTCAGGCTTTCCACTGATACTGCGTGCCGATGCCCGAGGCAGCGCAGTGCCGGAGATTGTGGAACTATTGGATCCTCGCTTGGCGGGGCTGGAAGGTGGCATTCCACTCACGGTGGAATGGCGTTTCCCACTGCTGCCCTTTACCGGCGAATTGCCGGAGGGGTCACGGTTGCGAGAGAACGGTCCAGTCTTCAGACTTGGCGGCTCTGGCAGGGGTCGTCCACCAGAGGGGGTACCCCGCTTAGAAGGGGAGTTGGTGGTAGCATACATCCTGGGCCGGGTCTGCGGCTTGATTCCAGTGAGGAACTCATGCTTCAACGCATCATGGGGGCTGAGGCGGCGCGTAGGATCCCAGCGGAGACAGCGCGAGATGAAATCAAGGAAGGCGTCATCGTCACACTTCAGAGCTTGCCGCAGTTCTTTAGAACTTGGCCGGCGTCGTCGGCCCTTGGATGAGACGGTAAGACGAGGCTTGCCCAATGAATCGAAGAAAAGCTTCTTTCGCGTGCTCTTTTCAATCAAGTGCTTCTCTGGAGGCCCAAATACCTCCATGATACACGCTAGCTGTTCTTGCTCGTTCTCACCCGGGAAGATGGGGTAGCCAGTGAATAACTCGGCCAGGATACATCCAAGACTCCACATATCGATGGGCATACCATAGGACATTCCAAGAATAACTTCCGGAGAGCGGTAGAATCGACTCTGGATATATGTATAGACCTTCTCGTTTTCGAAGCAGCTCGAGCCAAAATCGATGACCCTAATCTCAGAGTTCAAAGGATGAACAAGAAGGATGTTCTCTGGCTTCAAATCACAGTGGATGACTTTCTTGGCGTGCAGCAACACCAAACTGCTGAGCATCTGCTTGGTAAACCGCCGAATAAGTTTCAAATTAAACCCACGGAAGTCATGCGCCTTGATGAATTCGTAAAGGTTCATGCCAAGAAGCTCAGTAGAGATACAGAGATGGCCGCGGAAGTAGAAACTTTGTACAAAGTTGACCACACTGTGGCGGCGGTCAGGGTCCCATTCCTTAAGTTTAGTAAGGAGATTGACTTCAATCAAGGCCTGCTGGTGGAAACGCTTCTTGTTACGAATGATCTTGATTGCGACCAAAGCACCTGTCTTGTGGTCGACACATCGCACAACCTGTCCAAAACTTCCCTTGCCAAGGACGTCCACCACTTCGTAGCGGTATGCTAGATGGTCGCCCATCACGATGTTATAATCGCCACGATCATCATCGTAGCCAAAGTTCGCGGCACCAGAATGAAGATCTCCAATATGCTTCTTCGCGTTCTGAGTGCCACAGAAGAAAATATCCCGATAATCGATTATTTCGCCACGTTCGAAGATGTTCAAATTGGCCATCTTGAGGGCCTGGGCAGGACTGACACGGTCCTTTGGTCCAGCCTTGCGACGCAACTCGTCCAATTCCTTGGCTGCCTTTTCGAAATCTCTCCGTTTAGACCCAAGTCTTCGCATTTCCTCGTCGGCGATCACGATATCCGCATCTCCATTCGGATCGGCGGCGGACGAAGAAGCCGCTGCACTAGACCGGGCAGAGCTGATTATTTTGTGAACTGGCGAGACAAAGCTGCTATGAGAGCGATGGGATTGGTCGCTGGCATGCGATTCATGAGACCGGCTCGGCTCAAGAGTAAGACTTCGGTCACTGCTGACGCTGGGTTTGCGGTTACCCGCTTGTTTCGTGATGCTAGATACCGAGGATTGTCGACGGGGTTTGAGATAAGATGACTTCAGGCTGGGACTAGTGGATGGTACGGACGAAAGATTGTTCCATGTTGCCGACGCCGGGAGCTTGGGTGGTGGCATGTTGTGATACTTGGACGGATCGGTATCAACTTCGGACTGTTTGTTCCTAGAACTGCTGCGCACTCGGGCTATATTTAGTCGATCCCGAAGAGATGGATGGGGAACAGCCGAGGTGACGTTCTCCGGCTCTGATGGAGTAGAGATCTGGCTCAAGCGTTCAGCAGCTGGAGTGAAGATGGCACTCTGCGTTTGAGGTCGTGGACCTGTCAACTTGTATGACTGGGCTACTTGGCCGGTATAATCCCCACTAGCCTGGTGGCGGAGAGCCTTGTAATCAGGTCCACTCTTTGGCAATGTATAAGATGCATAGGGGGGATATATTACGGTTGCCATTGGGTGTTTCTGTCGGCCCAAACGCACTGGTGCTGCTGGATGTTCGCAACGCTGCTGTCGTAGAGCTCAGGGCAAAATGAGAAGTGCTGCTGCGGATTTGAGTAGAGGGTGCCTTTTCGTCTTCGTCGCGATACCAAAAGTTTGCCTTTGATGCCGTCATTGGGGTGGTTGGAGTCTTGGACATGATCTGAGCGGACGGCGTATGAGCCTTCCGCTCCTCGGCTTCCCGGTCTTTCAAAGCCTCGATCTTCGTCGTCATGGGCGTGCCCAGAGGCAATAGATTCAAAGGAGGTAGTTTCAGCGGCTGCAAGCCCTTGCGACCGAGCACTGTGGAAGTTCGTGTTCGTGCCTCGGGGGTCTTCGTGGGCCTTGCAACAGGGGGTTCGACATTCTCGTCGCCAGTGGCATTCTGCGCACTATTTGCTTCCGAGTCGGAATCCCGCGCAATAGTGAGAAGACCAATATCTGAGGATAAGCTGGATTTACGAGGGGCTGGGAATGCAGGCGCATCCAGTTCACCCTTTGGCGATTCGTAGGCTTTCGGAATGGCGGGTACCGGTGGTACTTCTTCCTCGGTATTATTCGTCGATTGTTCAGTGCGAGGTTTTGGCGTTGGCAGGCGGGAGGAGGAGAAATTCTGAGAAAGTCGAGGCTGAAGCGAGATTCCAGAGTTGCGAACAGAATTATAACTAGTGTTTGATGAGACCGACAACCCGGAACTATAGGATTTGCGATTTGGGTCTGGGGTTGTTCGGTTGGAAGAAGGGGTGACACTTTTTCTCGGCAAAAAAGAGGGAGATTGTGTTGATGATACAGGTCGGTAGGGAAGAGGTTCTGTGGGGGCGGGAGGTGTGTGTGGCATAGGAGGTGCAGGAGGCGCAATCGACATACGCTTCATCCGTCGAGCATCAGTGGGACTGATTGTGCGAGCCCCCAGACCAGTGGCATGGGGCATCATCGAGGCGCGCTTCGACGATGATGAAGGTGTCGACGCTGATGCCTCTGATGGATCTCTTTGCGGCGTGCGAACAGCATTTGTAGATGAGGAACGTGCATGATCAGGAGTAGCAGAAGTAGTCAGATAGGCCCCCTCTGGCTCGCGAGGAACAGGCTGGAAGGACTTTGCCTTGAGGTTTCGAATGGATGAAGGGACTTTAGACACATCGGGAACCGGCTCTGTCTGAGGCATCCGTGGTCGCAGGAAACTATTCGAGTCGGTCCTTGTTGGCTGGTCCGTGATAATTTTGCGGGCACTTAGACTGGCACGCCGAGCGGAAGCATTGGTAGGAGCGAACGCCCCTGAGCTAATGGACTTGCGTGAACCTCGCGGGGCCGCGCTGGGTTGGGCGAGACTTTGACGGCGAGCCCGAGTATTAGCGGTGGCCGTTGTCAGCCCGGTCGGCGGTACTTGTTGAGTCCCATTGAACCGCGATACCTCGCTCTTCCGGCGGGCTGAAGCGCCCCTCGTGCGCTCTGAGACGGCACCATCATAGTTCTGGTTTGCCCATGGGTTGTTCGTAGGCAACCCCGAATTGCGATTTTCAGCCCCCGCGCCACGAGAACCAGGCATAGGGAAATTGTTCAAGCTCGGTTCTCCCATGATGCTGTTGTGGAAGTCGTCGAAGTTGATCGGCGCCAAAAATTCCATGTTTTCTGGAGGGGTCTGGTTGGCCTCCTTTGCCAAATTTCCCACACTGGTAGATCTAAGATTATAGGCTTTGGCTGTTTCATTTGTCGAGTCGATTGAAGAGTGATCAGAATGAAAGTAAGGACCGGTCGGTTTACTATATACCATGATGATTAGATATCTGGATAGGGTCCCTCCGACGTGGGCGACCGCGAGGTAACAGGTCGCGAAACAGGGGGGGGGGAAGAGTGGAGAGGAGAAAATGACTTACATCCAGCGTGAAGAGTCTTGCGGCCGGGGCCCCTGAGGAGGTTTTTGATCTCTAATAGACAGTCTTCTCCGACCCATACCCCCTGAAGGTGGTCCCGCAGCAGTCCGCACGGACTGAGCATCGAGGTTGTTCGAGGTATTCATGTTAATCGTCGAGGCGGCCTTCTGGAGGCGTCGGCGGGCAGTGGTTTCGGCTGTTGGGCAAATATTAGATCGATGATGATTTTCTATCCCCGGCAAATCCTATTTGCTTACCTCCAGAGCCGGAGTCGTCGTTTCTAGACGGATTGGACACCCGCGATTGGGGAGCCCCCGGTTGACCCCTCCCCGGCGCCTGCGACGACGACTTGACCGGCATTGTTCTAAGTCACGAGTAGTGGCAGGACGATAGCCTGGTCAGATCGACCACCGGCGTGGTTGGTGAGACCGACTAATGTCAGAGTTCGCGTGCAATGGCATTCAGGAGAAAGCGGGCTGCTTTTTGAAGATCAAAATAGGGAACAGCCCGAAGCACGATCGCGCGACTGGTCGAATAGCGGCTACCGGTCCATTTCGGAGGCGAAAAGGGAAATGGCAGTCGGTAATGCCAGGGCGACTGGGGTGGGAGTGTTGGAGAGAGGAAAGCTTGGAGGTTTTTTTTTTTTGCTGGGAAACTAGTAGTTTGGCAGCTTGAGGGGGGGGAAGATGTTGCTAGGGCAAGTGCACACCAAGGCGGTCGACACGATTGAATATAAAAGGGTCCACAACAAAGCCACAAAGGGATTTGAAAAGATGTTGAAGTCGAAAAGAGAAGCGAATAGATGTTCGAGATGTGGTGTTGACTTTGTTGAGAGTATTTTTCTTGCTCAGTAAGTCTGGAGTACTTTAGGCTTTGGTAGTTAACCTAGTAGACAGTCAGTAACGAGGTTCCCCCCTGACTCGAGCTACTCTGGTACAGCATGGTACAATACCATACCAAAATGACCCACCTTGGAGTGTCGATCTGACAATACATGGTACACCCCAGATCAGTGCATGTGCTTGCTCCCCTCGTGCCCGAGGTTGACTTCCTTGCTTCTTCAACTCCGTACCGTTATACTGCTGAACCAACTTGTCCTGTTGTGCTGCTGATACTGCCGCCCAGCATGGACGAAGACGCTCAAATCATGGCAAATCGTGATGAGCCCGTCCCCGTACTGAACATCTCGAAACCAAGGCCACAGCGTGATGGATCGCCCGATAGCGCTCACTCGAGATCATCCTCACAGTCGAAGAACTCGATTCAAGATAGATTATTCGCCAAGTATGTTTCACTCGCTGGTGTTGCTTCTTCTGCTTTGGTTTCGTACAAAGAAGGGTTTGCTGATCGATGAACAGATTGCTGCAACAAGTCATTCCCAAGGACGATGGCGAAGATGAAGTAAACGCCGCGAATCAACCGTTTGCAACATCTCCCAAACGGCCAGGGTTCAGTTTGCCGTTAATGTCAAACAACTTCCGCCGCTTCAACGCACGGTCAGTATGCGAACTGGAGGGGAAGGGAGGGGAACTTGAAAGAGATCGCTTTGACAAGACATTCACTGACGGTGGTATATAGCATTGGAGTAGTTTTCCTATTCCAAAACCGTGCGGAGCGTGTCTTGAGCTGGAAAACCCCAACTCACACTATCTCCTTCCTATTTGTTTACTCCTTTATCTGTCTTGACCCCCATCTACTAATCGCCCTACCGCTGGTGGTCCTACTACTATTCATTATGGTCCCGGCCTTCATTACTCGTCACCCTCCTCCACCATCGACCTCTACCTCAAGCACGACCCCCTACTACTCCTATGAAGGACCAGCATTGGCCCCTGCCAAAACTATTAAACCTGCCCCGGAGACGTCCAAGGACTTCTTTCGCAACATGCGAGACTTGCAAAATGTCATGGCGGATTTCTCAGACGTCCACGATGCAACCATCTCCGTATTTGCCCCACTCACCAACTTTGCCAACGAGAAGCTTTCCTCTACAGTCTTCTTAATCGGAACAGTGGCTGCCGCGGGGCTTTTCATGACTGCGCACTTGTTACCATTGAGAATGATCATGCTAGCCGGTGGTAATGCAGCAGTCCTGGCAAACAACCCCAAAGTACGACTCTTTTGCCAAGGATTGATGGAAGATGTTGGCAATGGGCTAGATGATCTCGACCTCCCTCTCCCAGAGGGCGGGAGTAACCAGGACTTCCTCGGGGCTGCAGTCCCGTCATCGCCATCTGCTGCCATGTCGACAATCGAGCAGTTGGTGGATATTTCAGTCGACACCGACCCGGAGGAACGGGAAGTAGAGATATTTGAGGTACAACATCGTGCTCCAGGGACATCACAGTCTGGATGGGAGAATTTCCTGTTCAGCCCCCAACCATACGACCCGCTGTCCCCATCTCGAATTGCCGGTGATCGACCTCGGGGATGCCGATTTTTCGACGACGTTCGATCTCCTCCTGGTTGGAAGTGGAAGAGCAAGAAATGGGAACTTGACCTTGATTGTCGCGAGTGGGTGGTCGAACGCATGATCACAGGGGTCGGGTTTGAGGTCCCTGGTGTGACTGCAGAAGGCAGGGCGGCCGTTGATGAAGTGGGAGGTTGGGTCTGGGATCTTCCAACCGAATCCTCAGCACCCAATGAAGAGAGGGATATGACTACGATGGCTTATGGAGACCTGGATATGGTCTCTCAGTCGCAGCCTCAACCCAAGGTTAAAGTTCCAGCTGGAGACTGGGAAGAGACGGCGGCTACTTCTTACGGAGTAGGCGAATGGAGACGCAGGCGATGGGTGCGAGTTGTTCAACGCATGAACAATATCCAACCAGGCGGTACCGTCACATATTCGACGCTCGGCCATAACTAAATGATTGATGAAGAGTCATAATATCAATATCCCATTTGTGAATATCCTATTTTATACCCATTTGACAATTCAAACCACTATACATTGTTCACTAGAGTCTTCTCAGAGATGCAGAGGTATTCCCAAAGAGAAAAAAAATAGACGAGATTAAAACGCCGTATCGCCCGAACCGAATGCCAGAAACACAAAGTCCTTTTTCCAACCCTCAAACATTCTCTTTTTTCATGCTTGTGCCTTCTTGCACTTATTAACCCGTCTCCGCAGATCACCCACACTCTGTTGCATGGGGTTCAACTTGCGGTCACGCGCCATAGCCGCAAAGTCATCGCCGTACTTCTCAACCAAGCGCATCACCCACTCCTCTTCCCGGGTGCTCTGATGCCTGGGCTTCTTCGCCTTGACACCTTGGCCCTCCGAATCCGCCTGACGCTCAAGTTGTCGGACAATAGCGGAGTGAGAGACAGAATGCAGGGCATCCTCATTGTCAGACAGGTCATTGAGAGGATCATTGAGCGGGTTCGAAGCCTTGAGCTTGCGGCCGCCAACCACCATCTCATCCTCGGGGCGAATCACACGCAGAATAGCGCCAGTCTCGGGATCGCGCTCGACCCTCGTCTCGCCAATATCGAGTTGCACGTTCTTGCCGCTGTCGCCGATATGTAGCGAGTTCGGGGTCTCGTTGGGGTTCATCTTGCTGGGCAGACGTTCGCGACCACCGGTTGGGGCGTTAAGCTTGTGCATGAGACCCAGGTTCTTGTAGTTTTGAGTCAGGGTCAGGCTCTTGTCCCTGCGAAGTGATTGGAATTAGTCCCCCGCATTTGCGCATACATTGGGTATATCTTGAGGGGAGTTCTGCGTACCAGTTCTCGGCGATGATGGCGTTGCCCAACATGTTGATTTTGCGGTTGCCGCTCTTGCGACGGTTGTCCTTGGGCCGCGCTTTGGACAAGCCGGACCGGTTCTTCTTCTTCTGTAAGATTTTGCCCATTGTGACTGGTTGTGTTGTTTTGCTGTGGTTTCGTAGGATTCCAAGGTTTCGGTTGACGCAAATAATTTATCGGCGTTATCGAAACTTTTTTATCGGCAAACATGCCAAGACCTGTGCAAACATGTACTAGTTGCGTGTACAGTGGACACTCAGGCTTTACTTCAAGTAGGTTCAGGTGTAGAATAACTAACTGGGTCAAGTTATTTTTATTATTATTTTTTTGGTATTTTTGTGTTTGAATATAATATAGTAAATTGAATATTGTTTCTGAGCGCCGAAAATACTTATGGGTTCTCTTACAGAGTGCATACTAATGACCCATTTAATTAAGTACCACTCTTTTGTAAGAGCGACCCGACCATAGTGATTATTCAAAGTAAAAGAATTGCATTTACATCAAGTATTTACTCAGAAGTCATCTGAGACCTGGAAGGAAAAGAGTACTAGAACTTATATCTCTGGACTACCCTAGTGTACTGTAGCTGCCAGTGGGCTTGGCAGGGTCCGATCAAGTGGTCCGAGCCGGCGATAAGCTGCCCGCTTTAAGTACCCGCCCCCAACTCCGAGAACTGCGGCTTGTTGTTGTCCTCCTTCCAACATCTTCTCCAATGGCTTCACGATTCTTCCCCTCGCGCCGCACGGGTCTTGCGCTCGCTGCAGGATGCTTCCTGTTCTCTGCATTGGCTGCTGCCAATGTTCGCCCCGGAGATCTGTCAGTCAGCCAGATTGAAGAGCAGTTGCAGGTATGAGCCGAATGAAAAGTCGCCGAGAGTGGCTTCTTCTCAACCGAGCACAGCGTGGCTAATTGCTTTAGAATTGTCCTCTTGTGGAATCTCTCAATGAACACAAACGCGCTACCACTCCGGAAACCGCCAGCCTTATGTCGAGAATCTTCGCCGTCCTCTTCCCATCTACCCCGGCCGTCAACTCCCTCCTCGCGACCTTGTATATCTCCGGCCCTCCTAGTATGTCCTACATCAAACCTAGCTACATACATAAAGGGAAACCTCTGTCAGAACCTCAATGCTCATAACTTCTCTCTAGACTTCCTCCTGGCACTATGCCCTCCCAACATCGACCCCTCTTCTCTATCAATCATGGTTGCCTTCGCCGTAGGAGGTCTTCTAGGTGACACGCTCTTCCACCTTCTCCCGGAGATCTTCCTCGGTGAGGATTCCCCAGACCACGTCAGTTTTGTCATGGTCGAGCCGAACAAGAATCTCCTCCTGGGACTTGGCATCATGGTCGGCTTCTTCACTTTCGTAGCAATGGACAAGGCCCTGCGCATCGCAACCGGCGGCCAAGGCCACGACCACTCCCACGGTCACTCCCACGAGGACTCGACCGTCGCCTCATCTACCGGCGCCAACACCAACGGCCAATCAGGTGAACTGAAGCAGCGCAAATCAACCAAATCCGCCCAGGACGAGACCAAGGACGAGGTCATCGAAAAGGAGATCAATCCCAGCGTCAAGATGGCAGGATATCTCAACCTTATTGCCGATTTCACACACAACATCACTGACGGCCTAGCTCTCTCATCGTCCTTCTATGCGTCCCCCACTATCGGCGCAACCACCACTGTCGCCGTATTCTTCCACGAAATCCCGCATGAGGTCGGCGACTTCGCTCTCCTGGTGCAGTCGGGCTTCTCAAAGCGCAAGGCCATGGGCGCCCAGTTTGTAACGGCCGTTGGGGCTTTCCTGGGTACTCTGATTGGAATTGCGGTGCAGGAGTTCGGCGGCCATGGCGATGTGCTCGAAGATAGCACTGTCTCTGGTCTCTGGGGAACTAGTCTGTCCTGGGGTGATATGCTTCTGCCTTTTACTGCGGGCACCTTCCTGTACGTCGGTACGGTGGCGGTTATCCCCGAGTTGTTGGAGACGGGTAAGGACAAGGGGGCCGAGATCCGGAAGACTCTCACTCAGTTTTTGGCTGTCGCTGTTGGAGCGGGAATTATGCTTGCGTGAGTCGATTTGTCCCTGATTCATCATGATATTAAACCTTGCTAACTGTCTGTCACGTAGGATCTCTTGGGATTAGACTTGCTTTGCTGAAGCACAAGCGCGACAACCCTCTTGCCCCCTCCTATCTCGCATCAGCGTGATATTAGAGACAATTGCGAGGGGTGATCTTAATTTCTAGTGAATAGAATTTAGTTAGAAACCTAGTAGTGTCCAAAATTTACAACTGCGCAGAATATATCGGGTTCTGACATCTTATTCGTGTATTGAGCTTCCAAGCTTGGAAGGAATAGATAGATGGCACGCCCGACTCCAACGAACAAAGATCACAATGTCTTCACGCAAAAGAGAAAAAAATCAAGCTGCTTGTCCTCGGTATGACCAAGAGAAAGACGAAGATAGATATTGAAAATGACCCTAAGACGCTAATTTGGCCTGGGTGAACAAAAACGCCGGACACATGTTGATGAAAATGCATTCCCTCACAACAAGAACAGATACGATGCAGACCGCTGCGCTCAGCGCGCGATGCACACATTCATACATGCTAGCTACAGGTGGTGGGATTGACCCATTCACTCGTTATAATGATAAATCTGATGGAAATATTAGTCAAGGTGGACACGATAAAAAATGGAGATAGGCCACTTACGAGATAATCCGGCAGCCCAAAGACCTCGTACCCCAATCGACGCGCCATCTTCGCAAACCCCTCTGTTTCAACGAGGTGGAAGAACGGGAAGGCAGGGAACATGGCGCCGTCGCGGTGGACATCGGCTTTGACCATCAAGGCGGTACCACCGACCCCGTCGAGAGCGAGGAGACGTCGAGGATCGAGGGCCTTGAGATCGGCCAGGTAGGCCATTAGCGTGCGGTAGGTGGGTAGCTCCTGGTATCCCTCCAGCAGAATATCGTCCGGGCCCATTTGTTTGGCCAGTTCCTGGGCTTGCTCGCTGTCTATCCAGGAGTTGAAGTCGTATGGGCGGATATCCCACTTGCGAGACTGAGTATCGTAGTACCGCTGGAAGCAATTTGGGACGATCACGGGTTGATTGTGACTTGTTAGATCCTGAATTAACGAGGTGGGTGTTTCAACGATGTCGGCATCTAACCAGAGGACCCATGATGTGCTGGGGCCTAGGGTGGTGAAGACGAGGCTATTCCGGGCGCGACTCATTGACTCGCGACGCTCTTTCTGAGCAGAGAGTTTGTGCCGGATTTTTTCGTCTTGGGAGGTGAGGGGTGGGTCGAAGTCTTGACGGAGGATGGAGATGCTTGCGAAGCGGTTCTCGATGGGTCCGTTTTGGGTCTTCGAGATGGCCTTTTCCAGGGCTGCAATTGCGGCATTTCCGGATTTTGTTTTGGGTGCGATGAAGCCCAGCGAGATGAGTTCATGGGGGTAGCTCAGTTTCTCTAGGTTGTCCCAGTATTGTTGGTAGAAGCGGGCGAGTGGGGTGAGGATGAGGATGCGCTCGCTGTTGGCGATGGAGTCGCTTGTGCTGGTTAGGTTGTTGAGATTGTAGTGCACCACGGGCGGGGGAGCTTGGTTGCCATCACTGCGGTAGGATTGCGATTTGAGGAAGGGTTGTGTGGGTGGGGAGAGGTGATGCTCGGCGGCGTTTTGTTGACGTTGACGCGATGAGGCCGCTTCGGCGGGTGTGGAGGGAGAAGAAGAGGTTGAAGGAGTGAGGATAAAACAGATAAATCCGAAAGCAAGCAGTGCCGCCAGAAATAGGCTGATTGGGCTCGTTCGTCGCATCGAGCGTGCGACGGCCATGGCCGTTCCCTTTCCTGCCGATTGTTGGACCAGGTTCAAGTCGATGTGAAGTCTTGGCTGATGCCAACGTCCACTTGTTGTCGATCACCCGTGCCTGAGGTAAGCCGGAGGGCCCAGACCGTGAGATGATGAGATGGTGAAACCGTGAGACTACAAGGTTATAACCAAATCAAAATCCCGTCTATTCTATACCAGTGGGAAAGGGAAAGGGAAAGGGAAAGGAGAAGAAAATAGGAAATGTGAAGGCTCGAGCCTGAGATTGCCCGTCGCTCTCCGGAAAGAGGATGCCTCCATACTAACTGCTCCACCACTCCTCCTAATCTACGACACTTCCCTGCTAGCCGACCATGGGCAAATCATCAGCACGGAAACATCCTGAGCCACGCGCTGATCCAATGACAGCTGGCAGCTGCGAATCGGAGACAATCCCTCTGTTCTGGCGGAATCCCTAAAACAGCTTGCCGGAGGCCGACGGTGGCCGAACGCGGCCAAGAGATCAACATTCCATCTGGGCCGTCGCATACTCCAGTTATGAGATCAAATCGTTGGCCAATGGCGAATTCAATAGCCATAATGTGTGACGGGGTGGCTAATTGCGTGGTCAATTCAATAGCAATTTCGACAGCTACTATCTAGGTATCTGATACTACATCTTTACTACTACTACTACTACTACTACTACTACTACTACTACTACTACTACTACTACTACTACTACTACTACTAGTAGGATATCCCTCCCATTCAAAGTTCTACCAACAACACCCACAGTATCCTGGCTGGCAAATTTACGCCAAGAGCTTTGCAAAACCGGAATTCTGCAAGCAATGCATTAGGCAGAACAATCCGCTAGTAAAACGATTCGGAGTCTAGTCTATATTTTTCATGAGCGCTTCTAGGTATATACAAATCAGATCAGAAATTCATGCGCATTATTCCCTCAAATGCGACCAAGGCCATCGCATTCGCCGGGAATGCTCTGAGGAAGCAGGGTACAAATCCACGCCAGTATCCTCGCAAGCCACGCTCCTGGTAGACAGTCTTTGCTGCGTCCTTCCAGCCTCGGAACTGTCTCTCTCCGTCATTAAGTTTGCCGCCTAGCGGGTCAACCATGAGCCGCTGCTTCACCACATCCGATGGATAGGAGGTGAGCCAGAAAATCTGGGCTGATATCCCGCCTGCCCAGAAGTTTATTAAAGGTGTGGACATGTCGGTGTTTGTCTTCATGTAGCGGTTGAGAACGTCGTATGAGCCCCACCAGAAGAAGAAGAAGGAGCGGAATAGTATGGTTGCGAAGAGTCCGCGGTACACACCGCGGATGCCATGTGTGCTAAGCTGTTCCTTCGTTAGCTGGCCGATTACAGTGGGATACTACTTCGGAGTCCTTGTTTCTTTCACATACAATTCTGCGGAGACAGTCAATCGGTCCACTGTACATGCGCTTGGTCTTGTCCGCAGCGTATTGGACTTGAAGCCGGGATTTGATGTGTTCGACGGGCGCAGCGATAAAAGAGACGGTTATACCGGCCATGATACCTGCAATACCGTGACCAAAGGATGGGAGGGTCTTGAGATCAGGTTGGCTGCGGCAGAAGGGGATGTAAGGGCGTAGATGAGATTTCGAAAAGACATTTTCGAGTAGTAGTCGCCGGTATAGTGTCAATGAGCCCAGCATACTGTTCTCTTGACGTTAGTTCCTGCTCAAAGCTGCAGCTCGTTCGTCGCCCTTCGGACAGTACTCACACAGAGTCCATGACCATCCATCCGACCAGCGGCGGGGTAGCACCCTTGTATAATCCCCTTATGCCTTCCTTCCGCACTGTCTGTAGCGTACAATCCAATGGTCCCTTGAAATGGCCATCTTTGCTTGTCTGAAGGCGGACCTTGACGGTGTCAAATCTATCGGGTATGCCGTTAGTTATCGCGCACGCTAGGTGAATCGGTCGGAGCAGGGGGCCGGTATAGAACATACGGATGACCAACTTGAGGTAACGATTCGTTAGCAGAGAGCAGACAACAATTGGGAAAGATTAATTGGTTCGAAACAAGAGAGGCGCAGTATGGTTTCGAGGCTCAACTTACCACTCAGCTTTGTGATTCCGGAAAACACACCCGCCACAAAACCCTTGTAGTCCTTCTTACTCGTCGCAGTGGGGACAGCTGTAGGTAGATCCTGCACGGGCGCCTGCGCCGATGACATTTTGAATCAAGATCGAAGAGAGTGATGCGTCAGCGGCGCCTTGATCTGATTTAGCGTAAAGCGCGTGCGACGGGCTAAGGTGCGTGTCTAGCGACAATTCCAACAATCGGGACGAAGGGAAGAGGTGCTGGAAGTGTTGACGAATGTTCCGGGGACAGAACTCTGGGGAATCTGGAGCAATTGAGGAGGAGAGAAGGAGGGTCGAGCTGCTTCTTCAAATTAAGCCCTGAAAGGCCCCGCATCACTCGTTCCTTCGGGGAGCGAGGACTTACCTCCGGAGCTCCGCTTTTGTTGCCTCAGGTGTCGATTCTGGTGGCGTTCAACTAGGAACTATACTAAAAAGTATGTTCCTGCATCGGCTAAAGGTTGGGATTTGCTCATTCATGAAGTCGTACTCGTGGCTCATTGCTCGCTTTTTCTGCCGGTGAATATCAAAAACAGGGGGGATGGACTCACCGAAGTCGGGGATAGTGTAAGTTAGGCAGTATGTGCTAGGAGTACTGGGATCTACGGCCTACGGCCTATAGTCTAAAGTGTACCTATGTATCAGTGGCGCGGTGTGAGAAGGAGAGGGTAGAGGGCAGGGTTGTAAAGGCCCAGGTAGGAAGGAAGTCTCTATTGCAGTTTGTTAGCATGGTTATCAGGCGACCTTGTATCGCCAGCAGTTCGAGCGAGCAATGAGCATAGAGTCCCATGACTTGAGGTTGAGCAGAATCATATAGGCGAAGGTCAGTTGTTGGGGGGGAAAGGAAGAGAAGGAGCAGAAAGTGATGATATAGAAAAGTTCGCGATAAAAAGAAGCATACGAGGATGGGGATGAAGAGAACGGAGGCAATGAGAACTTTTAGGGGAATGAAGTTAAGGGAAAGAGAAAGGAAAATGGAAAGAGAAGAAGGGCGCATTGTTATACTCAGCACGGGTGCTTGCCTGAGGAGCTGCATCCTAAATAGGGTCGTCCTTTTCCAGCAAACCACGGAAAGAGCAACATACTGAATTACTAGACCCATTCGGGATATAAAATCCATGGGAATGGAATAACTTATAGAAAGGAGTAGCATAAAACTTTGATGAAGGTTTCAACGTCAGTCTCATCTAGACGGGTAATACCCTCTCCTATCGCAGAATGCCGAGATATCTGTAAAAGTCGAACAAAATCCGTTTCAAATAAAATGAAATATGACCGGATGCTTGGGCTGTAATCAAGAGAACGATGGATTAAGGTTTGTAGGATTAAATGTCCGGCGGCTACGTTTGGTGCTGGTGGTTGAACACTTCATCATGCATGATGCTAGCCTGGGAAGGTTGACACCTGGCCCCAATTGGACGGAGAAAGCCAATTGACGCCACCGTCCACTACGCCCAGAATCTCGGTACTATGTAGATCTCCCATATAGGAACTACTTGTCTTGGGGTACACTTAAATGAGGAGAAAGAACGAAAGAACGAAAGAACAAAAGAACGAAAGAACGAAAGAAAGAAAGAAAGAAAGAAAGACTACCAATAGAGAATATGTAATAAGTAGGTCAATGGCGGAGGGTATGAAACGGTTTTTTGAGTCACGGTGTGTGGACTCTGGGTATTGTAGATACATGAATCGTGATGCAGAAGGAACATAAGATCTGGGGCAAATAAGGGTGTGTACTGTTCAACCGTACCAAAGAAAGAAATTCCAGGCATGGCAATGCCAAGCTGGTATCGGTTTTGAAGTAGAGTGAAGATGATGTGGCCTTACTCCGAGCCCGCAAGGGAATAGGAAAATGAAACGCAAAGAAATGACCATAAGAACACCAATATCTGACGCTGTAGCAGCAGCTCCAGCGAGTTCACGCAGAGGAGAACATGCAAAGCATGGGAACAAAGACGAATCAGTGAAGAATGCAAGCAAAAGACTCCCTATCACCGACTGAAGGCCGCTTTGCGTTTACGAGCCTTTTCATTCTCGCGGGCGATCAGTTTATCAATCATATCCGGTGTAGGTCCGGACTGTGGCTTTGAATTTTCTCGAGGGGTGCGTTGGTCTGCTGCACCGGAGGACCCGGCTGCGAGGTAGTCATTGGCTTCAAGAGCCAAGGGCGTGACGGGACCCGGGCTGAGGAGAGGGTCAAGACGGGGAGCGTCAGGGCTCTGGTGGGAGCCGTCAAGAAGATCACGATATTGCCATTTCATATCGCGGGAACTTGTTGAGGGCCGGTAGTTGTGTTGCCGCGTTTGGCGAGGGGACGGAGGCTGACCGACAACGTTGTGGCCGGAAGGAGAAGACTGATAGACGGCGGGGTGGAAGCGAGGCAGGTTGCCGAGATGAAAACCTGGCATGGACTTGGCGGGATTTTGAGTGCGAGAGCGCGAGGGCTGTGGGGAGCTGGGGCGTCGTGGAGACATGACAGGGGAGCCAACTGGTGAGACGAAGGGTGAATGATCGGATCTCATTCTTGGATATCGAGAACGATAACCTGATCGGGAAGTAGAGAGCTGTCTGGACTTTGCGGATGACGAGGCACGCTCCCAATCTTCGAAGTAGGAGTGTTTATCGAAACGGCCAGTGAGCGGGGTGACGGGGAGATCGTCCTCGTAGAGTGAACCTCGGCGGCGGGGGATTGGAATGGGACGAGTTGACGAAGAGGATAGAGATAGAGACTCAAAGGCGTCTATTGGGGGATCGGAGCGTCGGGAGTAGTGCGGACGGTAACGACGAGGGGGTGGAGAAGGCGAAAGGGAGGGGGAAGGTGGGTTATAAGCGGATGAAGTGGCCGTTAAGTCTCGCAAGGAGGAGAGAGAGACGGGAGTGGGGTATCCGTGCTTGAGGAATAGACTCTCAAGATGATCGCGCGGACGATAGGGCAGCGAACGAGGAGAAGCCGAGGAGAGGCCTAAGATGCAGGCGATCAGATATGATATGAAATGAAACCGGGAATGTCACACGTGTCGAGCGGAGGCGAGCGGAGACGGAGAATGTTGAATTTGTGTGTGTTGTTGTTGGTGGTGGTGGAGTGTAGGTGGAGCTGGAGAAGAAGAAGAAGATGACGAGGAAGACTTACTGCCGTGAGAAGTAAGGGAGGAGGGGTAAGAATCGGAGGAAGAGGAAGAGGGACGGGAATATTTTACTTGTTTCCTTCGCATCTGCCATAATAAGAAGGTACGATTAGTTCCATGTGTGTAGTGCGTCGCTCTTTCCTCAAAAATATTGTGGCTTTCCTAATCCGGGGCTGCCTGGTCTCTCGGCCCGCGCATGTCGTCATTGGCTCCACACACTCTTTTCTTTCCGTCCACACACCAACACTCGCTCACTCACTTAATCACTCACAACTCTCCTGCATCGAACTGTCCCTTTTTGCTCTTCCGCCGTACACGCGCCAATGAATATCCTCCGGGATTGATTTGCTTGACTCACTCTGGATCCAGTCTCAATCCTCCCTTCTGAGACGGTGCGGTTGGTGGCATCAAGCCAGTGACTTCCGTCCTCCCGTTATTCCGTGATTCTGTTCTAGACCACTGCAAACCCGGGTTTTCAACTGTGGGGCATATGGCGCAAATCGCAAATTGAGGGCCTCGCTAGTCAGCGGGCCGGCGCGATAGGATTGGAGATTGATCTGTATGTCGTGCTGATACGGAGTACACTGGAGACAGTCGGAAAGCGGACCGAAAAAAAAAGAAAAGAAAAGAAAAGAAGAGAAGAGAATAATAATCACTCTCTTGCTTCTATTATCAGACAAAAAAGGAGAGAAAGCAAGAGAGACACAGGGAGAGATACGTCTTCTTTTAAATGAACTATCTGTCAGGCACCGGTGAAACCCCTTTGCCCAGGTACACCACCATTTCTCCACGCGGCACCGCCGGATGACCTGAGATGCTGTATCTTTGCTTCCTTCCAAGGCACAGCGAAACATTGGAGAGTGATATTCCCCCCATCACTTCCATCACTTTACAATTTGAATCATGCACCGTCCCGATCCAGCTGCAGTGGCTGGCCCCAACTGGGCAAAGAAGGGCGATGATCCAAACACCAGGCGCGGTTGATCGCCCGGGGTCATGCGTGAAGACGACCATCCCCGGTCATCCCGCAAAGTGATTCGCACGCGTCCGCGTCCATAGTGGCTGACATCCCGGGCACTAACGACTGCGCCAGCGACCGTTCGGTGCCCGCTAGTGTTGGTCAGTGCTCCATAGAGGGGGATCGATCGCTCAGGGTTGTTATATCCAGCCAACCACTATTCGTCTTCCCCTTCAACTTCTCCGATCAGCCGACACCTATCACCTCGCGAGGAGGGAGGAAACCGCGCACGCTAACTGGTTGCGATCCATGATGCATGTCACCTCTTCATTACAACTTTTCTACTTTTGTCTTTTGTCTTTTGTTTTTTTTGCCATTTCTAGCAATCTACTACTTTTAGGACCCGTGAGTGTGGGTGTCTCGGATGGGTGATGAGGAATGACTCGCCATGATGGTGGCTCTGTTTACTACCCCACCACCCTCAAAGAAAGAGCTATGAGTCAAGAGGCGTTCAATGCGCAGGGTGGAGGCAAGCTGGGTTTCTTCAGGGCTAGCTCGAACTGCAAGACTGGATCGATCTGGCATCTAGTCTAGCTACGACAGACGGGCACTTGCAGCACCAAATAACGATCGGCGTGGATTTATCCGAAGGCTGCTTCCCCTCTGATATCTGATGACGGAAGGCTGAACAGAACAGAGTTTCAAAATGCAACTCTCCGAGAAGGAATGTAGTCTAACCCTCCTTGAGTCGCCGCCAGATGGGAGGCCAGCACTGAGCCACCACTCACACCCATACGGTGTGGTGGCTGTCAAAAATACGGTGGCTCAGCAAAGGTTAGATCGGTGCAGCCTTGCCGATGATACCCCTGCATGACCTCCAGCCCTAATGCAAGTCAGAGTCTTTCAGGGAGCGAAGGGCCAAGCAGGAAACAAGAGGAGAAACAAAATCAGGAAACAGTCAAACAAAGAGCCTATCGTCTGAGATGTATTATACTAGTATGCTAGTCGGCTATCCCGTGAGATGCTCATTCCACGAACTCACACCATCAAACCTTCTAAAAGTAGCGTCTAGTGCGCTCATCAGAAAAAACAACTAATATTAGAGGTGGAAGCAGAGCAGATGAGGGGTTGGCGGCCAGGACCGCCCTCTTGACTGAATACGATGACCCCCAAGACTGCACATGTGGCATTCCGATCTTATTCAGCACATTCCATGCGTGACGGGTTGATTCCAGATAATTCTGCAATCGGGTGGGGATATGGAAGTTGCTCAAGATAGGTGTCGGGAGTCTATTAATTTTCTTTGCCTGATCTACGAAAGGTCGGGTTTTTTTTGAGCAGCTTGATGTTCGACCTGTTTGATTTTCTAACAACTTGTCTCAGTTCTAGGAGTTGAAGTCCGCGGACCTTCCGTGGGTATGCGTGAAAAATGTACCGTAGTGACAGCATGGAGGTTCTGAACTTATCATTCCAGTACTTGACGTGAACGACATGGATAGCTTTACCAAGGGAGACTTGAGGGTCCAGAGTAGCCGGGATAGATACGAAAAAATCGCCTTTCTCTGGCTTAGCCAGCATTCTGGAGTCACGCAGCAAGCCATGTCCTGTTATGATCTTTCTCGATCAATTTTGGATAGCGACCTGAATATCTTAGTAAATAAACTGCACTGCGGTACCTGCAACATCCATGGATATGGAGGAGCAAGATATGCGATTTTCGTATTGCACACAACTTTTCCTTTCCACACTCGTTCTGGAAGCCGCCAGCCCTCTTGACGAGGCTTCGAAAGGAAGAAACTACGCCACGTCCCCTGGCTGCTGTTTTCATATAGAATGGGCTGTCTCGAAACATACTGATGATAGAACGAAGATCATCTGTGCTGACCGAGTGATTATAAGTTCCTAATGATAAAGATGCTTAGATAGAACTAACTCGCTGTAAAAAAAAAAATGGCTCTTCAATTCAATACTCCCTACTACCAGATGGAGGACCTCGTCGTCGGTCCTGCCATGAAGTCTTCTACTGTATCTAGCCTCTAAACGGAGTTAAATGTTTTCTTCGAACGTTTTTTCCAAGTTCATGTGACTAGTCTTGTATACGAATGAAGAGTTTGCTTTGACATATCTGAGATTGTTCTCAAATTCATAGTGATTCGGAAGATAGTCAAAGCTATTAGTGATTCGTCATTCCGAGTCAATTCAACACATGATGAGTGTGCCACATCACTCGTTCCCTAAGTTCCAATGCAATAGAGCGTCATTAACGGATGAAATAGCAAGTTTGAATCCGTAGTTGGTCTCTACTATGTCGGGTCAGCATCACCGACATTATGGTTATGCTTTGAGCCACGGCCAATATTTCTATCGAGACTTTCCTTTTAGAGGGCCTTAGGTGTTCTTTAAATATTATTCTAATGGACTAGAGTTGAAACCTACATCTGAACTGAATTTATTATTCAATCTAAGAAGTATTTTCTGATACTATGATTATTCCTACCGGTGCCATTGGGAAATGGCATGAACCTTGAAATGGACCTCGGGCTTCCAAGGTTCCAAGGTTTTACCGACAACTTGAACTTGAGCGAAATATTATATATTGATATGAATCAACCCTTTAAAGACCTATATCTTATAGAAACTTGAAATAACCAATACCTTTATGTTCATAATGCACATACTCTATAATCTATTCTCGCTAGTAGTTCTGGGCTACCTGGCAATGGCGCACCCCGAGAGGCTTCAAAAAAATACCAAAAATACTGCTCGGAGCTCGAAAATGTCTCGAAAATGTCGACAGAATGTGACAAAACTCAACCAGAATCGCTAGGATGAGAATATAGCTCGACGCTGGCATAATAATTACACTACCTATACTATCTACTCCGAGACACCATATTACGATGTGGTCCCAAATGATTCATGGGTGTTAACACCAGAAGGAATTTCAGGGCCTTACGTATACCCACCTTCCCAGACTCTTCGCCAAGTTAAAACAGAAAACCAGCCAGTTATACCCTTGTGGCTTGATATTGGTATTATTGAAATGGCTATATGTGAGCCTCTCAATGATGCCCCGGTTGATATATGGCACTTCAATGCCACGGGATCATACTCCAGCTTCACGGGCCTTCCGCCCAACATATCATTCCCACAACTTCTACAGGAACTGAATATCTCTAACTCACAGATGGGGTTACTGATCTTCATACCGATCGCTCTACCTGGCTGCGAGCCCTTTGGCCCACTGATAGCCACAGAATTATGGAGATGAAGATTGTTTCCCGGAGAAGGTTTCTGCGGCAATCATGTCACTTGAGCCCTATGCGTCTCACACCCAAATCCATCGCATTACAAACGCGGAAGATCTTTTCTTTTCAATGGACTCAGTGGGTGGTTTCAATTCCATCATACATGTTGTCCCCACCGACCCGAAAAACGTAACCAAGGGAATGGTTGGGTATATCACCCTTGGAGTGGATAAAACACTTAATAGGAATAGGAGTGGGAGTCAACCATGGTAAAGCTCTGGAGTACGAGAAAGCTGGATATATTGATATGAGTAAGCGGGATTGATTGTATTCATTGTATCCAGACTATGCAATTGAAAAGAATTCGGAGGCAACATCTCTCTCTACCATGTACGCCATGTGGCTTTGCCTGCAGCAATACCAGACGTATGATTGGAGTTACGCCTTCTGGTATTTTTGCTTTGCCATAAAACCCAGAAGATTCCGGAAATATAGATCAAATTGCCCCATTTAGCCAAGCTGGCGAGCGAAAGAAAAGGTCCAAACTCAAATGCAACACCGCTGCAGCCTTGCCGATTAAGCCCACATCTACGGAGGATAGTTCGCCAATGTCAGACAACCCCCTCATCAAAAAAAATCTTGTTCCGCCCCAAGCACTTTGAATAACAATTACACCATTATTGTGTTACCACCTGCTACAATGGTTACGCCGATTGACTTCTGATTTCCTGGACGGGAGCTGTCTGATGACTTCATGTTGGTTATGTCGACGCCATTCGATGGAGGCCCCCCCGATCAGAATACGACCTCATCACTGTAAAAAGTGTGAGCAAGCATGCTAAGCTTTTCCTCAACGGGTCCAGCCACCATCCACAGCTCTACGGGTATATGCGTATTGGGTTTTTTGGTACGGAGCAAGAATTAGTGGCTGACTTTATCGAGATTTTTGTGAATGCACAGCCATCAATTTTGTACTTCGCAATCATCGATGGGAAGGAGCCAACTTGTGCGGTCGAAAAGGCGAGCTCTCCAGGATAGTTTCATACATGGCTGCCTCGACGGCCCACCTATCCACGGCAGTTGGGTACATAAATATCCTCCCTCTATATTAGCGGACTTATGTCATAACCCGTGCAGTTAGACTCCTTCACTCGGGCCTAGATCTTCCAGAGCACGGCGGCTTAGGTGTTCGTTGAATGCAGTGGCGTTCTGATCCACCGAATAAGACGTCGCTGTCCGTAGCTCAGAGGATGGGTGCCAGCTGGAGGGGCTTTCACGGTTAAATGAAGTCGTCCCCGGTGCTGATATGAGAGGAAAGGCACACAATGGGTGCGAGAAATCACCATATGCGGAACAGAAAGATAGAGGTCAAGATACGGCATATCTCTCGCTCTGTTGGGATGATTGGTTAGATGGGAAGAGAGAGGTTGTAAATGTATATTTTTCTCTGGATAGTTAGGGTTGATGAATGCGCTAGAAGCATTTAGTCAAAGCTAAATATGGTCTTTAATTTGAGTGAACGTTCCCAACCAAGATAGGGCTCGTTGGGGCATGTTTGGTTGCTCGTTTTTATTTACTTTGAATATTTGATAAGGGAGTATGTGGGTACCTTGGTGGAATCAAGATTTGTGGGACTTCAAGGAAGTTGTTCGAAGTTGATGCAATGTCTCTCAAGCAAAAAGATGCGCAATAGAGCAAGGGCTGTGTGGAAGATGCCATCTCCATTCCCAAACTTTGTACCACTGAACACGGTATCAGTTTATTATGCTGATTTTGGATTATTGATGATTTATGTATGAAGACAAGACAGAATTTTATACAGACTTGTGTTGATTTGTGATAGCTTGAAATGATCGCAAGAAGGTTACTGTCAATCGGCAAAACTCGTATTCAATCAGTCATCTACCCCTCATTTCCAACCACGAGCCCAGACTCACCTCTTGAAATACTCTTCTCAGCCCCCCGAAATCCCATTTTTCTCTTCAAAATGGGAATGAAAGCGCGTTGCCAATGTTCCAAAATTCAGTTTGCCACCTCGGCCGACAAACCCTTGGCGATTTACGCCTGTCACTGCACAGAGTGTAGGCACCAGAGCTCCTCCGCCTTTGGCATTACAGCCGTATTCCCCTATTTCGAACTCCCGGACTCTGTATCGGATCTTGTGGGAAGTTACACTCGAATTACTATAAAGGGTCGCCACATGGAATGCTTATTTTGCAAAAACTGCGGAGCTCGTTTGTTGCATCGTTTCCGTGACTATGTCCCCGCACCAGGCGAGAAGCCCGATCCCAGGGCGACGTCGAATGTGAAAGGAGGGTGCCTTGAGAATCTGGACAAGGAATTAATGAAGGGGATTATCCATATTTGGACCAAGCATGCGATCGTGGATATCCCCGAGGGGGCGGAGCAATGGGAAGAGGCACCTGGGATGCCGCCCAATCCCTTGGAGCGATAGTCAAATTTGTGCTGAGATAATGGTTGATTGAATTATTTCGCTTTATTGAACATGATACATAGGCATGGTTATGGAAAATCGGCTAGAAAACAGATCATAGGGAATATTTTGAGTGTAGACGTTCCTCTTAGCCAACAACGCAACTCCAGCCGTTGTCAATAGCAATGCAGGCACCATTGATGATGCCCGCCCCCTTGCCGTAGGTTAGGTTAGTACAAAAGCCGGCAACCTCATTCACATCGCACATGGGGGCTTTGACGGCTTCGAAAATGGAACCGAGCTTTTGGTACCCTTCCATGTTCATCCCATCCTTGAATACATCGGCAATATTTGTCTCCATGCCGCCCAGCATAAGCGCATTGCACTTGATACCTTTGTTCCCATAAAAGGCAGCGGTGTTTTTCGTAAGTCCGACAAGACCGTGTTTGCTGGCTGTATACGCAGCACCTGGGGGTTTGTTAGACATAATAGACAAAAAAAAAAACAGAAGATTCTGCACATACCAGCAGCCCACCCAGCACGACCTGCCACGGATGTAATGTTGATGATCCGACCATCTGGTGTGGATTGTTCCAACATGTTGCGAACAGCAAGCTTGCTCAAGACAAAAGGTGCGGTAAGATTGAGAGCCATAACACGGTCCCATTGACCGATTTCAAGGTCACCGACAGGGTTGAAAGTATCCATAATGGCGGCATTGTTGACGAGTACATCGATCTTCCCAAATGCTGCGATCAGTTCGGCGAAAAGAGCCTCGACTTCGTTCAATTTGGTGATGTCGGCCTTGATAGCCTTCAATGGGCCTTTGGACGACAGTTCTGCAGAAGTTTCCTGGAGACGTTCTTCGTTGATATCACAGATGACCACGTTGGCACCGGCCTCGAGGAATTTGGTCGCAATGGCTTTTCCAAGACCACCGCCACCGCCAGTGATTAGGCATGTCTTGCCAGCAAGGATTTGCTCGGAGATCTCAAGTTTAGTCATTCTGGCTGTTGAAAGTAGGACTTGTAACTGGGGAGGTGATGTGAGAATTTGGTGAGGTTGCTATGAACTACAAGTGTCAAGAGTAGTAGGAGGCGGTTTAAATAGAAAGTATTAATGTGCAAACGTGCAAACGGAAAGCGGATGCACTTGTTTCCGCTGAGAACTCGTGGTCTCCTGCCCACATTGACCCAAGTGCCAAGGTGGTCTTCCTCGGCCGTTGGGGTTTCTAGGGGAAATCTGATCGTACTTTCCAAGGATGTTAGAGGTGCCGAGGTGTATTGTAGATACGAGAGTTATCATAGACGTGTATAGAATGAATAGCTTGAATTTATGACTGGGATATGAGTGAAAAATTTCATCACGAAAATCATATCGCGTGTCGGTAATTGAGAATGTGGGTTTTGGACAAGTTTCGAGGCTGAAAATAAGCTTGATTTGTCTGCATATACATTGATTCTGCGGACGGGGGGATACCTGGCATATTGTACAGATACCAGGGAATGTAATCCAAAAATACGCTCTCTAACTCGTCGGAAAGTGGCCGTTCCGAAACCCTAAGCCCTATTACCTGTTTGGGACCCCAGCTTGACTGCCTCAGGAGGCGTCTCGGTCCAAGTCCGTTCCCTCATCCGATTGGGGCAGCCAATATCTGCAGGACGAAACAAGAAGGCCGTGGCATCGGCAAAAGCGAAGCTTGGTCACTGGTCAAGCGGAGACTACGACAAGGATGGTTCTTGGCTTTATCATTGAACTAGATCAACAAGGGTAACCTCAGGAGATGGGAAGCGTCTTCGCCGTTTTCTTATTACACAATACTCACGATAAACCCTCCATTGGCAGATATCGACCTCTGGGTCAGACGGATTCCCGACAAATGACAGGCTCTCCGACCCCGGCTTATCGGTAGGCGTCTTGAAGCCCTGTCTTGCCCCCCCCAAAAATCCCGAGAAAGTTCACTGCTTGACCAGGACTAGCATACCGGTCTCCACCTCGGTCGCGGAGACCTTCTCGAACAGGAAGTCATAGGGTCTATCTATCTTATCGGGCTGACTGCGACTATGGGACCTCCATGGGGTTCTCTATGAGAGTATGGGGAAGGAGGAGACGTGCATTGGGCGCCTTCGACAGTTTAAAGCATGGGCTGTCACCCACAATTAAGGTTGAATTCTCTATTACGAACTTCTGCATGTTGGAAATAGGAAACTTTTGTTGCCACCATGTCGAACGACGATGAGCACGACCAAGTCTTCAAAGGCACCACCACCGAGGATGTGCGACTCGAGAATCTGGGCTATGAGCAAGGTCGGTATCCTTCTGAGAAGCAGCTGTATTTCATGGATGGGGAAGTTTACTGACAGGCTTCGAGAGCTCAAGCGCTCATTTGGACTGCTTAGTATGATTGGGTTCAGTTTCAGTGTTGTGACATCGTGAGAACTGCTCTAAAGCACGAATTGAAACAAAGAGGCATTACTGATGACTCCTTCAGATGGACCGCTCTCAGCGGTGTCTTTATTGTTGGTGTCAACTCTGGGGGTCCACCGGTAATGGTATTCAGTTTTATTGGAGTTTCACTCCTGACCCTGGCTGTGGCGATTCCCATGGCGGAGATGTGTTCCATGTACCCCGTGGCAGGAGGCCAATACTCCTGGGTGGCTGCCTTGACGCCCCCTAGGTATGCACGAGGCCTTTCATATGTGACTGGATGGTTTATGCTTATTGGTATGAGTGCACCTGTCATCTACGATCTAATTGGAGCCATATACTGACACTTGCCAAGGTCTTCTTGCGATGGGAGCCACGAACAACTACATTGCCTCAAATTTTGTGCTTGGAATGGCAAACTTGATTTTCCCCGAATATGTCATTGAGCGATGGCAGACGGTTCTGGTGGCCTATTTGGTCGCCATTCTCGGGACCTGTGTTAACATCTGGGGATCCCACCTACTCCATCGCATTTCCAAATTTATCTTGATTTGGAATGTTGGCTCTTTCCTCATCGTGACCATCACCCTTCTCGCAACAAATGATCACAAGCAACCAGCGTCTTTCGTATTCCAGGACTTCCAGAATACAACGGGCTGGGGTACAGGCATGGCGGCTATCATCGGTATTTTGCAAGCCTGCTTTGGCATGTGCTGCTACGATGCACCTTCGCATATGACGGAGGAGATGAAATCGGCATCCAAGGAGGCTCCCAAGGCAATTGTGCTCGCAGTGGTTTTGGGCGCTGTTACTGGATTTGTATTCCTTTTGACTCTCTGTTTCTGCATCGGAGACATTGCCGAGACAGCCAACAGCAGCACTGGTGTCCCTGTTATTCAGATCATCTATGACTCTACTGGAAACAAAGCCGCCACATGCATTCTGTCAAGCCTGATCGCAGTGATTGTCATTGTAGCCGGAAACAACATCCTGGCAGAGGGCTCACGATCTGTCTACGCCTTTGCTCGTGACAACGGTCTCCCTTTTTCCACGTTTTTTAGCAAAGTGGAAAGCAAGAGTCAAGTTCCAGTGAACGCTGTGCTGCTTACTCTTGTGGTGCAGCTAGCCCTCGATTCGATCGAATTTGGCACAACGACTGGTTTCGAGACAGTCATCTCCATTGCGACGGAAGGCTTTTGTAAGTGGACTCGTGGCTAGTATGAGTGGGCATCACTAACACTGAATATCGCAGATCTCTCCTATGCAATGGCACTCTTTAGTCGACTGGTAGGCTACTTTACTGGCCATGTTACCAAAATGGAAGGTCCATATGCCTTCTCCACGCCCGTATCTATCGGTCTCAATATCTTTGGGCTCATTTTCCTTTTATTTGCCTCTATCACATTCAACTTCCCCAGTACGGCGCCGGTTGATCATCAATCTATGAATTATACTAGTGCAGCAATTGGCGTCATTGGCCTAATCAGCCTGGTTACTTGGATTACGACGGGACGGAAGAATTTCACTGGTCCGGGGGCTGTAAGCTTCTTGTCTGGTCAGCAGTCTGGGCGGAATGCCCCTCGGCCCGAGGAAGTGCAGAATGAGAAGAAGGCATAGAGTAACTTACTCTATTTGTACAGTATATGGAGAAAATATTCACACAAATTGAGAACAAGCAGGTCTTTTGAGGGCCTTTAGGATTTCTCGGATTTATACTAAGACTCAATTGAAGAACAAAATGTTTGATATCTTCTATCTTCAACTTAAAAAACCCGGGCAGTCTCCAGTGCTGTTTTGAGAAACAACCTCAGCCCTCAGATAGTAGTACCAGGTAGCCCACAGGACTGAGTCAAGTAATTTTTATCGCACTAATTTCTCACTGCCTGCAAGATTACCACCAACTCGTCATTTCGTAAGCTTAAGGTCTAAGTCCTGCTAGCTTGGTGATTCTTTTGTCGACTTGCATCTAACTTCGAGTTCGAGAGATATGAGCTGCTGTATACCGCCTGTGTCTCTATTTTCCGCCATCACTAGTTCCCGCCAGGTGTAGTAGGACGGTGACTCGGAGGCAAAGGTCCGGATCTTATGTTGCTTATCTGTCACCCATAAACTGCCTTCGAAAGTCTGGGTCTGATACCAAGGTAACTCGGCTCGGATTCCCTATTGGAGATTGGATGTAAAAAAGATGCAACTGGTCGGCCATTGGTTACTGCTTCCAAGGTTCATGCATTCCAGTCGGGTCGTTTGATCAACCACAATCACGTGTAGAAGCAAGGATGGACAAGGAGAACTATTCTCAACAAAAAATCAAATATGAGAGCAGGAGTAAGATTATTAAGAGTTTAAAGAACAATAAACGTAGCTCTATTGTGACCTGGGAATTAGTAGACAACTGTCGGACCAACTTGAAATTGAAAATGCCCTGGACTTGAATGTGTGTAGAATAAGTCATCCTTAATCTACTACTAGTAGTATTACTAGTAATAGTAGCAGATTTTAAGCCGCGGCATGAGCGATGTGCCCGGGTGAATGAGGTTACCTAATAGTAGATATGATCGGTTGAAAGATATGCTAGTCACATGTTGAAATATGGACATTGACAGACCTGGTTCTCACCTACTAGTAGCTGCATACATAATAGATACCGGAAGCTTTTCTAAGAGGGTACCGATCGGGTATCAGCAAGCAGCCATTTGGTCGGTGACGGCTCGAAGATATTGTTCCCCATTATTGTCGTGATTGGGGCGGGGTGGATGAAGATAACAACTTTTTGTAAGACCTTGGCATAGGAATGAACCTCGCGTTTGGGGTGGGTCCATATGCGGCGGTCGAAAGCCACGGTTTTCCTGGTTCATTGATTCCCTCCGTCGTGGTCCACGCGGAGGTGGCAGAAAGCCATACACAGGGAATCCCGACCCTCACGATTGACAGGGGTCTTCCAAATAAGGTCAGTGGGGCAGAAATTGAAACCAGCCATCTCAGCACCGGATTATAATTTCATATCGTGAATTTAATATGCTTCATTTGGGATAATGAATTTACAGGCAAAGAGACAAGCGTGGTCGACCTGGACCTCAATAGTCTGGGTAGTGGAATACGTAATGCTATGAGTGACACTAAAGTTGATCTATTCTTGTCAAATAGGCCTAGACAGCCGATTGCCGGGACTTAGCTCGTGGCTCTTGAGAAGCTAGTATCATTGCAAACTAGCGTGGTCGATGGTGTGGAGGCTGGGAAACATGTTGAGAAACATGGGATCACTTACCACAACGAAAATAATCTATCTGGTGAAACTTCTAAGATCGAGGAAACTTGAATGTCCTCAGAGTTGAATGTCTTGCCCTAGGGTATAATACTGCCATGAAGTACAAATTCGGACTATTGACTAATTTCCAGGGTGGAGAAACTGAAATCAGTCTTTAGACGCATACAGCCCTAGCCTCGGACTCTTACCTGACTCGGGCCCACGTATTTCATCTCTTATGGACGGGGCCAGTCGGCATCAGACTCGTACTAGATCAAAGCGCACATAATCGAATTGACACGTTAAATAGTTGAAGACGGGACGAGACCATGACAGCATCTACTTTTTCGCTGCACATCATGCTAGCAGACCATGCAGGCTGAAAGGGCCGAGAATGCAACTGGACTTGTTTGGGACAACATTATGCGATTGTCGTGCCGTGTGGCATGAGCGTGTCATGCGGGATTTTACTTGGCCCCCGGAGCCTGAAAACGAAGCTAAGATACGAGCTTGATATTAAGCCAAGGCGGGCTGGGAAATATATTAAATCAGGTTTATGTAATATTATAAGGCATGAGAATCTTAGTAATATACCTAGTCTTTCCCGTCCCGTCTCGCATAGCGGGATCACAATAATCCACAGTTCCACTTCTAGTAGTAAGTACGTACGATCAACGCATCCATCCTTGCTAGTGTCAGTATCATTTCCTCCGAGATCGTCAAGGTCGTATAGAGCCCCATCACTTGGTAATGCTTTCTACATCGCGGGGCGGCCCTCGCCCCAGGTTATCCACTTTCGCTTCGAATGAACTCAATCAAAGTTAGTTATTATCTTCGGCAAATGCACCCGAAAGTCAATATCTAGGGCTACACGGGAGAAAAAATATCGGCAGTAGTAAGCAAGCTCGCCCAGCGAATGAGTGACAATGATGATGGGCCGAGACAGCTGACACGAGAAAAGCGAGTCATCGCACCCCCTCCTTGGATGGCTTCGCCCCCACTCTCCGCTGGCTTGTTGACGTGGCCGACAAGGAACGGTTGATCTCACCGATCGTTCGGGATCCATCTTCATGCATGATCTGGCTAGGATACAGACGGCATTATACCGAAGCCACAATATCGGAAGACTCGCAGAAGTTGAGCGCTGTGCGGGCATCTAAGCACTGGCTTACGCTTTGGGTTCAAATGATTGGCGAAGTCCCTCTGATTGCTCGGGCTGCTTTGGCACTATCCATGATGATCTTTTTGGCAACCAAGAAACGACAATCTCATTTCTCGTAACTATTCACACGATCACTCAATTCAGCCGCTCGCGCTCGCACCACACCACCACCGTTCCAAGATTTATTCTCCCTCCAACCGGACTCAGGCCAAAACAGTATTGGTCGAGGGCTCAATAGTACGCAGTGTGACCAGTACCTTATTTGTTCCTGATTGATCCGCCGAACTCCACGACAACGTATACCACCCGTTAGAAGCTGGCTCAGCGTAGAAGGTTGCCCCTTCAACGTTGGTCATCACGTAGCGTCCGTATAGCCACCAAATATCAGTTAATTTCCCACTGCTTCGTTCAGTAGATGAAGAAAAGCCGACTTTGTCCGATCCATCATTCGCTATGTAAAGAGCCTGGCTAGTCAGAGTCTTGGCCGTGCTCCCTGAGTGCGCATTAAAGGTGTTTCCATTCGAGCCAGAGACCGTGACTAAGTGGAAGAGAAATCAGTACACAAGTAGAGAGGCGTTCTGCATCAAGGTGGCCCAGGTGGGGAAAATACGTACAGGTGACCGGAAGAGCATCGGTTGAATTCTGGGACTGGGTTGGATCGCCTATCAAGGCGGCACCTAGAGACAAGCAAATCCTTGATCAGAAAATCACTCACAGCGGAGCCAGATTATCCAAGTTGAGTGTACCTCAAAACTCACCATTCGAATAGTAAATTTGCAGTCCGCTGATTTTGTCGCCAAATGCGTAGATGCCGAACTCTTCACCACGCTTTTCCAGTGGTCGAGCGAGACCAACAGATCCCAGTGCTGCAATGAGTAAAGCAAATATAGGAAATATGCGAAACATGGTTGAGTGTAACATGTACGCAAGGGGAACCTAAAGCAATGCAGGTACAATTATTGTCTAACAGTGAAGAAGGAGAGGGAGAGGACAAAGTTGAAAGGATCTCAAAGGCAATATAGGGCGAATCTTTGTAGAAGCAAAAGATTTTCAGTTTGGAATATATCTTCGGGGTGTTGTTGATAATCCCAATGTCTTGAGACTACTAATACCCGGCCGCCCCTTGATCCTCTCAGCCTCGCATAAAGATGCCGGAAGCATAATGACTGTGTGATCCCGCCCACCAAGCCATGATTAGGCCCACAATCTGCAGATCAGCTGCAAACTTGATTTGCTCCCAGTGTTTGATTCAATAAAGTACTTTGCATTGGCCTGATTTCGCGGAGTCAACTATCGACCGACGCTTCCCACAACGAGGCAACGCCACTTCAGCCCTTGCGGGCCTAAGTAAGAAAGAGCCTTTTGTGTCCGGGATTATTCTTTGGATAACACGAGGTCTCGCAAGGATTAACCCTGACTGGTCCATGTCCGAAGAAATAGACCTCGTGGAGTAAGCCTCAGCTAGGGTCAAAATCTGAACATTCGAGTTATGTATATACAAATATAGCTGAGATTCGTGGTTCTGAGACATGCAGCCCTAGTTACCTTATCGGGGACATCGGGGATACTATTCCATGCGCAAGGATGAGGGGAAAGAAGCATCTCGACCAAGAATACTACGGAAAGATACCCACTATGGAAATTACTGGCGAAATACCTCACGAGGCCAACCATGAATGACTAGTGAGATCATTCCATCCGGGTCAATTGCGTATCTTATCCCGCTAAGCGATGTATTGGCCCCTGCATCTGTCTGCATCTCAGGACTTGCGGAGTGCCCTGGCGGCTCGGACATGCCGCACGATATGCCATGTGATATTTGAGAGCATAGACAGCTCAGCCTTACTATTACGAAGGATACTAATATTCAATTATATGGCCCAAAAGGTATTTAGCATATATACTAGCCTTAGAACGTCATACCTTCACTCACACAGCATTTTTTCCTTCCCCTTTCAAGGTTTCTGCTTCTAGTTTTGGATTCTATGCTTATGTACTATTGTGTTGCATGAAAATTCCTTTTTGAAGACATACCCAGGGCTGTCGACCTCGGGTATAAAGAATCACTATGAGGCCACAGAAATTCCTTTGTCTGGCATATGCACTGGCCGCAGCTGCATTCACCATCCCGCAGCTTGAGGCACGCAAGTCAAAAAATCCTGTGAAAGCCAAGCCATGTGCTGGAAATACTGCCCACAAGAGAACGAAGTGGTGTGACTACGATATCAATACGGACTACACACAGACTGTGCCAAACACAGGTGTTACCCGTGAATATTGGCTCTCAATTGATGAGATCACCATCGCCCCAGATGGAGTCGAGCGTTTTGCAATGGCTGTCAATGGGACAATCCCTGGGCCTACAATTTTCGCAAATTGGGGAGACAACGTCGTTGTTCATGTTACGAATCATCTCGATGAATCCAGAAATGGAACCAGTATCCATTGGCATGGAATTCGTCAACACTACACCAACCAGAATGACGGTGTTGTCTCAATAACCCAGTGTCCAACGGCCCCTGGGTCAAGTATCACGTACAAGTGGCGTGCTGCCCAGTATGGATCATCTTGGTACCACTCCCACATTGGCCTACAAGCATGGGAAGGTGTGTTTGGAGGTATCATAATCAATGGCCCTGCAAGTCAGAACTATGATGTCGACAAAGGCATGCTGTTTCTGAATGATTGGTCTCATCAAACGGCGGATGAACTTTACACCCACGCTCAAGCTATAGGCCCGCCAACTCTCGACACAGGACTCATCAACGGGACAAACAAGTACAACGAGTCTGGTTCCTATTTCACTATGCGCGCCAATAAAGGCGAGTCTTATCGCCTTCGAGTTCTGAATGCGGCTATTGATACCCACTGGAAATTCATGATTGATAATCACCAACTCACGGTCATTGCTATGGACTTTGTCCCAATCAAACCATATACGACTAACTACATCAACATCGGAATGGGTAAGCTTCATAGTCTATATCTCAACACGGAAAGGGAATATTTCTAACATTGCAACTCAGGACAACGGTATGATATTATCGTCACTGCAAATCAGCCCAAGGCCAGAAACCACTGGATTCGGGCAATTCCTCAAACAGATTGCTCGGAAAACAATAATGTAGAGGGTATTAAAGGCATCTTACACTATTACGGCAAGACAGGAACCCCCGACACATCGCCATGGATCTTTGACGATATATGCCTTGACGAGGACATGAGCAAACTTGTCCCCGTTGTCCCCAAATCAGTTTCAACTGCTGGCTGGGACGCTATGACCGATGTTACTGTTGCCAAGAATAAAAACAATCTCTTCCGTTGGTACCTGAACAGCACTACCATGCAGGTTGAATGGGAGGACCCGACTCTGTTACAGATTCATGATGGCAAAACAGAGTGGGAGGCTTCAAGCGGTGTCATTGAGCTCCCGAATGCCAACGAGTGGGTCTATCTTCTGATCAATACCTCCATGCCGGTGGCCCATCCAATCCATTTGCATGGTCACGATTTCCATATCTTGGCACAAGGTACTGGACCTTGGGATGGGACTACTGTTACATCAAATCCACCACGCCGAGATACCGCCCTATTGGAAAGTAGTGGCTATCTACTTATGGCTTGGGAGACCGACAACCCCGGTGCCTGGCTGATGCATTGTCACATTGGGTGGCATACCTCGGAAGGATTCGCCCTTCAATTCATCGAGCGATATGAAGAAGCCAAGAAGCTGATAGATTATGATTACGTGAACGATAACTGTAAATCGTGGATTGAGTATGATGGGGAATTCAGTATTGAGCAAGAAGACTCGGGTGTCTAAGTCGAAGTTGGCAGTTTGTTGAAAATTTGAACATACCTAATGGTTCCTAGATACAGCCTTCCCATTATATCTCATTGATTCCTTTAATTTTCAATAATATCTGTTGCCCGTAAGAAAGCTCATAGTAGTGCCTCAATGCCTCTGAAGATTAAGGGCTGGAAGGGAACCAATATTTATCACGTACTATCAGTATCCTGGCATATTTTAACCTTGGAAGTGCCTATTCGGGCTTTTATATGACCTTGAAAAAGTCCATATCTACCTAGGTTGTCCAATCAGAATATACTACGATCGCTACAATCTCGTGGGTGGGACAACTTTAAAAGTAGAGAGAGCTCAATTGGCGAAGAAATGAGAATTCATGCAACACTTGATTCTTCTCCAGCGATCGCTGATGTTTGATGACGAGCTTGCTCGGATCTCCTGTGTAATCTTTGCCCCACGTTCCAAATAGCAGATTGTGTAACCCAGGCCTGTTTGCCATGCAGCTAGCCCTTACCATAAACATAGCTCAGCCAAACCCTAAATATTGCCAATTCGATGATCGCTTGTTGATGACGAGACAGTAGGATGCTTCAGGGTGGTATCAGGACGGCAACTTGACGATATCTACTGCCGCTCAGACAGGCTGGTCGAGGCCGGTCGAGGCTGTTTGGTTGACATTTTCTCCGGAGTTGACAAGAAAATCCACAACACCAAACTAAATGCAGAATGATGCCCGCTAGCGTTTGTGGGCCGCACAAGGGGGGGCAAAGTGATCGATCACAGAGCGGGCAAGAAGCAGAGACGAGCCAAAATAGCGGTCTACACTGGCGGTCTCGGTTCGGATCCAGCAATCTCCATTCCCTCAACTTAACCCTGTACCTTGTGCTCCACAAATGGTTCAAAAGCCAATGAACAAAAATATGGAGAAGTTGAGAGTCGCAATGTCTGTGGGCCAGACCACCAAGAGGCGGTATAAATAGTCGACCAGCCAATGACAGATCTTCACGCTGTTGATCTCCCCACGATCTGACAACTTGCAGTACACCGTCGGACACTTGGGAGCAGCTGGTCTGTGCCTCTAATGAAAGAGATTTCGACGGCCTGAGAGCTTGGAAATGCAGCTTCCCCAATCTCGCAACTCGTGCGACCCTTTCTTCCCGACCGTGCGGACAATCTCATCTTGTTCAGGGAAGATTTGATGCCGTATCACCACCCCCTACGCCTATCCTATCTCACTGGGATCTAAGTGGGGTTAGAGAAACGAAATTCGAACGGATATCACGAAGAGGTACTCCGTAGAGAAGCAGCACTGTCTACTTATATTCGTTCCGCTTCACTGCCTGACCTGGGGATTCTGGTATCCAAACCAGCAATCTCAGTTGACTAGACGAGCGATCAAACCATCAATCACATCTTGTCGCCCTCCATCATGATTCCATGTTTTTTGCTAGGCAGCCTTATGGCATACTTCCTGGTCACGATCATCTACCGTGTGCACATCCACCCACTAAGCAAATTCCCGGGGCCACGCTTGGCTGCTTTAACGGGTCTATACGAGGTCTACTTCGCCGCCTGGGGGGGCTGGCTCCTTCGAAGATGAAATTGACCGAATGCACGACGAATATGGTCAGTTCATCTTCCCCTTCAAGCTTCCACTATTGTGCTCTTAGGTTAACTTTCTCTAGGCCCCGTGGTACGCATCACGCCTGATGAGGTCCATGTACAAGATCAATTCTGCAATGCGCAGCATGCCGACAGTTGGATCAAAGGTACCAAGGCTATTCACTCTGGCCGACACCAATCGGGGTACACTAGCCCGAGTTTCCAGATCAGGAAGCGATCGATGTCGCATGTCCGATCGATCCTTGGAGTAAAGGTGATTCAGATTATCCGAGGATTGGTTCTGAAGCATCAAGTGGCTCGGGTTTTCAGCTGGCGCCTTCGATCATTTGCGTCAATTCCGAGTCTTTCGGAGGGTTCCGTCGATACGGCGGAGATGGGTGATCTGGAAGATGGCCATCAATTGTGGTCCCCGGCCTCCAAACAGATATCCCGGAATCAATTTCCCATTTGCAGTCCCGAAACGTCTGACCCGGGGCTCTGGGAAGCCGGCGAAGTCAAAGTTCAAGTGCTTCATTCGACCATTCAAAAGATGAGTGGTTCAAGTCTCGATCCAAGTCTCCCGCTTTAAAACATTGAGAAGTCCAGAAATCAGATCAAATAGAGTTGACTTCAGACTTTCCGAACGAGAAAGAGTCGGGGGGGTTCGGGGTTGAACCGAGGGATTGGGAGGCACATACTTCCAGGATGGTTTGGGCGCACGCGAGGAGTCGCCAGTTGTGGGCCAGGACCACCAGAACCAGAACCACAAGATGAGCAAAGCCAACTGCCACAAATTAAGGTTCCCGGAGAAATGAGATGAGGGGCATTCTGGAGTCGAATCGGAGAAAGCTGAAAATAGAGAGCGATCAACCAGAGCAGAGAGAAGAGAAGAGGAGAGAAGGAAGAAGCAACGCGGGGACCAAAGCCAAAGCCAAAGTCAGCTTGGCCTTTGCTCTTCGCTCTTTCTCCACTGCGGAGCTCCGCCGAATTTGCTCTCCTCTTCTCTACTCTGCTCTCTCCTCTGCTCTTCTATCTCCCCCTCCTTCTCACTCTTCAATTGCTATCGCTGTGCAATCCTTTCCTTCTATCCCCTCCGCCAGCACTACTCAAAATGGTTCGTCCCTGGAATTTAACCCTGGATTGCACCCGATGCCACACTCATCGGTGATCGCGCCGATCTTAACTAACTCGCCTGATCGCAATTCCAGCCTCACGCCGATTCTTCCTATTTCTTTGGCTCAACAAAGGCCGAGATTTATCCTCAACTACTTGACCAAACGAGGGGTTTGACCTCCGGTCAACGCAATTGGGTGAGTGTCTCCCATCGTGGGTGCCCAACGGAGGTCACAACTATCGCCAATGGAACGAAGCGCTAACAGAATATCGTCATCGTAGGTTAGGTGAGAGCGATTCCCAATCAGATTCCAAGAGACACATGCCCAGCTGCTCTGCCTGGTCGCAGGCTTCGCGCGGTGTCGTTTTTCCTGGCCAACAAACTAACAACCATCAGCAACCTTTCGAACGTCTCTTCGCTGTTGTGGCACACATTCGCCGCTCTCCCTTCCCCTTCCTCCGCGGTCAATTGGGCCGGATTCTATATTCGCGATGACAAGTTCCCCGCCCTCGCCTCGCCCGTCTCATCGCCTCCCCTTGGCGGTGGACCCAACCTCAACAGCGTAACGATCTCGACCACATACGCTTCGACTGAGGACCAACTCCTGCTTCTGGGTCCATTCATGGGAAAACCTGCTTGTCAAGAGATCCGCTTCGGTAAGGGCGTCTGCGGTACTGCTGCCGCTACCCAGAAGACTCTCGTCGTGCCAGACGTGGAGCAGTTCCCGGGACACATTGCCTGCGACGCCGAGAGCCGCAGTGAGATCGTTGTTCCCATTCTTGTTCGGGGCGAGGTTAGTGCTCTTCCTTGCGTGGTGTCTATGTAAAGTGTGTCTGAATTCCGTACTAATGACTCGACAGACTGTCGCCATCATCGATATCGATTGCGCCCAGCCCGATGGCTTTGACGACGTTGATAAGAAGTATCTGGAGGAATTGGCCGAGATCCTGGCTGAGAGCTGCGACTGGTGATGGATCAGCATCAAGAAGAAAATGATTTATTAAGACGAGATTTATGTGACATGATCGGTATTCAAATCGGGTGGGAAGGATGGGCGGATACAGGTTGTTAACTGGACCTGTTCCACAAAAGTTCCGAGTTAATTGCATTCGGTCAATCTGCTACCGTTACAGATGGCCTCTTTAGATATTTGCGTTGCGACAAAGCTTTGTTTTGGGGGAATGACTTTCATCGCGTTCGATGTAAATGTTGCCTATTCAGTTGGAAGAAATAGAAAGTTCAACATGGCAAGGATGATGCATGACGGATGATACCTCGCTAGTCCCAGGAGTCGAAGATGAACAAATACTTGATCGCTTCTGGGAAAGTACTGTGCAATCTCGGTACGGAGTAATGGATACAACCTGAGTCGGCCTCGTTACCTGAAACGCCAGATCGGCATTGCGGGGCCTGAACCACTACGTCTCATGTCAAAGCGTTGGGTTCGTGTTCAAGCCGCCTTTTAATCTGAGACTTGCATTGCCGATGATCAGCTCAGGGTATGACAGGTGCCAATATATCGAGATCATCATTGAATCTTCCCGATATGTTAGGTCTATGCAGGGCGATATTCGTAGAAGTTGACTGTTGACCACGCGAGGCATTTAGGGCGTATCACCGATAGTCTTTCGACTAGTAGGAAAGGCAGGAGAAGACCAAATCATACCCCTCGGGCATTCAAAGTTTATTAAATGACCCATGTAGTATGTGGAATATCCCATACAGCGTGACTACTAGCATGTTGATGTCGATACCCGCGATCCACTTTTGATGCTAGTAGCTACTACAGTAGTTACTAGTAGTAGTACTAACTATTCATGCCTGATCAAGCTCCTCAACTAATACTACTACTAGTAGTAGTTTTGACTTTTGCAGCTTATATCAAAAAGTAACCTTGAAAGTTACATCTAGTCTGTAATATCCCATGTAACTTGAATCTTTAGATCATCCCACGACCTGGGCACTAAAATAAAAATTGAACGGCCCCAGATTACATACTAGGTATTCTATACATGTAGCTGAAAGAAAGATACTTCCATATCCATCCATGGACGGTCACACTATTGAATTCCTAGGACTACGAGTAGCAGTTGATAATCACAACCCCTAAAAGCCAACAACAACATTCACAGCATCCCCATCAACCCTCTTCGTACTAAAGTCCACCTGCCCAACACAATCTCCATATTCATACGCATCCCCCAACTCCCCAGTCCCACCCGACGAAGTCGGCACTCCAAAAGTAACATCCGTCTTGGGCAATTGATCACAAGTATGAGACCCAGAATTCCAAGGATAATACTCCACAAAGCCCACCTGGCTCCCCTGGATACCCCCCGAGCCCGAGAGGGAAGCGTGTAGGACCCAATATGCGTCTCCGTCCCATCAACAGCATCAACCATCGTACCCGTCCACGTCGTCCCCGCCGTATTCTCGACGCGAAGAACATAGCCATGCGCATACGTCGCAGAGACCTCGACGGCGCAGGAAACGCCCGCACCGCCGTCCGCGCCGTCCGAGCAATTTGCGTCTGTGCTTGTCGTGCCTGCAACGAAACTCGAGAAGACGGCGTGGACTACGGAGTTGGAGCCGTTATCTTCGCGGGGCTGGAGGCCTGTGTAGCCGACATCGCTCTGGCCTGCGAAGCTGAATTGTTGCGCGTAGTAGTAGCCGGATTTGTGGGCTGCGTTTGGCATTGCGATTGGGAAACTTATGTCTTTTAGGCCATTGCTTGGGCCGTTGGAGACTTTCCAGGAGATTCCCACGAGGGCATTGGTTGTTTGGAGGAGGGTTGTGAGGAGGGTGGTTTGGAGCAGGGAGGTCTTCATTGTGGTGCTATTTGGGTGGTCTTTTGGGGTTGATCGGATGGTGTGCTTCTGCCGGTTCTTCTTTTCAATGGATGTATTTAATGTTCTTGCTTTTAGTTTGAATGATTGTTTGGCGACATGGGTCTTTTTCTACTTTTTAGACGGGATGTGGATACAGCCCCTTGCTGCCCAGGTATTCGTGCCAGGGTTGAAAGGTTATACTAGAATGGATTTTAGAACCTATTTTTTTTTATCTTCCTCGTTGAAGTAGATACCTCCAAGGCTAGTAGTATGAAGTAGTAGCGTGGGATGGATAGAGCTTGGACCTATCAAGCCGAAACAACGCGGTGTTTCAGTCCACGAGCACCAGATCTGCAAACTCAATCAATGTTGCCGCGAGGTTACATGGGTCCTCTGTTGGAATATCATTTGCCTAGGTGAGCACCAAGTTGGAAAGTTCGTCGGAATGTGATTATTATCCGCTCCATCTATTATATCAGAAGGGGAGTAGATGGGGTGCCTCAAAAGAATCCTTGGTGGAGTCGTGGGGTACTTCGCTAGGAGATCAGAAACGACCGGAAACATGATTGTTTCATTGCATTGGCACCCGAGTGCTCACTAGTGTGAATTCTCTAGCGAAGCTCTCTATGTAACGATCGTCATCTGAACATGACATGCAACGTGCCAGTGGACATCGAGGTGATAACATAACCGAATCGAAAAAACAAAAATGTAGTATGTAGTGACCGCTCAGCTGTCAGGAAGATATAGCAGGAAACGAAATCGAAATCTATGCTTGAGGAATGACCTTGAACGATGCAAGCTTGACTGGGTATGTCGTGAAAACGCCGAAATGAAAAAGAGGTATGTCATGAAAAAGGAAAAGGGAAAAGGAAAAACGGATGCCTGCTCAGCAAAGTTCACATATTGAGCAGACTCATCTGTCGTCGCATCGGGTTAGGGGATAACGAATCGCCGTCTTCGCTAGGACCGATCCCACTATCCGTACCCGCGAGTCCGGCGTCGGTGTCGATGTCCCATTGTTCATCCTCGGCATCATCTTGATCACCCCCGGCGGCACCATCCCAGCTTTTCTGGACGGCACCACGGGTATTCCAGCGGAGAGCACGTTGGACACTGGTAAACCACTCGCCGCTGTCTGATACAACGGTGGGGAAGGGATACTGGCTGGCTTCGATAGTGACATAGTCACCTTGACGAAGCTCAACTCGGCCCTTGCCATCAAATGAGCAATAAGCGGTGGACCGGGACGTATTAGGGACGGCGACGCGGAGAAGATGCGAGTCCGATAGAACCATAGGGCGGAAGGAGAGTGTGTGAGGGCAGATCGGGGTGAGAAGAATACCCGGAATGGATGGATGCATGAGTGAGCCGCCAGCGGACAGTGAATATGCCGTCGAGCCTGGATTTAATCATTATGGTTAGTACTGAACAGTCATTGTCCCAGTGCAGCTTCGGTTGACATACCTGTGGGGGTAGAGAAAATGCAGCCATCCGCTTGGACGACGGTCAATAACTCATCATCTGCATATAGCTCTAGATTGGACACATATGGCGAAGGCCCCCGGTCAATGACCAGCTCGTTCAGAACCTCAAATTGCTCGCCCTCCTCAACTGCGCCGACTTCCGCGCCTTTGCTCCGATCTTTCCGGTACACGGTACATGTAAATCGCATCCGCAGGTTCACACGCATGCCAACGTCGCCCATGACCCCATTGAGATGCGACTTATAGTGGTTGAAATCGAAGTTTGTGAGGAAGCCTAGGCTTCCGAGCGAGAAACAAAACACCGGCGGCACTACGCGTTGGAAGAGCCATGAGGTGAAAAGGACCGTTCCATCTCCGCCGAGAGTGAGGACAAGATCGAATTTATCCGGAGAAGTCCAGCAGAGATCGGGTGTCCAGAAATGCAGCATCTGCGCGAACCGCGGTTCTTTCTGAAGCAGACCGACGGTATCGAAGCGCTTGGAGTTCCGCAGTTTGGCATCCACGTAAACATTGACACCCAGGTCGCTTCCATACCGGGGTGTTGATAGAAGCCATTCGGCCAGCTCACGGGTCAGATGCACCAGGCTGTTATCTCGTGCCTTGGTGACAATCATGACATTGCGCACGGCGCGTTTGATCGGCCGCCTTTGCAATTGCTTCGACACCTCCCGAACACCCGTTGCAGTCTGCACCAATCTGGAATGCGACAGCCACTCATCATCGGCAATCTCCTCTAAAACCTTTTTTATATTTACTGCATCGTCGAATCTCTGGTGGAAATAACATGGCGACTGCAACAGCAGTCGCGCCGTTGAGGGGGATCGATCGAGATATCCGCTCAGTTGGAGATTTGACAGCGCATTCGACAAATTTTGGGAGGAAGCACCACTGCGATCCCGTCCTTTCTCCTTCTCCTTCTCTCTCTCTTTTTCATAGTTGCTTCGGTCTTCGGGCGGAGAGGAGGCTTCACCATTATTGTTGAGTAGGCCTGAGAATGGACCTGAAAAGCTCTGATGCTGATTGTTTTTGGAAAATGCCGGCCGTGATGCCAAAGCCTTCATGATGGTCTGTCTGGGAATACAATCGGTCGAGAGGGCTTTCTGAGATCGGTGTCCAGACACGGAGTTCTGACGAAATCGGCGCAATGCCGAAGAGGGCAGCGACCGGCCGACGGTGTTTTCCTGGGGGGGGATCTATCTTGGCCGAGGACAGTGCGATATTGTTTGGAGTTTTGGAGGGGGGATTGTGGGAAGGTATGTCGTTATGTGTCTGGGAGGGCGCTATATGGAGGGCATAATCGCGAAGCAGGGCGGCGCCGACTGTTGAGGCGGATGGAGGTGGGGCAGTGATGGGCCTTGCAGTTGCGGTGGTGACGGCAGTTGATGAAGGAGAAGAAGAAGAAGAAGGAGAAATGCAGCGCTGAGTAGAAAGTTGAGTAGTGGTAGTGTCGGATCGGGACGACTCACTGCCGGGCGACGCCATGAGCAGTAGGTATCAAGTTAAGTAAATCACTGGCAAGGATGAGGTGACCCCGGGGGCTGCAGATAAGCGGACTGGGACCGAGCTCGGATGTAACGGGGATTGCTTTGTACGTGGAGTAGTGGGACGCGGTGAAAAGGATTCCACCGTCTTCCACCACATGAATTTGGGATCTGCCGATAGGAACAGGGACAGGGATGTGGATAGAGTCCCCGATCGCCGTTCGGGGGTGGTGGCTTGGGACTTGGACACCAGGATCGAGGTGGAGGTTTATATACGGAATAAAAAGGAAGGAGAAGAACGGCCACTCTTGCTTTCAAGTTGCTTTTCAAAGACTCGGACTCAAGACAGACCCTTTGAAAAAAAAAATCAAAGCCGACAACGGAAGCACCAAAGATGAAAAATAGAAAAAAAAGAGTGGAACTTTGGGGAATGAGTCCAAGCGCCGGATAAACTAGTAGCGTGGGGAAATTTGGGAGGTGCAAAAAGGATCCAATGCTGACGTCTTCCATTGAGGGGAGAGGAGAGCTTTCTACTGATTACCGCGGCTCCTTCGGAAACTTGCTTGGTGTCTTATAGTCTTTATTCTTTGCTTTTTCTTTGCTTTGGCTTTTGTTTGTGCTTCTCCTTCTGCTCTTGCTCTCGGTCCTCCTCTCGAACAGAGTGAGGCTAGGGCTTATTGCCATCATGTAGCGTTCATGCTGCTGCTATTGTTGCTGACTGGCGGGGATTTGCCTGGGTTCGTGCTTCATGTTCACGCTTCATTGGCGGTATCCTCCCTAGCGACCCTGGTGCCTTGCCTGGTACGACAAGGTGCAGGCGGCGTCAAGCCAGTGCGACCGAGCGTATCGGTCACTTTCTCGTCGGAATGGTTGAGCCGAGCCTCGTACATGCAGTGGCGGAGAGGAAACAAGCCTTGACTGTGGTGTGACAGTCGTCACACTCGTGTTCCCGTGAAGCAGCGAGTCAGCAACTTGAAATACGGAGATCAGATGTCCCGAATCTCGCAGAAAGTACCTCCCAGAGGCTAAGGCAGTCTTGTTTTCTTCGGGGTTCTGCATCCTGTCCCCATTCATGATAATCTTCCTCCCCGCTGCCCGGCCAAGAACTGGTTCATCCCATTCAGATGGAATCAATCTTCCATGAGTAATCCTTGTAGAGGCGATCCTCTACAGTCTCCCGAACAAATCCTTCGGGGCGGGAGCCGTCTGCTTCCTCGCCCATTGTGACGTCTCCATCCGGCCCGGGGGTGGTCATGTCCTGGCAGATAGACAGAGCACGCTCTCGGACCTGTTCCCAAGTGTCGAAATCAAATCGGCCCTCGCTCTCATTCAGAAGCAGGTGGTTCTTAGAAGTAAAGGCGAGAACGTGGAGAGACGCAGCGGCCTTTGCGTCAGCGGCGGAAAGGTCGGTGATGATGGCGCCAGACTTGTCCACACCCATTAGAGTGGCTGAGAATGTCATCGACAGAGGAACGGCGGCCGAAAGCAAGGCGAGGAGCGAGGTGTGGAGCAGGGCCGGGAGGATGGTAAGATACTGTGAGCAATGTTGGTTAGAATAGGAACATCTGGAATCACTAGACAAGAGACCGCTTAGAAGGTTCTTACAGAATCACCACGGTCGACAGTCTCGCCTCCGACAATTCCAAGCGTGATCACTACGCCGCGGCGAGGAAATCCTCGTTCGCGACCCAGAACGACTTTGCTCAGCACATTGCGGAGAATTCCCTCCACATGGCGTTCTCCAACACCGGCTGTAGTATTTCCTGGTTTGACGAAGACTTCCACGGTCGCTTCTTCAGGTTTCAGGGCATCACGGCGAGCGGGGAGCTCGATGGGAGCATTCACGGCGCCGAGCACATCGTAGCCGGTAGCAGGACATTTGTAGGAGGCCGAGCCGTCGGAACGGCTCAGGTTCGAGAGTGATGCTGTAGGGCCAACCATTATGTAGCAGTAGAACTCAAGGGGAGGTTGAAGGAGAGCCCAAGTTGGGGGAAATTGTGAGTGGAAGTGAAGGTAGCAAAGCTAAGCAAAG